TAGCGTTAGCTTCGTTGATTTTTTGCACATTCATATGTTTGAAAGGAACCTTTAGACAGAAGAGAACAGTGAATATGGTTTTCATTTTTCCTGATGAACTGAAAAAAACCACATTTTCCATTATCCATTACAAAAACTACATTTTCCATTATCCATTACATGAAGGCCCAACTGAAATCCATGTTTTTTTCAAATCAATCTAGTCTGAGTGGAATATATGGATTGAGAGTATACTTATACTCGTTTTATTTTTTTTTTGGGGGTTTGATATGAAAAAAGTGATAAGAAGGATTGTGATTTGTGAACAAGTATGATAAGAACAAGTACTCTGCATGATTTATGAAACTATATATTTGTTGCTTGTTTACTATTAGAAGGTCTACATATGTGAAGTACTCCTTTCGTTTTAAAACATAACAATATAATATCGGATTAGACACAATCGTTCAGGTTTATAGTACTTGATAATATCAAATCCTAGTTGGTCTGAAAACATATAAGGAGATTCCTAGTAGGTCGAAGCAAAGCAAGGAAGTGGTCAAGGGGATCCTGCAAGAGTTTCAAAGGGAAATTCGAACAATTTTTTGAGTTCAATATCACACAATTATCTGGTACTACATCCGTCCCATAAAAAACGAATCCAGAATTGGATGTGACATATTTCAGTACTAGTATATGTCATATCTGGTACTAGGTTGGTTTTTTTATAGGACGGAGAGAGTACTTGTCATGGTAATCTCATACTGTAAGGCCTTGTTTAGTTCACCCACAACTTTCAACTTTCCATCACATCACATCATATCTAAAATTTTCCTACACACATAAACTCCTACTGCCTCCGTCCCATAATATAAGGGATTTTGAGTTTTTGCTTGTAGTGTTTGACCACTCGTCTTATTCAAAAAATTTATGCAAATATAAAAAATAAAAAGTTGTGCGTAAATACTTTAGATAATAAAGTAAGTCACAAAAAAGTAAATAATAATTCCAAAACTTTTTCAATAAGACGAGTAGTCAAACAGTGCAAACAAAAACTCAAAATCCCTTATATTATGGGACGGAGGGAGTAACTTTTCTTTCCAAACTACCAACTTTTTCCAAACTTTTAACTTTTTTCAGGAACTAAACACACCCTAAGTAATAAGCCTATTAGTTTTTAAAATGTTTATAGTTTTTCTTGGTAATCTCGTCGTTCGCAAAACCATGGTAGGATAACGATATTTCCTACCAAAACAGTAGGGAAACCCTGGCCTCCTCGGAGCTGTGGCAGAGAAAAAAAAGAAGACGGGTAAATTGCATCAACCATACACGAATTTATCAAGTTGCAATCTAATACATAAACTTATAAAATACTTGTTTTTGATGCACGAACTTAGAAATATATCACGTACGTAGATACTAAAAGGAAAGCCATCCCTGTTATAACGGCTAGAGAAATAAACCGTCAACGGAAAACAACCTAATTGGAACTGAACGGCCTCATCTTTTCGCTTATGATTATGCTTATCAGTCAAAATTTAAATTTTTGAACTTAAATTTAAAGTTAATTTTAGGATTTTTTTTCATCAAAGTCTTTTTTCAGCCTTTACTTTTAGATCGTAAAGAACACATATATAAAAGTTTTATTCACAAAATTATTTTTTATTTACAAATATGATGGGTCTGGAAGCTGCTAAGCAAACTAATCATCGTTGTCCTCGGTTAGGTCTCATCCTTACTGCGTGGTTCCCGTGGCGCATCTCTCTATTCTATTTGCAGCTCAATCGTTTTGGAATTGACTTAAAATCTTCATGCTTATAAGTAATAAAAAATCATCTATATATAAAACTTTCATACATGTATGTTAAAATAAATTATGACGTAAGAACTAAAAACATTCAAATCAACTCTAAAAATTAAATGTTAAAATTCAAATTTTAGCTTTGGCTAGTAAGCTAAAGAGGAAGTGATCGAGCTGATGAGCCTGTTGAAACACACATCCCCAAACATATGACAGCATCAAAATATCAAAATTAACCAACCCCGGTGTTTTGAAACGCATGAATCGCGCCCCCCCCCCCCCCACACAAAAAAAAACATCAGGGTAAGTGATAAAAGGCATTTTCTACCCATCACTTGTACAACAAGCTAAAGATAAATTAAAAAATGTGAAATAGTTTTAGCTTCAGGCTTTAAATTTTCATACTTCTAGCGTAAGAATATGATTTTCTATTTTAATGGTTCAAAAGCAAAGACTGAGAATAAAAAAATAATACCACCTAAATTAACACCAAGAATCAAAGATTAAAATATAAAATTGTCTAGACTTCGCTGTATAAAAAAGGGGTTAATTGGATCCATGGACTACAAATATATCATTTTAGCTAAATGCCACTACTATTCACGATATCGGCTACGTGACAATGGAATTAGGGGAGATTGGCCCATTAGCCCCAACTCCATCACGTTTTTCGTGAAAAATCTCCATTAGCCCTAACTGCACGTGGGACCTACCTGTCACTTCCATCTATACCTCCCTCCCTTCTCTTCTCTTTCCCCTCTCCTCTCTCTCCACCACCGTCGCAACCGCCGTCATCGACCACCTCCGTGGTGGGAGGCCTCGGGAGCCGCCGCCGCCACCATCCTCGACCCATCCGACGTGGGAGGGCTCGGGAGACAACACCGTCCTGAACGCTATTCACGACAGGAGGTTCGGGAGCCGCCATCCTCAACGCCATCTGCAAGAGAGGGCTCGGGAGCCACCGCTATCGCTGTCCTCGACCCCATCCGTGACGGGAGGGCTCTGGAGCCGCCGCCGCCACTGTCGTCGCTGTCCTCGACGCCATTTGCGACGGGAGGGCTCGGGGGACGCCGCCAGCATCGCCACCTTCGTCCTCGACGCCATCCGCGAGAGAGGGCTCGGGAACCGCCGCCGCCTCCCTCGACACCATCCGCGCGGGAGGGTTCGGGAGCCACCGCCGCCGAGCCATCCGACGCGGGAGGGCTCGGGAGCCAACACCGTCCTGAACGCTATTCACGACAGGAGGTTCGGGAGCCACCATCCTCGACGCCATCTGCAGGAGAGGGCTCGGGAGCCACCGCCATCGCTGTCCTCGACCCCATCCGTGACGGGAGGGCTCCGGAGCCGCCGCCGCCACTGTCGTCGCTATCCTCGACGCCATTTGCGACGGGAGGGCTCGGGGGCCGCCGCCCGCATCGCCACCTTCGTCTCCTCGACGCCATCCGCGAGAGAGGGCTCGGGAGCCGCCGCCGCCTCCCTCGACACCATCCGCGCGGGAGGGTTCGGGAGCCACTGCCGCCGTCGTCACTATCCTTGACACCATCTGGAACGGGAGGGCTTAGGAGCCACTACCGTCCTCGACACCATCCGTGGCGGGAGGGATCGAGAGCCGCCGCTGTCGTTGTCACTGTCCTTGTAGCAGTCGCGGCATGAAGGAAGAGATAGGGAAGACAGAAGAGGGAGGATGGAGGAAGATGGAACAAACATGTGGGTCCCGCGTCTAGGGGTCTAACGGAAAACGTGATGGAGTGGCACGGTTCCAATTTCTTCAAATTTCAGTGGCACGTAACTAATATCATGAATATTAGTGTCATTTATCTAAAATGTCATATTTGTAATGGCATGAATCCAATGAACCCAAAAAGGACTCCAATAAACAAAGGCTAATCTTGTATTTCCTCGTTCTTCTCTACTCTCTCCGTTTCATAATATAAGGGATTTTGGAGGATGTGACATATTATGGGACAAGAAGTATATCTACTATTGTAAAAATTGAAGATATTTCCACTGATATTTTGGTACGTCGTCTATTTTTTAGTCGGTTTTTAAGTTCTTTCGCTTTTGGAAATACATAAGGAGTCATATAAAAAATCCTTAAAAAAACTCACATGCTATCTTGTAACGAGAGTCGTAGTCCTAATTTCTTTGGAATTCTTGTCTGGCATAAGAAAGCAACGTACAAGATATAGCTATCATCCTAATAAGGGTTCTGAATTAGATATCAATATTATCAAATTAAAAATCCCATATACTTTTTAGATAAAAAATAACAATAATATGATTAAAATAGCATTCACCTGTTACAATGTACGGGTATTTTTTCCCGTAAAATATAGAGTAAGAGAGTAGAATCGGATGAGATATATCCAGTACTATTGTGCTCCCTCCGTCCCAAAAAAACGAATCTAGGATTGGATGCGATGTTTTCTACTACTATGTATCTGGACAGATGTATTTCCAGATTCATAGTACTCGAATATGTCATATTCAGTACTATGTTGGGTTTTTATGGTACGGAGGGAGTAACTGTGGACAGAGGTAATAATAGGACACCAATATACAGTTAGGGGCTGTTTAGTTCCTAAAAACTTTTCCAAAAAATATCACATTGAATCTTTGGATACATGTATGGAGCATTAAATATAGAAAAAAAGAAAAACTAATTGCACAGTTTGCATGTAAATCACGAGACAAATCTTTTGAGTGTAATTAGTCTATGATTAGCCATAAGTGCTACAGTAACCCCACATGTGCTAATGATGGATTAATTAGGCTTAAAAAATTCGTCTCTCGGTTTCTAGACGAGTTATAAAATTAATTTTTTTATTCGTGTCTGAAAACACTTCCGACATCCGTTCAAACCACGTACAAATTTCACCGACTAAACATGCGCTTGCTAGCTACTAGTTGAATACCGGAGTAAGGTGGTGTTTGGTTGGAGGGACTAAAGTGGGGCTAAACTTTAGTCCCTCTTATAAAAATATAAGTCCATATGGTAAAGACTTATATTTTAATGAGAGAGACTAAATTAAGTATAAACTGCATCAGCTACTCGTAAGCTACACTTATGAGTATACTCGACTGATGAAAAATATAGTGGACCACCACATGTCATAGGCGAGTGAGACCATGCTCCTCGACTTGCGACTCGAGTTCTACTCCTACCAACTCTAGGCCAACCAGATAGATACTGAGAAAAAAAAAACAACGACACTGATGTGACATCTCAGTGTCCATCGGCCATCGCCTCCTTTTCTCTCTCCTCTCCTCTCACCATCTTCTCCTACAGCAAATCACTCTTCTCTCTCTCTAAAAAACTTCACAAGCCTACTAGCCTACTACTAGGCACGTAGCTAGCCCCTGCCACTCTATCGCCCAGCACAAGCCATACAGCTACCCGCTGTCACTGCGCCAGCGGCCGCAGCTGCGCAAAGAGGAGCGCGAGAACCCAAGAAACCAACCAAGAGCTGCGTCCCATAAAGGCGCGCTGCTTCAATCCATCCATCTTCTGATCTTCCATATACTTCGCTTCCTGTAAATGTCATCGCCGCCCCGGCGGTGCCTCGCAGCGGAGCAGCAGTGGCCATGACGCCGGCGCCGGCGGCCGCCTCCTACCGCGCTCTCGTCGCGCTCCTGCTCGTCGCCGTCGCCGTTGCCGATGATGGTGGGTGGATGGCTGGCTAGCTAGCTGGCTGTTGGTTTTCGGTTTTGGTTGGTTTCTTGCTGGGGGGAGTGTGTGGTTTTGTGTACTGGGGAGCAGAGAGATTCAGGGGGGAGTTGGTTTGATGGGATTAGTATTTTATTAGTGTTGCAAGTACTCTTCCTTTTTGGAGGCATGGTGATTCTCTTGTGGGTGATAGTCCTACTACTATTTTTTATTGTCCTAAGATCTCCCTAAGAAGAGTCTAATACTTTAACTAATCCTTGTGAGTGAGTTGTGACAAGTGCCACTTCCATCTCTTCTCTTCCTTCTTGTACTAGAACACAGTTGCTGGCATTTTGTTTATGGTGGTGGTAGCCACTAGGTAATCCACCAATATTTCATAATGTGATTCTTTTTTTTTTCACTTTCTGTTTTGTTCTACAAGGGACTCCGTTCTGCTTTGGTATTCTGTTACTTATCAAGAAGTCGTCTGGCCATTTTTGAATCTTTGTGCTCATTGTTCAAGGAAGGAGCTTTATTTCTTCTTTTGTATGTTACTACCAATCTGATGAGCCGAATGCTGCTGCCCGCGTCAGGAATCTTTAGGCTTTGTAGCAACCTTTTACTTTACTATTGTGCTGATTTTTGTGCTTTCCAATCTGATGTTCTTGAACTCTTTTTTTTTTTGTCTTGAAGGCTAAGAAACATAAATCTTTATTTATTAGTACTACTACGTAAATAGATTTTTTCCGGGGCGAACAAATCTGTGCAGATTGTGCTGTTCTAGAATCCATTTGCTGTTGCAGGCTTGCAGTTTGTGATCTGTGTTCTAATGTGGCTGTATTTGCATTCAGGGTCGACGCTGCTGGAGATCAAGAAGTCCTTCCGCAATGTGGACAACGTACTGTACGATTGGGCCGGCGGCGACTACTGCTCGTGGCGCGGCGTCCTCTGCGACAACGTCACCTTCGCCGTCGCCGCGCTGTAAGAAGAACACCACCGAGTTCGCTACTTTTCTTGCTGACAAGTCCACTGGTTCGTCACTGATCATGCCTGTTGATTGCAAAGCAGCAACCTATCCGGGCTCAACCTCGGAGGCGAGATCTCTCCGGCCGTCGGCAGGTTGAAGGGCATCGTCTCGATGTATGGAAGACGTGGTGGTGTACTTTGTTGTTGTTTGGAAATGTGGCTTGCTGGTGCTTGGACTCGCAGTAACTTGTGAGCTTGGGTTTGTACCTGCAGTGACTTGAAGTCGAATGGGCTGTCTGGGCAGATCCCTGATGAGATTGGCGATTGTTCATCACTAAAAACTCTGTGAGTTGTGTGGAGTGTGGACGGCATTATCGATTTCTTCTTAACTTACGGAGAGAATGTGGGTTGATACATGTGTTTGGTTCAGGGATTTGTCTTTCAATAGCTTGGATGGGGACATTCCGTTCTCAGTATCGAAGCTGAAGCACATTGAGAGCTTGTATGGCCTATTCTTGCTGGAATTCATTTATTATAAGCAGTGTTGTATGGACATGCCGATCGTGTTCTGTGAAATAGTTTTATTCATGTGCCGGTGTTTGTGGTTTTCTAGGATATTGAAGAACAACCAACTGATCGGAGTGATCCCATCAACGCTCTCACAGCTCCCAAATTTGAAGATTTTGTAAGTTGCGCGAAACTTCTTATTTTTGTGGTGTTTAATTACCGTGCTCCCAGTTTTCTAATTGTTGTGTGCCCTGCAGGGACTTGGCACAGAACAAACTGAGTGGAGAGATACCAAGACTGATATATTGGAACGAGGTTCTTCAATACTTGTAAGTCATCCTTATTTTGCGCTGGAAGTTTGAAGATTGTGCAGTAGTTCTAGTATATCAGTATTTTATTGTATTTTAGTTATGTACCTACTTGAATGCGATTTCTTTTTTTTTCTTTTTTTTGAAAATCATTTGAATGTATTTAAGAGCATGTCAAAAGTTTGTTAAGCTGGTAAAAATCTATATTGACTTTATGTGAATTCACTAGCATTTTACGCAAGTTGCGTTATGTAAAATACTCATATTTTTTTTATGAATTGTGGCTGAATTAATATTATCCTCAGGGGATTACGCGGTAATAATTTAGAAGGCAGCATCTCCCCAGATATATGCCAGTTGACTGGGCTTTGGTACTTGTGAGTATATGCATACTATGTTTTCGGCAAAATTTGCCTCGAGTCCACCGTATTGTACTTATGTTTCAATCATTTGGACCAGTGACGTAAAGAACAACAGCTTGACTGGGCCGATACCAGAAACCATTGGGAACTGTACAAGTTTTCAGGTCTTGTACGTATTTGCAGCTTACCCCTCTTAATTACAACTTTTCTGCTTCTGTGTTTGTGAGGTTTTCCTAACATTTCTTTCATGTTAGGGATTTGTCTTACAATAAACTTTCTGGATCAATTCCTTTCAACATTGGTTTCCTACAAGTTGCTACACTGTATGTGGTGATTATCTTGACAAAAAAAAACTCAATTAAATGTTTAATACAGTTTTTGCTGATCTGCATGATTATTCACATTGTTTGAATTAGATCTTTGCAAGGGAACATGTTTACTGGTCCTATTCCATCAGTTATTGGACTTATGCAGGCTCTCGCTGTACTGTAAGTACAATGATGAACTGAATATTCATCATACAATTGGTTATTGATAAATGAAGCTTTCAAGATATTTTAATTCATCAATATAACTTTACTCTTCCAGGGATCTGAGTTACAACCAATTGTCTGGTCCTATTCCATCGATACTAGGCAATTTAACATACACTGAGAAGCTGTAAGTTTTCTTTTCTCCTAAATCGTTAGGTTGTGAATATTTTCCCTGATAGATTTTCTACTGCCAGTTCATAGTTAAAAAACAAAAGCCTTAGAAGGTTCTGCTTAGGAATATTTCTTGTGTAAATTAATATGTTATATTTGTTCCAATAGGTATATGCAAGGCAATAAGTTAACAGGTCCAATACCACCTGAGCTTGGAAATATGTCAACCCTTCATTACTTGTAAGTGCACGTTTTATTTTATTCCCATAGCATATTCTGATTTGTTGCGACCTGATTTATGTCATTGTTGACTAATTTCAGAGAACTTAACGATAATCAACTTAGCGGGTTCATTCCTCCAGAGTTCGGAAAGCTAACAGGGTTATTTGACTTGTAAGCTCTTTTTTCAAACTCTTCAAAATTTGTTATGTTTTCTATAATTTATTAGTAAAACAAGCGGCTTATCTTACTCTTTGCTTCACAGAAACCTTGCAAACAACAACTTTGAAGGTCCAATCCCTGATAACATAAGCTCATGTGTGAATCTCAATAGCTTGTAAGCATGATTTAATTATAATTGTTATGGTGGAACTTACAATTTCAGATGCATGTATCTAATGTGGATTTTCTTTACAGCAATGCTTATGGCAACAGATTAAATGGGACCATTCCTCCTTCATTGCATAAACTTGAGAGCATGACTTATTTGTAAGTTGTAACAATTTTAATTTCTTAAATTGTGTTGTTACATTATTTTTCCTTTTGAACTTCTATACTTGTTTAATTTTTGTATTTCACATAGAAAAACCTTGTTTCCCATGTTTGATTAGTACCATATGTTCATCTGTTCTTTTCTTAGGAATTTGTCATCAAATTTTCTAAGTGGTTCTATTCCTATTGAGCTATCGAGAATCAACAATTTGGACACCTTGTAAGTCCTGTTAGCTCCATCTATGAATTCGAAAATATCTGTTCTATCCTATTGTGTGTGTGATGAGGTACCTGTATCAGGGATTTATCCTGTAACATGATTACTGGCCCAATTCCATCAACCATTGGGAGTTTGGAGCATCTATTAAGACTGTAGGTTTTGTTGTCCCCATCTTGTATGTATCTATTATAGTGTCTTACAGTGTTTGATGTTATTGAACTTGTTTGTTCAGTAACTTGAGCAACAATGGTCTAGTAGGATTCATTCCTGCAGAAATTGGCAACTTGAGGAGTATCATGGAGATGTAAGTATTTGCTTAGGTGTGAATTTTTTAACCATCTAGTCCCATAGGTACTATACCCCATATTTGTGGTTTTTCAGTGATATGTCCAACAATCATCTTGGCGGTTTGATTCCTCAAGAACTCGGAATGCTGCAAAATCTGATGTTGTTGTAAGTAGTACCTTTCATGTCAGCCTTCTTTTTAAACCCATAAGGACATTGAATCTGTAGCCTGAGAGACATCTGTCTATCATTCTCAGAAATCTCAAAAACAACAACATAACTGGGGATGTCTCTTCACTGATGAACTGCTTCAGCCTCAATATCTTGTAAGTTGAATAACCAGAAAATTTTTGAAGCATATGCTCCAGTATATGTTTTTTGCTCACATTATCTATCTGTTTTATGATCAGAAATGTATCCTATAATAATTTGGCTGGTGTTGTACCTACTGATAACAACTTCTCACGGTTTTCGCCTGACAGGTAGTGTGCTCCATCATTTCCATCACTATCATGTTCATTTACTCAGCCTTGGAAATAGCAGTTTAACAATGTGATACTTTTCTTAGCTTTTTGGGTAATCCAGGACTTTGTGGATATTGGCTTGGTTCTTCGTGCCGTTCATCTGGCCATCAACAGAAACGTAACAAATATTCCATTCATATCTTACATAATTTTTTCATACCTAATAGACAAAGTCAACTTTTCGTTACCTACATTTTATTTGCAGCACTAATCTCAAAGGCTGCAATACTTGGAATTGCCGTGGGTGGGCTTGTTATCCTCCTGATGATCTTAGTAGCGGTCTGCAGGCCTCATAGTCCACCTGTTTTCAAAGATGTCTCTGTTAGCAAACCAGGTAATGCATCTGCAAGGAGTTTTGCTCAACAAATCAACTCATTTCTCTCCTGCCAAGTTCAATATTAGGATACTATCTTGTCCAGCAATTATTGTATTTAGTCAATTGTTTGTTTTTACCTGATAACTGGGTTAATGGTAGAGCAACACTAAAGCGCTGTATATTTGCTGTCACAGTGAGCAATGTTCCCCCCAAGCTGGTTATCCTTCATATGAACCTTTCCCTTCTTGTATACGAGGATATAATGACGATGACTGAAAACCTGAGTGAGAAGTACATCATTGGGTACGGAGCATCCAGCACGGTTTATAAATGTGTTTCGAAGAACCGCAAACCAGTGGCAGTAAAAAAGCTATATGCCCACTATCCACAGAGCTTCAAGGAATTTGAAACTGAGCTTGAGACTGTTGGTAGCATCAAACACCGGAATCTAGTCAGTCTTCAAGGATATTCCCTATCTCCTGTTGGAAATCTTCTCTTCTACGATTACATGGAAAATGGAAGCCTCTGGGATGTTTTGCATGGTAAGTGCCGACTGCCAACTCATTGCACAGTTTGATTGTCATTGCAATTTGCACAGAAGCACCAACATGCCATTCTCAAAAGCATGATATTTGACACATTGATATTTGCTTCTGTTGATTGCAATACCAAATTGTTACATGACATCTTGTTACCATGTTAAAATCTTTTTTTTCATTATTCTAGAAGGTCCAACTAAGAAGAAAAAACTTGATTGGGAAACTCGTCTACGAATTGCTCTAGGTGCGGCCCAAGGCCTTGCTTATCTTCATCATGACTGTAGCCCACGGATAATACACAGGGATGTGAAATCAAAAAATATACTCCTTGATAAAGATTATGAGGCACATCTTACAGACTTTGGCATTGCTAAGAGTTTGTGTGTTTCAAAAACTCACACGTCCACCTATGTCATGGGAACTATTGGCTATATCGATCCTGAGTATGCTCGCACCTCCCGTCTCAATGAAAAGTCTGATGTCTACAGCTATGGCATTGTTCTGCTTGAGCTGCTGACCGGAAAAAAGCCAGTGGACAACGAGTGCAATCTCCATCACTTGGTAACTATGATTCATGCTCTTGTGATTCTTCTGTTAATCTGTCATTTTCTTCAGCTTATTTTACTTTGGATTCTGGTAGCCCTCAATAATTGCTGAATGATGCCCATTAGGCTTGTGTTCCTACATGGGGACCAACAACATGAAACCTATCCTGTGAGTAGATCTATTTGCACTGTTTACGTGTGGTGGATTGATCCATCGCATATGGCTGTTGAAAGCTCCATTATCAATTGCAGTGTTTAAGTCCCCTAAAGCCTGCCACTTTTGTCCCCTGTCATCAATTATGTGGATTGAAAGCTACAATTTAGTGTCATAAAAATTCCTCTTGCAGCCATTTACATTTTTTACGCCTTCACTTGGCATTTAACCGACCTCCGACTTGGAGAGTCACCCTAATTTCTCATTGATTTTACATGCTTATATGGCTTTTCATTTATCGGTTTTCCTTGCTAATGTACAGACTGTTACAATTCTTGGTCTACTGTTGCAAATGCAGATCTTGTCAAAGACGGCTAACAATGCTGTCATGGAGACAGTCGACCCGGACATTGCAGACACTTGCAAGGATCTTGGTGAGGTCAAGAAGGTGTTCCAGCTGGCGCTCCTTTGCACCAAGAGACAACCATCGGATCGGCCGACAATGCACGAGGTTGTGCGCGTCCTGGACTGCCTAGTTCGTCCCGACCCGCCACCGAAGTCCGCACAGCAGCTGGCCATGCCGCAGCGGCCTGCTGTCCCGAGCTACATCAACGAGTATGTCAGCTTAAGAGGCACCAGCGTGCTCTCCTGCGCCAACTCGTCGTGTACTTCCGATGCTGAGCTGTTTCTCAAGTTTGGCGAGGTCATTTCTCAGAACACAGAGTAGAATAGTCTGCAGAAATCGTCATCCGATCTTGGGATTCAGGCAAGCAGCTGGTGAAGCTAATCAAGGTAGTGAAGTGAACTCACGTTTTGTGACTTTGTCCACATGTTGGGTGCCCAGAAAATTAACAAGAGAATTCTCAAGGGTTGTGGCTGGTGTTCTTTACTGTAAAAAAAATGCGTCCTACTTCTTTCTTCTTCCTTTTTTTTTATCTCGTTTTTGTCTAACTTAGGAGGTGTCCATGAATCTAGTACTAAATCTCAAGACAGCTTCTTCTGTTCTGTAACATTTCTGGGATTGGAATGCTGGAACTGGTATTACTAATAGTCTCTCGGTTTGGACAAATTCGCAGGGTGGTGTTTCAGTTTCAGCATTTCTGTTTTGCACTAACATCTGTAATGGCATCTGATACAGTAGTAGTAGCAATATAGTACTCCTAGTATAGCATATGGTATCCTGAGAAGGTATAATTGGTCAGTGTGACACCTGAATTCTCTCTTGGATTTTCTCATCTCCTGGCATCGCCATGTGCTTGTATTGTACCGTTGTCGCCGAGCCCATGGAGGCATCGTCAGTCAGTCAGGGACGGTGTAAATGATGCGAGGCTGTGCAGCGATGCTGGGGCCGGATGGGAGAGAACAGTAGGGGAGTTCAGAAGAGATGAAGGCGTACTGCCATGGCTGCCTGAGATGATTGATTGATGAGTGGGCCAAGGAGGATGGGCAGGGGCGGTGCGCAATGCAGTTCTCGTGAACTCGGGGTACTGAACTCAGGACGCATATTCCAAACCCAATCTAGTCGCACAAAAGCAACCCACAACGATTTTTTGATGGAAAAATATTGAGAGTGGAAGGGAAAATGCTCAAACTTAGCCCCTATCTGGTACTCCAGGAATGTAGCAACCAAGCAGGGATTGGACACAACTTAATACAACGTATCTGAATAGATCACTTGTTTAGTAGCTACTCCCTCCGTCCCAAAAAAAAAACTCAATCTGACTCCTCTTAGGACAATGTATCTGGACTAATGATGGTCACATCCCCTCCTAGATTAAGCTTTTTTTAGGACGGAGGGAATAGATTCTAAGAATCCGGATTCTATCTTCTACTACTTTCATCCCAAGATATAAGGAGTTTTAGGCTTGGGTATGTGGTATTTAAAAAGTAGGTGGAATGAAATGTGAGAATGTTGTGATTGGTTGAGAAAAAAAATTAGATAGAAAATTTTTAAATGCTGAAAAATTGTTATTGGTTGAAAAGAGAATGTAGATGGAGAAGTTATTATATTTTAGGACAGTTTGAAGGCTAAAAATTGTTATATTTTTGGATTGTGTAACAGTAGCTTTTCCGAATCTAGATTATAACTTGGGAGTTTTTTATTCTGAGAAAAGTTACGGTGGCCGGAAGCTCCTCCAAATAGGTTCTTGATCACACTTCAAAGTCCAAAGATCACGATTCCTTTGAACACATGATTTTTAAAACAAGGAATAGGATAAAAGCATAAGAATAGATTATCACAAGCTATGTAATATTACAGGATTTTAAAATACTATATATGGACACTATAGGTAACATTTTTTGATGGTTCACAGTAAATAGAGGAATTTTGGAGGAAATCATACGTGGAAGAGTAGAGAGAAAGAGAGAATGTGCATTGGACTTAGCAAAGAAAAATAAAATATGAAATGTGAGCTCATGCTAAATTTCCTAAGAAATAGGGTGTAAGAATTGCAATACGTAGGAATATTTAGTCCTATTCCTTTGATCCAATTTTTTGCGGGCCAGACGGGCTGGCATGCTTGCCTCTGGCTCAACACGGCCCGCCAAAGTGTTGGGCCGTTCGTAGTCTCCCTGCTCGGCACGTTGGGCCATCACAGCACGGCCCGTTTAACCAATCGTGCCTAGGCCGTGCGGCCCGTTTGGCCCCTTTCCTTTTCCCACGCTTCGCCCCCACCTTTGGCTCCTCGCGTTCGTCGCCGGCGCCGCCGCGCAGCAACCAGCGTTCCCCTCCCCCTCCGGCGATGAGCTCAAGCCGACGAGGCGGCAAGGAGGCGAGGGGCGCCGCCCCCGGCTGCGACGTCCGCAGCCGCCTCCCTCCTCAATTCGCTCCCCACCACATGCTCGCGAGCTTCCTCCTCGTCGGCCACCGCCGACCATCCACTGCAAGGGGGTCGCCGCGGTCGATTCGAGCGGAACGCGGATCTCCCCCGCCTTACCAGCAGCTGGTCCAGCTCGACGGCGAAGCGGCCGATCCGGCGGTGGCATTCGACCCAGCGGCTAGGTGCTCCAATGGCGGGATTGCTCGGCTGACTTCTCTGACCACCGCCTGCTGCTGCTTTCCTCACTCTGACGATGACGATTGTTGTGAGGATTGTTTACTTCTCTTTTACATATCTCTTCTTAGGATGGGGTATTCGAGACTTAAAAAAAAGTAATAGTAAAACAATAGTTATACCGTTAGTAAAAACATACAGTTTCTAATTCAAAATGCAACAAAGAGGAAAAAAAACAATAGCAAATTAATTTTCTTGATTTCCATAGTCTGCACTTTTCTTGCCTCCAAATCTTCTTTGCGCTCTTATCTGTATTGCTCATCTATTGTGCAATAGAGTCACACAACGTAAATGTAATGTTTGCAATTTTAGGTGCGGTAGCATGTAATCATTATAATTTACTAATCTGATTCAGTTTTACACGTTCTTGGTCTTCCCTACTAATTCACTACTGTTTTTTAGGTCATGAGAATCAAGCTGCACTAGGTGAGAACTAGAAAATTGGCGTGCCCTTGGCGCTCTTACTACTTACAACCAATGCATATAGGCATATAGCTTATGGTCTTCTTTATATGTTGGTTAATAATTTATGAAAATATCATGAAAATTTTTTCCGCATTGAACAAACTGATCAAATTACCACAGATTATGCAATCAATTATTTGATTTACAGCATTTACAAGCTGATCAAACAAAGAATTATGCAACCAGCACAAAGATTTTCCCAAAGGACCACAAATCATACTTTATTTCGCATCCTTTACATCATGTACACAACATTTGGCAGATTTTCGACCTACTAGGAGATCAGATCATCATACGAATCAAAATGTCATCTTTGCAGACAGTTAAGCTCCTACAGCTCTGAGCTTTTCCTCCTTATTCCTACCTTTGGTTAGCTAATGAATCAAAAATGGACTGAAAATTTACTCTCTTTAGTCCTGCAGCTCTGAGCTATCTTCATAAAGAAAAGGGGCATATGAGGGCAGCAGAACAGCATCCGCATCGGCTTGCTGGAAATTTCTTCTGAGAGGAAGAAGAGCAGCGGCGGCATCACCAGCGTGCTGTCCGACGACGGGGAGCTCGCGTACAATATTTTTGTGCTGTTAATTAGTACAAATTTCGCTTTACAATTAATTGAGAATTGACTAAACTGAAAATTATAATATTGCTGCAGGAGAACTTTACCGGCTGATGTGTTTCTGCTCCATTGACTGACCTATCCAACCCAAATTTTCTCTTTGGACAGACATTGGTTGTACATTCTGAAGATAAATAAAGGGTTATACTCAAATATGTGGAGATGTCTAATTTCTGAAATTACAACGCAACGGCATTCTTCTAGAATTAAGTGGATATAATACCACTGAATATTCTTGCGATAAGAAAAATATATGAATAAGGAATTGAGCTTTGACATGTGTTCAGGAAAATTAAAGCACTAAGGAAATGTCATAAAAATTTGACTCTGTAGTATTTATTAAATTGACTCAAATTCGTTCGAGTATAACGGAAAGTTAGTGAAATCTGTGAAATCTGCCTTTTCTTCTGTCTAGACATAATATATTATTTGGTGATTTATAAATCAGTCATTTAAAAAATCGAAGTAGCTCAATTAACTAAAAATAGACTATCTTATTGATCATACTCGTCATATAACTACAAAAGAGATGATCGGCGTTGAGCTATCGTCGCTACAAATTACAGAAAGTTGAAGTGTGTCAACTGGATTTTACAATGTGCATATGCTCATATACTGTCGAAAAATTATCCAACTTCTCAGCTCTAGCCATGTATTGTAGTGTCTTACTTGCCCATGTTTGAATCAATTTCTTTTGAACTTTCATGTCAACATTGCTAAAGACCACCAGTTAGTGCTGACAAAGCCTAATTTGATCAAGTTCGTATCTATATCAATACATCATTATATATTAAGGGAATAACCCTGAAACCTGTACACTATAACCGGTTAGTCTTCTCTGGATTCGCACCACTGGATACACAGCCTAAAATGGACACCGGTGGTTGAAGTTGTAACAGATCAAAATGTCATAACACTGGTTTTGCTAATTCTTTCTCCGCTTTTCACTAGGAGAAATCACATCAGTCAACTCCGCCACTTCATTGAGACTAATCGCGACAAGTTTCGTCTGAACTGAGGTTAGTTCAGGTAGAAGTGCAATAGGTGGAGAAGCAAAGGCATCCATTACATTGATGCTTTTTGTCTGCAGGCAATGGCAAGGCCGGTTTTTACAGCACTCACGCTCGTCGTAGCCCCTGTTCTTGCCTGGAGAACTGTCTACAACAGCCGGATACAATGCCTTCCTGCAGTTTGTTGGGCTGCTGGTGGAATTTGTTGGGCTGCTGGTGGCATCGTCAACAGGGCTCAGTTCTTTACTCTGTGACTTGTTCTTGTCGACAGAGCTTGGAAGAAGACCCTTGCGCTTCTTAGGGGATGGAACTTCCGGTTTAGTATGTTGAGAAGACAACACATCATCCTTAGCACTCACAAGGAAACTAGACTTGCTATTGTCGAATTTGGTCCCTCTTCTCCTATCACAGGTAAACAATAAACAAGTCAGCAGAATGGAATATATATGTCTTCTATTAAGACATGAAAAAGGACCTGCCAGTAATTGCTATTAGACCGAGATTAACGAGCTCTCAGGCAAATGTAAGAAATGTGAAGAAAATTCAAGGCAAGTGCCCAAAAATCTAAATACTTAGTACTTAATAATGTTTATCAACAATAGTTTGCCAGCTGGCTAACATATGCATGTGAAAGAAAGTCTTTTTGTCTGTTTGATCCTGTGCTTGCACTAATTACGTGCCAAACACACATGATCATGTTCAGAAGCACATGATAAATTTCTGCTTATAATTAAAATGCCATATAAGGTCAATTAAAGTTTTATGCGAATAACATTGTTGGCAGGTATATTAGCCCATTAAGCACTAGTGCTAGTGCTACTGCCAACTGCAGAAGCAAAGCTACATGTATTTAAATCAGCAATAAATAACTCATGTCGCTGTAAGAAAAAGCACCGGCAGCAGCAATATTGCATGGACATTGCTTAGAAGCTGCATCCATCGTTCAAATCAAGAAATAAAATCATTGTGATGCGTATAGATTACATTAAACTTGTTTATACCAGTAATATTGCAGAGTGTCCAATGGACACGAGAGTTAACAAAGGTTGAATGAATTAGAGAACTAATTGTGCTTCCTGTAACATGTCTGCGGGATAACAGCATGATCACATATTCTTTGGAAGACTGGAACAATGTAGTAATAGTGTAATACTAGGTAACTGCAGAGTGCTCAACGCAAATATAATTAAGCAATGTTTTTGGATTCTTGAGCATTCAAAAGGTATCCTGCTTTACTGTAGTGCCAGACAATCTGACGCGAGATGTTCCTATGGATCGATGGGAACAATAGCTAGCAAATTTGTATGTATATTCGTGAAAGAGAATACTAGCACCACCTAACAAAACTACTCCTTCAGTTTGGAGTACCAAATATCAAGCCTGCACAGCTAAACAGCTCCTTAGTCCTTCCGAAAACCACGAGCTCCTTCAGTAAAAGTTAATTTTTCCACAATGTTTCAAAAGTTCAATTTCCCGACCACATTGTTAAAACGCAAGTAAAAACGATAATTAATCACATCTGCCCACTCGAAAACTAATTAAGCACACAACAACAACAACAACAACAACAACAACAACAACAACAACAACAACAACACATGCTACTTTTCACGCATCATCAAAACGATCATCCCTCATAGGCCAGAAATTTCTCAATAAATCCCCAAATTAGTTAACGTAACATGTAAAAAAAACAAAAAAAAACTCAAGGATCAGTGATCGACATATTTCGACAAAAAAATTCCGAATATATATACTGCAATAGTACAAAAATATCACCCTAAGTCTTCAAATTTTCCATCGGCAGAGGCACAGGATCAATGATTCTGACACCAAATGAAGCAGAAGTCCGAATCGAAATTTCAGTAAATTTCCATCTACACTGCTCAAAATGATCCGAGCAGTGAAGGCACCCTCAACGATTTCGCTAGAAAAGCATTCGAAATCCAAAATAACCCAGCACGACAACCAAAGGGAAGCTCGATATCTTAAGGCGCGCGAAGCTTTGAGGCGGATTGGGGGTGAAAAACTGACCTGCGGCTGCGGGGCAGCGCCTGCTGGAGCGCGTCCATGGTGTCCAGGGGACCCCTGTACGAGCTCTCCACCTCGCCGTCGCTCTCCTCCTCCTCCCCCGCCGCCGCGGCGTCCTCGCAGTGCACCATCCCCACCCGGCTGTCGCTGCCCCACCCCGCCGACGACGCCGCCGCCGAGGCCGCCGCGGGGCGGAGAGCTCCCCCGAGGCCGAACAGATCGCCGCCGCCGCCGCCGTGCCCGCGCCCGCTCTCCATGGTGATCGGCATTGCTCCCTACCCCCCACTCCTCTCTCGCGAGGCGCGAGCTCACATGCGAAGAGAACTAGAGAAGAGAAGAGAGGAGAGGAGAAGCGGAGCGGCGCCTCGGAGACGAGACGAAGGGTGGGGGGCTCGAGTCGCGTGGGGCTTTGCGCTTGCGACGGGTGTTTCGTTGGGATTTGGCACCATGGCCTTGCACACACTGACGTGTGGGACCCACCAAGTATAAGGCAGAAACACGCTCTGCTTTGGTAAAAATGCTCTAGAACGTTATAAAACTGGCAAAATATGGAAGACACAATGTAAAGAGTAGTACCATTTTCTAGTGTGGGGTGCATGAAGTAGCATTGTATTGAAAGTCCAGTCTATGCAGTGGCATTTTAGCGGTTTTCTCGTTGTTTAAGTTTGTGGATTCTCCTAATAGACGAGCCACGAACTTAAAACATAGTCTAGCTCATTACTTACGCGCTCTCCTCTTTGGTCTCAAAATCTAGATCTAGGTTAGCTTCAATTCCATGTCTCCTTTGCTGTCATCATCTCACTATGTTGTCACCTGACCTCACCGACACTGATAGGTGTCAATGTGCTAGTGCGGCTTGCTCGATCGTCCTCCTCTCCGCCCCATTTGTGTCGATGTGCTCATGCCACCAACATTGCCCCACCGCCCTATACTGACCCTGGCTCCGGCGCTAACGCCACCTCGCCGCCCACCTTTGGTCCGCCGTCTCCTAGGCTAGCCCTCTAAACCCAATTCCCTATCTCCCCCTTCCCAGTTCCAACCTCCACTTACTCACCCTCGAAACCCTAACCCAGTACTTATTGTATGATGTCGCTTATCAGAAAGCGTTCACGTCACATACACGTGGTTGAGGATTAGGACATCAATAGGTTTGTGGGAAGAGAGGTTTCGACTTAGGTGCTTTTCAGAGAGCTGGGTATTCTATGCAAGGTAGTAATACCTATTTGGAGCTCTAAGAAATAATTGATACTCCTATATATCAAGTCGTTTGATAGTCAATGTGTATTTTTTTTCCTTTTAGTATCCCCTTCCGGCAATGCCAAAAATATATTTGGAAATTGGATGTGGTGCCATGGTAAGAAAGATGGTTCTATTTGGGCCAGTGCACTGCATTGTTTAATTTGGCATTACCGAAATGATTTTTGACAATAATAAATCACCTAATCCTACGTGGGTTATCTTCAACTTCAACTAGCACAACACTTGGTTGTTGATACTATCACAAGAGGGGAAGGATATTATGCGTAATGATGTTATATTTCTAGATAAGGTAGCTATGGATCTTTTGTTCCGCTTTGGATAGTATAGTACATATAAAATTACTTGTTAGAATATATATAAGTAATTTGTCTTAATTTTTAATTCAGCTGGTTATCTTTTTTAGAGGAGTTAACTATTAGAAAAAGCATTTTCGTCGATGTTGGGCTTTTTTTTCGGCAGGCGGGTATGGCCATCGGAGCGAAAACCCCGCCGGCGAGAATGATTACTGGGGAGGAGTTGGCCGTCCGCCTGTGAAGATAGCATATCGCAGGAGGACCATATAAGGTGCCGCCTGCGTAAATGATCTTTGCAGGCGGACCACATAATGCGCCACCTGCAATAATCGCAGGCGGGCTCCTTATGTGTGCTGCCTGCAAAGATGTATTTTCGCAGGCGGCCCCTTATGTGGTCCGCCTGCGAAAATAGCCCTATAAAGTCTTCTTCTTTCTCGAGCCCTGTTCATTTCATCCGAGGTTTCTCTCTCCCCTAACACCAAAAATATAGGGGGGGGGAAGGTTTTTGAACTTCAAATCTTAGGGGGATTTTTCTACGGTGGTTAGATCTACACCTTTACACTCTTGTTATGCATTTTTTTTTATAATTTTAGAACTCTCTTTGTGATGAATCTATGCATGCAAAATTGTGAAGAAAAGCTCAATGTTTTTTCTTTTCTTTTTTCTTTTTACTTTACGGACCAAAATTCTTTGCAACTGTGCCTGGAAAAGTTCCAACTTGGCAAAGCATTTTTGGTCAGATCATGCACTTGATGATGGTCCATGGAAGATGAGAAGGTTACATAAGTGGTACATGGACGCCAGCAAGAAAGGCCTAACTAATTTAACAATTCGATCACCGCCTGACTGCTTCGCCGGCGACGGTTACTTCTAGCTAGATTTCGCTGATCTGCACACCATCTATCGTCGCGATAAGATGGACGTAAACTTCGTCGGTGCATGGTGCCTGTGAGTATGAGTGCACATTTATTATATAAATAAATTGATATAATACATGTTTACATGTGATTATTATTAACAAACTGCTTTTATAGGATGTAATACATGGATGCTGAGAAGACAAATCAATCTATCGGATATCTGGATCCAACAAGGATCTGTCAAGCACAACATACCGTGACACAATCACCAAATTCCAAGCAGCTCAAGGACAAGACGCCTGAAGAGATAGAATATAAGAAGGGCTTACACAAACAGAAGTTGATTACTGTCGCACAATACATTGGATGATCCTTCTTACGCTTTCAAAATAAAAGAGTCATTCTAGCCGCGTACAACTTTAAATAAGTCTAGTAGGTTTTTTTTACATATCTGTGTTATCTCATCCGTAACTAACTGCACCTTCCTTACCATGTAGCGATCATTACATATGTTTCATTATCTACCCGAAGCACGGCTCCGTGACAGTCCTCGACCCCCTTGATTATCATCACAAGACGTACAAACAATTTCTAACAATTTTACAATAGTAAGTGATTCTGATACTCTTGCATGTCTACTATTAATATATTATAATTAAATCTCCTCCTTAATACGAAACGGTAAAGAATCTGTACAGTGTGTACAACTACTACAAGAAAAAGGGTGGAGAGCAAATTCAAACCAGGGAGAAGCTGCTAATACATACATATTGGCCGGTAATAGTCCACACAGTTAATATATTTCAATTATTTTTCTAATTACAAAATTTAACTTTTTTCCTTCTATGATATGCCATTAAGTGTCACAAGCAACCTAGAGACATGGTCCTTTGCAGGGATTACGCATGCGAATTCCTCAGGGTTAATGGGAGATACAAGGTTAACGCAGAGGATGTAATTCTCTCGACTCAACGTATAAGTGCATTAGAGAACTACGCATCTAGAACCTACTATATATATATATATATATATATATATATATATATATATATATATATATATATATATATATATTGTGCAAATTAATTAAGACAAGAAAGCTCAGGGTAATAAATGCAATAATTAGATGTGAAATTTGTTGATTTATACTCGCCCACTAGCGATCAACATATAGTGCCCATAGACCATAGTAAAAGATCGGTAGCGTGTCTCCCATGGTCCATTGCTCGGCCAAACAACCACCGACCAACTAACTAACCTACCTAGCTACCAACAACAATACAAGATCGATCCTTCAAATGGTTAATGAGGATACACTGCCTGATAAAGCAGTTGATCCTGTGGGAGTACACATTATTATTAGCTCACTCTTGCAGCCCACAGATATTTATCTATGATGCAATGGATTTAAGGACCCATGTGGTATTTATTTGGATTTTGTGCGTCTTTGACACACAATGGTTTGGTATCTTCTTCTTCTTCTTCTTCTTCTTCTACTACTACTACTACTACTACTACTACTACTACTACTACTACTACTACTACTATTTTGCTATTTATCGTTTCTCAAGAAATTCTACCTATGTGGGTATCTCATTGTTCAGGAATCAAACTACCAACATGGGCACTTTTGAATTTAGAAATTTTACATACTAATTTTTATATGAATTAATTTGATTCCCATGGCACTTAGAAAATCATTCTTTCCAAATATAAGACTTCAGTATATGTTTTACCGGCTTTTCTTAAAAAAGTTGTCTTTTGTGCAAGCAAAATGATTTTGGCCGTGAAATAGCCGTAGCCATGGGCGGATCCAGGAACAAAAAATTGGAGGGGGGGGGCTCAATTACGCAGTTTCTTTAACCTCTAGCCATTTAGGGGCCTTAAATTTCATTAATGGTGAAAAAATCGAAGGGGGTGCTCCAGGGGGTATCCATGGGTCTTGTGGGTGCAGGGAGGACTTGGTGTAGGGGGGACTCAAGTCCCCGCTGCACCCACGTTGGATCCGCCCCTGGCCGTAGCTCAACTAGTTAGGTTTCTAGTAGTAAAATCTGTACACCTGAGTTCAAGTTCTAGACTTGGTACGGGTGTTCATATTTATGGCTAGTTTTTTAGGTGGTAGGGCGATGTACTCATCAATAGCGAGATATCTACGGTGACTTTATCAATTTTAAAACATACCAATTTAGTTTTTGGAGTTGTTCATAGGAATGGTTTTAGCTATCACAAAGATGTACTAGGGGCTTGTTCACTTTTAACACCCATATGTTTGATTTAAATTCTTACCAAATTTTGATAGAAATTTTTCAGAGTAGAAATTTCTAAAATTGTCAAAAACTGGTAGGATGAGATTGGTAAAAACATGTTTGGTTCCTTGCCATACTAAAATTTGATAATACCGAAACATGGTAGGATTAGAACTGACAGTAAAGTAAACACGCGCTAGATCTTGGTAGTGGTGAGGCCAAATTTGGAGAACAAACACATACTACCCACACAAAGAATGTACATCCAAAACTTACCCCAATTCAGGTCCACTGTCCACATGGCACATACATATATACTCCTAAGAGTAAATCATAAATGTGTAACTTTTGCATGGACAAAACTAATCAAGGATCATGTGACGATCTGTCGCACGTACTACGTGCAGCCGTACACCCCCACATAAATAGTCATCGCATTTACCGAAGATGATTTAATTTGCTCAACCCAAGACGATGTACTACTGCTAACAGCAAAGATAATAGTAAACTATATACTCTCTCCATCTAATTTTAATAGTCATATTTCTAAATCTAAAAAATTTACTTTTGATAGGCATATTTCAATACAACACCCTATCCTCTTAATAACTTTCTCGAATTTAATGCGTGACTCTTCATTCATCCACACAAGATTAACGACATGGGCATCGAGAAATGTAAATATTAATGAATCGCTTTTTTACGAGAAATAACTAGTAGCATGTTTAAATAGATGATAAGTATAATTACTTATCCTTGGTCATTATACCAAGATAAAATATGACTATCAAAAGTAGATGGAGAGAGTACAAGCTATATGTTTACGTAGAAGAGAGATGAAGAAAAGTGAAAAGTGTTCGTTCTCAAAATAAGTTTAATAGTATAGCCAACTATTAACTCTAAATCATCCACTGGTTTTCTTCTATCTGGAACTCGCTTTTCTTCTATCTTCTTTTATCTCTTCCACTGGTTTATGATTTGTTATTGTACTTGCTCTTATGCAAAAGATAGCTCTATACGTGCTTAAAAATATGCATTAAATTTCAGAAAAAGAGAGAGGAGGAAAAACATAGAGCTAATGTTAAAGCTAAATTAGTATACATGCTACTTTTAAAATGAATTTCAAATAATTAGTGAGTTTTACTATTAAACTAGCTCTAAACATATTGTGGCCGGGTAGCCCGGATCACGTTGCCCCAGCCGCCGACAGACGCTGGGGAAGCAATGACTACCAGGTGATCGATCCAGTTGATGTGAACCAATCTTTTTGTCACCTCGTTAATCAATCGATTCAACGTACAGTAGTACGAGCAGGTACATGTACACGTATCGAGCTGCACATGCTTACTCCCTCAGTCAAAAAAAAAAAAGACAAACCCTGATTTTCGTGTTCAACGTTTGACCGTCCGTCTTATTTAAAAAAAATATGAAAAAAATTAAAAAGATAAGTCACGCATAAAGTATTAATCATGTTTTATCATCTAACAACAATGAAAATACTAATTTTAAAAAAATTTCATATAAGACGGACAGTCAAACGTTGGCACGGGAACCCACGGTTTGTCTTTTTTTGAGACGGAGGGAGTATTTATGCCAGTGTCCTTGCTTGGGATTAATTGCTGTACTTAACTAATTACGAGGCAGCTAACACATGGTTCAGATAGATATGGTTCAGGCATGTACTGTTAATGTTGGTTGATAGAATTCAACTGTCAAAAAAGCTTCATTACATACGGATAGATATGGTTCACACTTCACAACTATCAGTACCACGGACTTAGAAAAAAAGGGTCCATGATTATGTTGCAGTAGTGTGAGCAATTCTGAATGGAAGTGCACTGATCAGAATGCAGTAAAGTAAAACTATCACTCTGTCATCCATATGGGCAAAAAGATTTGAGAACTTGTATTATACTCATGGAAGAGGCATCTGAATTTCTCATGTACTATACAACCTGTCACTCCTGTGTATGAAATGGCAGAGGGTCCATCCATCCACATAGAAAAAGGAATGGGTGCCCTTGCGCCGTAAACAGATGCTAATCTTCCATATGTACATTACGATTTTGCTTTTTCTTTTTTCACTTTACAAGTTACAGATCTCTCGATGTATATACATACTATGATCCTCGCCTAATCTCTTCAATGTGTGCTTCCTCTTCTTACTGTATAGAAGAATGAAATAATTGGCCGACTAGCTGCGTTTGGTTTCCAGTTTCTTCAGCATTTACCTATGAGCCCGGCTACGTTTTGGGCAATATCTTTTTTGGCCTGCAATGAGACCGGTGAATCGCCAATGTACATACCGAACAGAGCCCCTGTTCACCAAGCAAGAGTTAAGTACAGTTAAAAACAATGAACTTTATCGTACCATAAAGATGCACTAGGCAAGAAAGTACTTATCCAGATGCAAGTCATGGACAGTGATCCAAGTGAAGCGGGTGGAAAATATTGAGAAAGTGTGAAGTAATGAAGTAAATTTGTATAAGTTTTGGTGTGACAAGTATACACTTACTGCAGAGGTCTTTGCTCTTAACAGCACCAATTTGTCTGCCATCAACTGCATGAAAATGTTTTTTTTTGTCAAAATATGTGGATGTGGCAGTAGAAAACTCACTCCTCAAGACATACAGAAGATTCAGTTACGGTCTACGGTACTTACTTTCTGTTATTAGCTGGCCATCAGAAGTTTGGCAGAAGTCGATCTTTGTACCCTGCAGTTATATTAACAGTGTTTACTTGTATCTAAAAGTTATAAACATACGGTAGCCAAATCCTGTGTTCAACCTTACCGCAGGAATAGGAATGTCTTCATTGAAGTAAGAACCAAAAGTTTTCAAGCAATGATAATCAGTGTTGGGATTCATCTGTTGAAAATACAAATACAGAAGTCACATCAGTATGAAGAACTCGTAAAAGAATTAAAAGTATCAGCTGAAGCAGCAACCAACAAGTACCTTCTGGAGGCGCAGGCCAAGTGACTTCTCAAATACACTGCGAGAAAAACACAAAAAGGTAAAATGAAACGTCTTGAATAGACTAAAGTCATTTTTTTTTATGAGAAAGTAACAATCAAACAGATCTTTACAAACATGACAAATCAAAGAAACATTCAAGCAGATCTCTGTAAACATAAAATGAGAGTACTACTTACTCTCGCACTGCACCAATGCTAAGGCCGTTGTAGTGAAGTACCAATCTAACTCTCATAGGAAGGTTTTCCCTGGAAATTGAAGATACAAAACTTCATTAGTCCCCGGTGCACATGTAATCATCCTTTTTTGGAAAGAAGTGTCACATGCACAAGAAGTATCAAGTTAAGAATCACTTTTCATAACAAGTAGATTCATATAGACTTTCATAAGATCAAAATATCAATAATGTCATGGATATATGTATGGCACATGAATGGACAAGTGTGTACACATGTTTTGAAATGTACGTAGATCAACTAGCACAATAACACAAACAGTTCAATTTTTAATACATCCTGTGGATCTTGTGAGGGAAACTAAACTTGTGCAAACAGTTGCCAAAAAAAAGGTGCAAGCACTACCACATTTATGTGTGCTAAGCATATGAATAGGCAGAATTGTAACAACAGGACAAGACTGGAGATATATATCGAGGTCCTACCTCAAAAGATCATCATAGAAATCTGGGTTGTCCTTCAAGTTGATGGTTGGAACAGAAGCATACTTAGGTCCCAGCTTCTCAGAAATAGTATTCGGTTGCAGATCTATCAAGAAAAATGCATGGTGCACCGTTAAAAAGAAATGATGGAACATCAGAGAAACATTTTTTTGTAGAATGTACAGGTAAACAACATAATAGAAGCACAAAAAATATTTACTCACATAAACCAAAAGCGTACAGATCCAAATTTTTGACCCTCATTACTTTCACACCTTTGAAACCCATCCCAACAAGGACCTGCAATTAATTATCAATAATAATGTTACATGGAGACGTCACACTAAGAATTCAGAGAAAAATGATATGCTGATAGTTCAGAAGTATCACATTATATGTAAAATGAAGACTAAACTGAACTAACTCAATTCAATTGTCCACAGATCATTTGTAGTAGTGTACAATTTTCTGTATACATATTAAATCAACACATAAAATAAAACTATGTGATTCAAAATTGTCAGAAATGAATTAATCCAGAGGATTTCATTTCCAGTTCATAATACAAGTATATTGGATTTTACATGACTAGCCTGCACGCCTATTAAAGAGGAGGTACACAGAGAAGACATTCATGATAATAATTTTACGACATAACAAATAAGAAAAGTGTACCAAAAGGCAGTACCTGAAAAAATAAGGTAAAGTATCCCAGCAAAATAAGGTAAATTACCGTTGTAGATGGACTGGAGTCATCTTCGAGAAATGCAGGAAACTTGATTCCAGTTTTTGGTTCAATTGCATCTCCCTGAAATATTGTGCTTGGCACTGCAACAGATCTACTTTTTATGCATTTGTCCTCCAGATAAGGCTTATCCATAGGTCTGCTGACATAGTCCTTGATATTTCCCAGTGCCATTGACTCTGCGAGCGTCTTCAGTGATCTTTTTAATTCATACAGTGAAATGAACAGTCAGTGAGATATAAGCATAGAGCCCAAGCAAGAGCAGGGCACAAATAAAGTGTCGTACTGTGTGCCTTACATATTTTCAAGAGGGGGTACAATAGCCATGGCACCAGCCAGAGTAAGAACATTGCAGGCATGTTGCTGCTGAAAATCATTCCAGAGTCGCCCAAGTGTTGTGCTTGCGAAGTTAGCTAAAAGCAGTTGTACAGCATGCTCTTCTCTTACTAGATAACCAAACTGCAATACAGCCAAATTTTGCATACGGGAGCTCAAATGATTGATATGTGACTGGCAAGCTCCAGAGCTAGGGCCTTCCATACTCATTAGCCTACGTAAATTCTTGGGATTAGACACTCTAGAAAGCCAGTAGCAGAAAGCTCTGGCAAACTTGTTGAGGCGATCAAATGCTTCCTGAACAATCAAATTTCCTGAAGAACAGATCTGCCTGTGCTGTCGCAAAGAACTTCCCACCATTGTACCGGCATGCGTAAACAAGCTCAACCCAAGATCATGAGACATTGGAAAATCTGAGGGAAACTTGTGTAGGTATCCCAAATCATGGTCGAGATTGGACAACATTAACCGATCGGCCTTCATGTTAAAATGTTATTCCCAATATAATCTTCAGAATGTAGAAAGTCTTCAGAGAAAGCTTTTGAATGTACGGCGAGGAAAAACTTTGTGATCTGAAAATTTTAACAAAACTATGGAAGTCAGCTATAAAACCTCTTTTACACCGTGAATTGCACAAACAGCATCTAATAAGGAGGTGATACATATTTTGTGAAATTTAAAAAAAAAACAAATTTCACATCATCTATTGAAAATGGACCTGAAAATGAGTTGTCCTTCAAATTTACCCTTACAATTGCCAGGATTAAATGATAAAAAATAACACTAGCTTTCTTTGTTCTCATATCAGCAAATAGAACTTTACTTTGGGAATACTAAGAATGCCCCCATTATATGAAATGCAAATACCATTTGCAAATATTGACAAACAGTATCAATTCAATCAATCTAATCGGACCCTGTAACTACGCCAGCAAATGCACAAATTTACGCCCTACAAGCCCCGGAGAACAATAATAAGCATTCCCGTAAAAAAAGAAAAGAGGAAAAAAGAAAATCCAATTTCTCCTGAACTGGATGCATTCGCAACGATCCAAACCTGGCCGATAGACTATAAATCGCGCCGTGTCCAGATCAGCGCACTGGAGGAAGAACACGAGAGGATCCGCGAGTGCCACCCCCCCTCGATCGATCGGTTGCGGATCAACCAACCGACCGACCGAATCCGAACCCGGGGGAGAAGATGGGGGAGGGGAATGGGATCAAAGGCAACCGCCCTCCTCCGAATCGCCCTCCTCCTCTCCTCCCGTGAGGCGAGAGAGGCGAGGCGAAGAACGCGTGCTCCTCCTCCTCCTCTCTCCTCTCCTCTCCTCTCCTCTCCTCTCCTCTCTCTGTTTTGCTCTTCCTAATTCGAGGAGAAGGCGACAAAGAGCTCAATAAAAGTTCCCTCCCTTTTTGTTTTCCACAAAAGTTCTAGAACAAATTGTTATTTACATATAGGTCCTCGTCACGTGCGAACTGGTCCAGGGGATGGGGAATAGTTTTGTTTTTGGATAAGTTTAGGGGGTTATGCGTAAGAATCCCCGATGGTTTCGGAGAAGGTGCGGTGCGGGGGGGATATTCCGGCGGGGGAGATCGGACGGTGGGGAGCCGATGGTGGACGGAGATGCGACAGGTTAATAATAAGGGGAATTGATCCGCGTCGACCGTGGAGACGGGGCGTGGACGGCGCCTGAAACACGTTTAAAATGGACCGTTATTTTGTCTTTCTTCCTTCTGGACACGTGTTGGCTTCTCCTAGTAATTTGATAATTTGATTTCACATATTACTTTCCCAAAATATAAAAACCTATGATTAGATAGAACATACCATAAAATTATGAATCTAGATAGGGGCGTATCCATATTCGTAGTATCATCCGGTTTTAGGTTGTAATATTTTGGAATGGATACAGTAGGACTCTACGTCACTTTTGACTTCTCGATTTTTAAATGCTTCTTCATTCAGACTTAAAGTTAAACATTTTAATTTTCACCATCATTTTTTTTATAAATTCATATAGTTTAATATCGTAATATTTGTATTTCAAGATTTATATAAAAAATATTTTCAACAATTCATGTATTATTTAACTACATTAACTTAAAAAATTAATAGTTACAGATAAGCATGTTTGACTTAAAATAAACCTAAAATGATAGATAATTTGAAACATGGGAAATCAAATCAATTCAAAATCAATGCACCAAAATCTCAGCATTTTTAGCAAATCAGGTGCTTAAAAGGGAAATCAAATCAATTCAAAATTTAAAATTTAACTACCAAGGTGACTCAGAGAATCTTTCGTCTCATCCTTATTTTTTGCTAAACAATTTTATAATGCTTATATTTTAGAAACAGGGAGTAGTAAAAAAAATATGGCAATTGAGTAGGCAAGTGATATTAAATGATAAGAAAGTAATAAATTTTGATTTGTACGATAGGCTAAAATTTATGTATCATGTATATGTATAAAGTTGATCCCCACTAAGTATAGTTAATGCTAATTCTCTTTTCTCTCATGAAGCCACATCAACTTAATTGTTTTTAGCTTTTGGATGATTTATCAAGGGTGTAAAATGCATCTCTTCACATCACCTTAATTGTTTTAAGTCTTTTGGATGATTCATCAGGAGTGTAAATTACATCTCTTCCTCCTAAAAGGCACATCATACAACCTAATCATTTATAACCTATTTATAACCTTTGGATAATTAGTAAAGGTAAAGAAATATATAAACACATGAAAAAAAATGGTATAGTAGGTAACAAAGAAAATTTTAGAACTCGTGTATACTATATTATCACACAATTCTTCCGCAGCAACACACGGGATACCCATCTAGTTTTAATAAGTTTTGAATGCTAGAAGACAAAGGGAATAGTATATACACCCATACTTTAACCGGATGATCCATAGTTTGGCCCTCTTTGTTTAGGCTTAGGCTTATTGGCCTAGACTTTTAAGTCAGCTTATTGGCTTATATGATTTATAAGCCAGTGGATTTAATGTCCTAAGTTTAGTGGTGGAGTCATACATCTATCTCATATAAGCCCAAAAAAGCTTCTCCAACCTAACTTTTGGCTTAATAGTGTTAGAGTGACTTATGGCTTAAAAAAACCAAATGAAAAGGTTGCTTGTTTGTTTTGGCTTAGACTTTTCGACTTATAAGTTGGCTTAAAAGCCTAAACAAAGAGGGCCTTTAACTGGTTAAGATAAACAATAGTAAACGAAAAAGCTTATCCAGATTCATACTATTATTAGACGACGAGCACCTTATATTTTTTGGATGGAGGAAGTATTAGGTATGATTGTTGAGCCCATCCCTTGTTCCTGTATTTTTATTTTCTACCAAGTCAAAGCGATGGCTGCTTATGTACCACTCCTAACAAACATGTCGAGAATGGAAGTTGACACCTAGCCGCTAGTAGGTACTGCAAGCCTCCAACAGAAGCGGCTACATACCAGCCAGCGGGGACGATGTTCCAGATGACACAAGAACAACAAAAGCTACATAATTCAGGGGACCAAGCATTTGCTGGCTGCCTGGCTCCATTGATCCATACACAATCACACGCAACATGCCAGTCGATCATTGGAAGGCCAGTTTTCAGAGAAAAACACAGTAACAACAGAAGGTTACAGACTACGGGAGACTCGTCCATGATCGCATCAGCAAGCTGCTGACTCCCACCCTCAATATCAAAATCAGGAAACTAGGTCAGAGATCATTTGTTGTTCACAGAGAATGTGACATCAGTTTCAGTTTAAGAACTGATGGAAGTGCACAGGGCAACGACGAGTGCACAAAAACACTAGGCATGTGCTCCGGCTCCCCAGCACGAACAAGAAACAGATCTACTTATTTCAGGCAAAGGATTATCTAGTGACATGTCGGCAGCACATGAGCTTTCGGTGTTAAAGGCAGAGATAGTCTGCATGCGTACATGCTTTTCTGAGACACCTGCAAAACGTTAAGGATGCCATGAGGGCATGTCTGTTGATGATAGATATGCATGATCTGATCAATCATTATGTGTATTGATCAAAATTTTTAATCAAGGGCAACAACTGTGTGCGAGACATTCTGTATCCTACTTCAGGAGGAAGATTATCTACCTAAGCAAATAGCATGGATTTCACAGCTTCTAATGCGACTTGTTTAGACAATTAATTAGGATAAAAAATGAAATGATGACGAGGAGTGGTATAAGGTGATACATTGTGAACTTCATCCGTTTGCCATCCTTTCTGATGAATCTAAGCAGACTGACAGAAAAATAACATAATGTTATGGTCTGGAGAAGGATACGACTTATAAACAATCAAAATTATATTCTACACAGATGCCAATGAAAATTATAATGGCAGATGTTAAGAAGTCATGTAGGGTAGTCATACAGGAAGTATCCGTGTGCACGGCTGCATACTAGAGGTGCACACAGCCACAGGGCAAGAGAAGTTGACATCTTACCTTCAAGCCATATGGGTAAAGATGGCTTTCACATCTTCAAACACCTCAGGGGCTGGTTTTGTCGCATCAATCTGATCAAACAATGGATTAGCTGGAGGTAATAAAAGCGCATGCGTTGACAAAACATACCAACCAGAAACTGATAGAGCACGTGCACAAAAATATGGCCATATCTGATGATGGTGATCGAAGTAGTCTCCAACTGACAGATACCATTTTAACACAAAGTTCTTGCACTTACTTAACCTTCCCCTGTTTGCTGAACTGAATATCATATTTCTTTGTGGCAATGGGACTCTAATCATGCAGCGCAAATTTGTTGCTATATGTGGAGTTTCAGGGCCTTTATTGTACACTTTCTGACATAGCATTTGCACAATGCAACAACTTAATCGAGTAATGAATCAAGTGATGAGAAAGGATAGAGGCCATATGTTAATTCAATCACAAACGATCAATTAACATACCCTGAAAATGACAATCTACATATATCAGACTTAAGAAAACATCCAATCAGCTCACAAATATGTGTGCTCTACTCAAGGGTTTTATTTTTCCCCATGGTCCCTGCTAAGGATATGATATGTTGTGCATCACTGGCTGATTGCAGTGCACAAAACGAGATCAGAGTAAACCATGCTTTATTCCATGTGTACTGTGAATTTCAAGTTTTGACCCTGAACCATACAGCAGTTTACTATATGATATTGTGTGATTATCTTAAATGATGACAAGTCTATAAATCCGGTAGGGAGAATAAACTGTACTGCAAGAAGCATGCATAACCATTACAAATGTACACACCTTCTTAACCATGCCTTTTGACTCATAATACTCAATGACAGGCAAGCTGGATTCTACAAAAACTTTCAATCTTTTCCTGATAGTCTCAATGTTATCATCACTTCTTCCCTGCAAGGCAACAAGAAAAAAATAATGTCTGAAGAAATAAATACTCAAGTGATTGTGTCAAAATTTATTTAACAAATTAATATCAGAGAAGAAGCAAACCTGGTTGCGACCCAAAAGGCGCCTTTCCATTTCTTCCTCAGAACAATCGAAAAATAGAACAAATTCAGGAGATATGCTTATCTGAAGCAGTTGGAAGTAAGTAACCAAGGTCTGTAATTGCTTTTAAAATGTAAAATATGAACACTAACATACACATAAATAAAATTCTCCTACTGCTCTATTCAAAACAATGAAGACTAAGTAAGCTTACAACACTCTCAAATACAACACGATTCTCTTCGTTCCGTGGAAATCCATCAATGATATACTTGTCATTTCCACCTTTTATTATGGCTTCTTGCAAAAGCTTTATGGTTATCTCAGATGGGACGATTTTCCCTTCCGTTATGATAGTGTCAATCATGGTTCTGCAAAATATAGAACCAGTAACTAAGTGAGTGAAACAATAAATATGGCATGTGTACATGGGCAAATGCATGTGTGTGTTTTTACCCGTTCTCTGAACCAGAATTGATTTCTGCACGCAAGAGTTCACCAGCGCTAAGATGGATAAAACCAAAATGCTCTACAATATTGCTGCACTGAGTTCCTTTTCCACTTCCAGGACCACCTGTTCATGGATGCTACATCAGATTAAACAACACACACACATAAATACAGTTATGAATTAACAACAGCATAAGAAGGAACTGACAGCAAGTTCACTTTTCTTCTATAAAGTGGCAGTCAAAGGCATGAAATTACTTCTAAAGAATAGAGAAAACAATACCTAGAACAAATATAATTTTAACTTTCTTGCCACCCAACATGTTCTCATTAATATCCTGCAGAAGGACAATTTAACCCATCAGATTGTATGAACACAAAAAGATAAGCATGAGGGTCAAATTCAGGATCCAAATCAAATTGGTAACTGAAATGGCTGGCTGACTTACAGGTTAAAAGAACAAGTATGCATAAATAAATACTATGTAAAATACATATCCATGGGATGCATGGATTTAACCATATTCTCTCACGATGGAATGAACTGCAGATGAATCCTCCAGGAATCTGATAAGAACTGCAAGGTAATGTAAGAAAAAACTACCTTCTTTTCAGTAAGGACGTCTGGATCATCCATGGCTGTGCTCATGGCTACAAGAATACCCCCATGATTCAGACTAAACATCAAGTTGGTGCATAAGTATTTTGCAATAGAACCAAGAAATATGCATCATTCAGAAGTATAAAGCAATAGTGCAAATGTATTCAACATTGCACATGCATAGCAGACCACAAAGTAAGAACTATCCAATTCTAGGTTGATCATGAAGTCCAGACCCTTTCATGGTGCACAGATGTGTTGGTTTGGTCCAAATATTGAATTTAGCTCACGGCGCAAGAGATTATCCCACCAATTTCCTGCCAACAACAGTACACCAATCCCCGAAGACCACTAAAGACTTCGTTCGAGGGTTTTAGTAAACCTCTCCCCCCTAGTAGGTTAGAACTTAGAACTAAATAAGCAAAGCAGTAGTTAAACATCGACGATTCTCACATCCTGCGAGAAATTTTCAATCTAATCTACGGACTACAGCAAATCAGATCGGGAACAAGAAGCGTGGCGCGGAGAGAGAAGGGCCGGAAAACACGCACCCCCTAATTCCTACCTGCTGAGCTCGTCGCTGGAGAAACCACCGGACGAGAGGGCGAGGGAGTAGCCGCGCAGAGGCGACCAGACCTCCACGCATCCGAGGCAACCTGGCGGCGGCCGGGCGGCGAGCCGCGGCGAGGGGCGGAGGTCACTTGCCGGTCACGGTGGCGGTGGCGGCGACGGCGAGGGGAACAGAGAAAGTAGTAAAGAAGAAAAAAAATGAATTTCTTTTTTGGATTTTAAAAAGTGGCCGACGAACAAGTCAAGTCGGTGCTCGGGGCTTGCTCGTTTTGATTCGTCAGACTTGGGGTAGACGGTTACGATTTAAGACAACAACTAGAAAAAGCGCGGCTTTGTCACGCATGGTACAGTGAGCCTGGCCAATTGGGCCTGTAAAAAATTAAAACACATATGTAAAAGAGCCGTATTAACAGTAAAGATAACTAAGCTGTTTATATTAGAGCTTATAAGTTGGCTATAAGATTATCTCTATATTTCGTTTCCTCTCTTTATGTTACTTATAAGAATTTAATATATTTACCTTAAAGCATGTGTAGAGCTAGATTTTACTTGAAAGCCAACAATATTTTTTAAAAAAATCTTTATCCTCCACATAAGTTTATAGTCCACTATTAGTCTATTATCTTTGCTCTAAGAGCAAATTTTATAAGCAAGTTTTATAGCAAGGTGATTAAGACCTCTAATTTATTCATATCATCAACTAACTAATTAAGATGTAGCATACTGGTTTCAATTTGCATCCAAACCACACCATTCTTTTCTTGGAGTTTGTGAAGAAATTACCACTTGCATGAGGGGTGGTTACTTCTCGTATACTATCTTAGAGCTCATACTACACCTAACTACAAATATGTAGTCTACTTTTGTTCTCTCTTCTTCGTTATTCAATAGCTAGCTTATTGCTAATAAAGGGACAAATAAAGGAAACGTCCATCATTTTTCACCCACATGTCGGTGTGTTTTTACATAAAAAAATCTTTAGAAAAGTTACCTTTTAAAGAAAATCATATTTCAATTTTTTTCATGTTTGAAATAATTATTAGTCAATTAATCATGCGATAATGGCTCACCTAGTTCTATATATCTCCTTAATATTTTTATCTCCTCTTAAACATAGCCTAAGGTATGTTTGGAACTCAGAAAAACAAAATACATGAAATAAAATATTTGAAATATAAAACACATAAATACGTGTGTAAAACAGAGGAATAAAAACCATAGAAAGTTTGAAAAGATGGATGTTTGGAACATAGGAAATTTTAGTGGATGATTTAACTATATCCTGCTAATCCGTATTATTACTTTGATCCACAAGAAATAGCGGCCTGCCTGACTAAGCTTTGTTGCCAGCTGTTCGGTGGGAATGTGAGAAATCAACGTGTTTGCACTACAACATGTATGCATACCATCTCGTCTCTTCCACGTAAAGGCGACGGATTGGGAAGAAATTTCTGGACGCGCACGCACGCAGGCAAGAGCATTTCATCGATCCCTGCACGCGCGGACGCACGTTTCGTCGTCGAGCCTGCAAAACCGGTGTTGCCACGTGGCACCATTCTCCTTCCGTTTTTTGGCATTGAATTCGTATTATAAGATTCTTTCACAGCTATCGGTTCAAGTGGCTAATATGTGAGCCAGATTATTTTAACTTATAAATAGATTCGGGGATTAGTCATTTACATATTTATTATTATGCTAGCTTACTGCTCTACGCACATTGTGACAGTGATAAGCTCCACTAGAACAAAAGCTTTAGTTTTGTGTTGGGTTTCATTGGGATTTTAGGTAGATTTGGTTCAGTATAATAGTTAAGTTTATTCAGGGCCACACAGGCCCCCAATCTTAAGGGGCCCAAATAACTTAATACGTGTCACAGGACCATTAGCCCAATAGATTAAATCTATTGAAATGTGCAATTGGAAACAAAGGCTGAGCGAGCACGTCGATTCGTTTTCGGCGCGTGTGTCGATTTGAGCGTCCTCCCGTCCGTCTACCCCAATCCATACGCTGCGCCGCTCTCGCACTCGCACTCACCGTCTCGCTGTCCAGCTCGACGCTCGGCTGCTCGTCGCTCGGCTTTTGGCCCTCGTCGCTTAGAGCAAGATAATAGTATAAGATAATAGTATAGCTCACTTTTTACTATTAGACTATTTTAAAGCTAACATACATAATAGATTGGCTATAAGGTTGGCTATAATTTTCTTCACTTCTCTCTATCTCTCACTTATATATTTAATGAATTTGTCTTGGAGATTATGTTAAGCTAGCTCTTGCATGAGAGCCAACCCTCTTGATTTTTTGTTACCTCTCTTCTCCATATAAGTTTATAGTAGATTTATAGCTCACTATTATTATACTTGCTCTTACCGTCTGCACGTCTGCTGACGTGCCGCAGTAAAGCGGCAAGGTAGCAACCAGCGAGCAACGTCTTTGGGCGACCTCCCCGGCGATATGGCAGCGAGCACAAGCGGCAAGCTTAGCTGCCCTGCACACACCAGCAAGGATGCCGGGTACATGACCTAAATTTTTATTCTGATCGCTAGGTTTATGGTGTATCTAATATGTATACTAGATTAAATTTTATTCATCTTGTATCTATATATGCATAGATTTAAGTAGTATTTCAACTTCTAAGAAATGTCATCTGCAAATCATTGAAAACTTTATTTCAAGAAATACTAAAGGAAAAAGAAAGATACTTTCCAATTGGAGATTATGCACAAAGACAATTTCTATTAAGTTTATATTGCTAAAATATATCATGGAGTGTAAGTTTACCGGTTTATTTTATCGCTTAAGTTAGAAGATTTCACACGGGGCCTCCAAATTTCATGGGACGGCCCTGAGTTTATTAAGGAGACTGTTAATATTATGTAATTTTGGTCAAGTAAAGATATATGGAATAATATCTATTTTGGTTTTTATATACTTTTATAGTGACATTCGTGAACCAAACGAGCGCCTAAGTCCCAACTCCCAACTAGCTAAAAAATTGTCAAACAGGCCCATACACTGCTGCTCTAGTTAGCAGCCTCTGGGGCTACATACACGACACGTCTTAAGGATTACGAATTACGATGAACAAATAAGTTTCCGCCCTCTACTGTCAACATGTATCAATACGATTTGTCTGCTAGACAACTAGAGTATCAAATCAATGTTAGCATTTCCCAACCGATCAAAGACAATTAGCAGAAGAATACTTCGAGTACGATGGATTTCTTCGCTATTACTGTACTCGCCGTTGACATATGATTCCGTAAGAAATCTATGAGCTGGACGCTTGCTCTTGCGTCAAGCTTTCTTCTTTGGTGCCGGAACTCCGGCAGCTTTACATGAATATATATATACACTCATCTGTTTCAAAATGTATAGCGTTATTGACTTTTCGCATAACGTTGGACTATTTTTTTATTTAAAAGTTTAGTACAAATATGTAAAAGTATAATAAGTTAATATTATATTATATTTGAAGATAAAACAAGCCATAACGAAATAAATGATATTTACATAAACTTTTTTAATAAAACGAATGGTTAAACGATTGTGTGAAAAGTTAACAACGTCATGCATTTGAAATGGTGGAAGTATATATTAATGCATTAGGCAGCTTGTATATATCATGTGTTTACGATTGATTGACTGCCATGGAGTTGAGTAAGACTCTGTTAGTCAAGCAAGAAAACTATGGCACAAATGGTATCCATGCATGCACATATCTCAAGCGCGCGAGTGCCTTGGTGTTCTTGCCAGTTGCCACACTCCAAGTGAAAAAATTATGCAACGTACGAATTGATGGAGGCGAGCAAGGCGAAGCGCAGCGTGGCCATCGTCGGCGCCGGCGCGAGCGGGCTGGCGGCGTGCAAGCACCTGCTGGCGAGGGGATTCCGGCCGGTGGTGTTCGAGTCGGGGGAGGCCGCCGGCGGCGTGTGGAGGCGGACGCTGGCGACGACGAGGCTGCAAACGCCGGCGCAGGCGTACAGGTTCTCCGACTTCCCGTAGCCGGCGGCGGCGGCGGCGGAGGAGTTCCCGCGGCACGACGAGGTGGCCGCGTACCTCGACGCGTACGCGCGGCGGTTCGGCGTGCGGGAGCGCGTCCGGTTCGGCAGCAAGGTGGTGAGCGCCGAGTACGCCGGCGTGCCGGAGGAGGAGGCGGCGGCGTGGGAGAGGTGGTCCGGCAACGGCGAGGCGTTCGGCGACGGCAGGGGTGAGTGGCTTCTCACGGTGCAGCACCGCGAATCGGAGAACCTCCAGGTTGGTGAATACGTGACGGCATGAGCACACAGAAAAGTGTCATTCCTGTCGGCTTATCACCGTCAGTTTGGCTTGAGCCGACGGGGTTTCTCAATCACTGTCGGTTCAGCAGGTTGATCGAATTTTCCCGCCCAACCCACTTGATAATCGAAACTGGATGTCAAATAATCGAAACCCATTTTAATGAGTGTTAAATTATCAATCTCTCGCATAGTATGGTAACAAATGACTTGTCAACGGATTCACCTCGCTTATCAATCCACAGACATATAAGTTCGACTTCGTGATCCTTTGCATTGGACGGTATGGCGTTGCGAGCGTTCCAACATTTCCACCCAAAGGAGTACCTGAAGCGTTCCATGGACAAGTGCTCCACTCCATGGACTACTCTAGCATGGACCATACGGCCGCGGCCGAGCTGATTCGCGACAAGCGCATAGCCGTGGTTGGTTCTGGCAAATCGGCCTTCGACACCGTTGCGCAATGTGCCGATGTAAACGGTGAGATTGCTGCAACAGAACATGTTCACCTTGATCACATTTTCCAAATTGAATTTGAATTTGTTATGACAATTTTTACCGTATGATATATAATCTATCTATCTATTATATTATTAAAACAGCCTTGAAAGAAGGCACCACATTCGCTGTGGGGGCTAGAAATTCCCACATTAATCGAAGAAAAAGAAAAAAAGAAAAAGAAGAGTCCAAGTAGAAGTCCAATTTAAAAATAGCTGAAATTCGGAATTAAAAATAAGCAATATTGAAAGAAGTTTCCATATAAGAACCCAATACGATATTAACCAAAATTCGAAATAAAAAAAAATAAAATCCAAAATTAGAAAAGGAAAGGAGAGTCCAAGTAGAAGTCCAATTTAAAAATAGCTAAAATTCGGAATTAAAAATAAGGAATATCAAAAGAAGAGTCCATATAAGAACCCAATACGAGATTAATTAAAATTTAAAATAAAAATAAAAATAAATCCGAAATTATAAAAGGAAAGGAGAGCCCAAGTAGAAATACAATTTAAAAATAGCTGAAATTCAGAATTAAAAATAAGCAATATTGAAAGAAGTTTCCATATAAGAACCCAATACGAGATTAACCAAAATTCGAAATAAAAATAAAATAAAATCCAAAATTAGAAAAGGAAAGGAGAGTTCAAGTAGGAATACAATTTAAAAATAGCTGAAATTTGGAATTAAAAATAAGGAATATTAAAAGAAGAGTCCATATAAGAACCCAATACGAGATTAATTAAAATTCGGAATAAAAATAAAAATAAATCAGAAATTAGCAAAAGAAAATAAAAGAAGAGTTCAAGTAGGAATACAATTTAAAATTAGCTGAAATTCGGAATTAAAAATAAGCAATATTAAAAGAAGAATCAATATATGAACCCAATACGAGATTAATTAAAATTTCAAATAAAAAATAAAATAATATCCAATAAAATAACAAAATTAGAAAAAAATAAAAGAGAGTTTAAGTAGGAATACAATTTTGAAACAACTGAAATTAAAAAAAATAAAAACATTAAAAGAACACAATACGGTATTAACTATTTTTTTAAAAAAATAAATTATGAAATTAGAAAAGGAAAAATAATATTTAAATTAGAAATACAATTTATAAATAACTAAAATTTGTGATAAAAATAAAGACTATTGAAAGAAAAAACCATCTAAAACACATAACGAGATAAATTAAGTAACAGGCCTATAAAAGAGTAGAGTGATGGCGGTTGATACGCCATATAAAAAATGTTAATAAAACAACAAATAGAATCCTAATGACGATTATAAGGAGGGACGTCGGGCATGCCGTGAAGCAAACAAGTAAGGCAGTAGCCGGGACTTCTAGAAAGTAAAAAAATAAACCCATTGATAATCATATTCGATTTTTAAAATCTCAATGACAATAAAAAGGAGAAGAAGCGGGCGGGCGTATAAGAGTATGGTTGCAGAGCCGCCGACGGTTGACGGGACTTCTAGAAAATAAAAAATGAATTCCAACGATAGTTATGTTCGATTTTTAGAATCACAATGACAATAAAGAGTAGGCGACGGACGGGCTGTAGAGGGGCATAGTGGCATCGTTCAAATTTTAAAGGTTCGGAACTTCCAAAAAGTAAAAAAAACCTAATGATAATCATGTTCGATTTTAAAATCTCAATGACAATAAAGAAGAGAGGCAGCGAGCGAGCCGTAGAAGAGTACAATGGCAAAGCCGCTGATGGTTTGACGGGACTTAAAGTAAAAATGAACCCAAACGATAATTATGTTCGATTTTTAAAATCTCAATGACAATAAAGAGAAGAGACAGTGGACGGGTCGTAGAGGAGTATAATGGCAACGTTTGACGGGACATCTAGAAATTATAAAAACGAAACCCAATGTGACAATAAACTCTAAAACTATAAAATACAAATTTTAAAGGTTCCAAAAAGAATGAATAGAAATAGTGATAGATCGAGTAAGCAAATAAAGAAAGAGATGACATAAGGGGTAGCAATTGGTGTGACTTTTAAAAACTATATAATTAGAAACACGAGGATGATAATGGTGTGACTTTTAAAAACTATATAATTAGAAACACGAGGATGATAATGTTTGGTCTTTCAAAGTCTTAAGACAATGAGATAGCTATTTAATAAATTTTAAGTAAAATCATACTAAAAATATATTATTTTGTTTGGGTGCTAGCCGCATAATTACGCGGCCACCCATTCTCTATTAAAAGGACAAATTTATCATTTTTTATAAGTTACTCACTTTCTAAGTATCTCACATACGTGGTTGTCAGGGAGCAAGTACCCATGTACAATGGTGTACAGGAGCCCACAGTGGATGGTGGATGCAGGGCTTGTGTGGGGTGTGAACCTCCAGAACCTTACCACGTCACGGCTGGCCGAGGTGATGGTTCACAAGCCTGGTGAAGGCCTCCTCCTGAGTCTTCTCGCCACAATGCTGACACCACTGGTAGCACTCAACCACAGTTAATCCATCTTGTAAGAAGAAACGCTAAATAGATCGTCACTAATCGTTAACAGTTCAATTTCACAACCCATTGATTCCTTCAGAGATGGTTATTGTCGAAGCTAACGGAGATGTACTACAAGAGGCACACACCGATGCAGAGGCATGGCATGGTGCCAGGCTACAGCTTCTCACAGTCAATCTTGGCTTGCCGGCTCGGCATCCTCCCGAAGAGATTCTACGACCGGGTGGACGATGGCAGCATCGTGCTCAGGAGGTGTGACCCGTCTTTCAGCTTCTGCGCCGGCGGGCTGGTGCTGGACGTCGCCACCGGCGACCACATCGTCGACGCCGACGTGGTCATCCTCGCCACTGGCTTCCAGGCGGACCGGCAGCTTAGGGATATATTCGTGTCGCCGTGGTTCAGCAAGATCGTCGCAGAATCTTCAGACGCCACTGTACCTCTGTACAGGTCATTGCGTTTCACCAATCACTATGTATCGCAGAATTTAACTATGTCAGTACTTTCTTAAAAACCATAAAATTACTGTAATATATTTTTTTCTTTTGAATCATCTCTGAGTGGTGTGATTTATTGATCGACAGACGGTGCGTGCACCCTCGTATACCACAGATGGCGATCATTGTTTACGCGGAGAGCGCGGCGAACATCTACCCGTACGAGATGATGGCCAAGTGGGTGGCGCACCTTCTCGATGGTGCATTCCAGCTACCGAGCATTGCACGTATGGAGAAGAGCGTGGTGGAGTGGGTTTGTTGGGCGCATGATATGAGGAGGTGTAGCGGCAACTACTTCCGCAAGTCATGTATTGGCACCATCACAACGTGGGATAATGATCAGTTATGCCGCAATATGGGATACAACCCAAGAAGAAAGAAAGGGATAGTTGCGGAGTGGATAGAGCCCTATGGAGCCGCTGACTATGCTGATATCTAGTCACCATGTGTCACAAACTGAATAATAATAATAATAATAATAATAATAATAATAATAATAATAATAATAATAATAAGTGGAGAGTTAATTGTATTTCAAATGTTGCACATATAGACCATGACAAACATGTGGCAGCAATGGTGAAATTTCAAGTATAACTTAAAAGGGATAATTGAAGAGAGTACTTTTCATCCGTTCTATAATATAAACATTTCTGGTTATAAATCTATACGGAAGCTTTGTCAGTGCTTAAAAGTGGAATATCGTTATCCCATCCCAGTTAAAGGAAGAGATGTGTAAAAGTACCCAAAACTGTTGCTTGCCAGTTTATGAGCGCTGCACGAGGAAGCATGTTGTTGTGAACCTTTTCAGCTTGGTCTAGAGCATGGTGCTTAGGGCTGTGTTTGCAATCCTGGATTTCCAACCCCTCTCCATCATATTCCGCGCGCATGTTTTTCAAACTGCTATGTTTTCATAAAATGTTTCTATACGAAAGTTGTTTAAAAAAAATCATATTAATCTATTTTTGAAAAAAAATTAGCTAATATTTAATTAATCACACGCTAATAAATGTACACTGTACATGTTGGGAACTTAGGATTGCAAACACAGCCCGGTGGTAACGGAGCCAAACTTTTTAACCTACAAAATATAAAGAATGGGTCCAAAGAGATTGGAGTAAGATTTAATAGATTTTTAAACTTCCCAGAAGTACGGATTTAAAGTATTGAGATGGGTTCTGAAAGGGCCCGTGACCCATTACCACCTACTGATGCTCGATGGATGATAGAGTTGTTGTCCTCATTGTTTATCCGTAGCTTTCTGTAAGACATTATTCAATTATTAATCCCCAAAAAAATAAGAAGGATATGGTGTAAAATAATTCTCCCTTAATGCCCTCTAATCCCTTCTCTAAGGGGATTAACCCCAACAAGGGCTTAGGCCATGTTACATTACTACTATATATCTACTCCCTCCGTTTTACGATGTAAGTCATTCTAGCATATCTCACATTCATATTGATATTGATGAATCTAGACATATATATCTATTTAGATTCATTAACATCAATATAAACATGAAAAATATTAGAATGAATAACATTGTGAAACGGATGAAGTATATAAATGTTCAGGCTGGCTAGCGCTTCAATATTCTATCGATGGATGCGACCAAGAAGCGTGTGGCCATCGTCGGCGCCGGCGCCAGCGGCCTGACGGCGTGCAAGCACGCGCTGGCGAAGGGCTTCCGGCCGGTGGTCTTCGAGGCCGCCGGCGACGGCGTCGGCGGCGTGTGGAGGCGCACGCTGGCGTCGACGAGGCTGCAGACGCCGGCGTTCGCCTACCGGTTCTCCGACTTCCCGTGGCCGGCGGACGTGTCGGGCGCCGAGGTGTTCCCGCGGCACGACCAGGTGGTCGAATACCTCGCCGCCTACGCGCGGCGCCACGGCGTGACGGAGTGCGTCCGGTTCGGCTGCAAGGTGCTCGCCGCCGAGTACGCCGGGGTGCCCGATGAGGAGGCGGCGGCGTGGGAGCGGTGGTCGGGGAATGGCGAGGCCTTCGGCGACGGCTCCGGCGAGTGGCTTCTCACGGTGCAGCACCCTGGATCCGAAGCTACCCAGGTAATTAAGTTCACGTGCTACTTGAATTTTTTTGTCAAATTTATTTATGTTTGATTTGATCAATTTTATAGAAATATTTTTAACACAAAACAAACATATATTCAACGTTACATTTAATGAAACTAGGTTGGTATTGTAGATGTTTCTAATTTTCTCATCAAATTAAGAAAATGACTACGAAAAGTTAAAACGATTTATAATTAATATGAAATGGAGAGGGTAGCTACCAATTTCAAGCTCATTTCAATTGGTTTATCACAAATTGCACACGTACAGTTAAATTACAGTAACATTTCAAACGGAACTTGAAATATATGATCAGAATATTTCAAAGAGAAATATATGATCAGAATATTTCAAAGAGAGGTATCTTGGTGTACAGATACACAGGGTCGATTTCCTGATACTCTGCACTGGGAGATTCAGTGGAGTTGCCCACACCCCAACATTTCCACCCAACCGAGGCCCCGAAGTGTTCCACGGCCAAGTGCTTCACTCCATGGACTACTCCAACATGGGCCACGCCGCCGCCGACGAGCTGATCAGAGGCAAGCGCGTCGCCGTCGTCGGCTCCGGCAAGTCGGCCTTCGACACGGTGGCGGAGTGCGCCGCTGCAAACGGTAAGATCCACATTTCGCGGCGAGAGTAATTAATCGATCTGTGATGAACTGTTGAGCGTGCGTGCTGCCTGCCATGGATCAGGTGGCAGGTATCCGTGCGCCATGATCTGCCGGAGCGGGCGGTGGATGGTGAACGGCGGGTTCGTGTGGGGCGTCAGCCTTGGACACCTCTTCTGCAACCGGCTGGCCGAGCTCACCGTTCACAAGCCCGGCGAGGGGCTTGCATTGGCCCTCCTCGCAATTCTGCTCACCCCTTTGGTTTGTGATGTTACACGTTTGTGAAGTGATAGATCGTACATTAATTTATACGGTTGATTTTTTTAATTTTTTTAATTATTTAGGTGACATACATCCCTCGATAATTTAGAATAATTTTCCCAATTCAACTTGATTATGTATGCATTTTTACGATGGTATTTATATCGGTATAGTAGAAAAAATTTAGATCTTTCGTCTTTTCTTTTTTATTTGACTGGTTACTAGTATTACCGTAGCTATTGCTTGTAAATAAATAACCTCATCTTTTCGCTTATGCTTATACTCAGCCAAAATTTAAATCTTTAGCCTTAAATTTGGAGTTGATTTTGAGGTTTTTTTCATCGAAGTTTATTTTTCAGCCTTTGATTTTGGATCGCTAAGGACACATATATAAAAGTTTTACTCATAAATTATTTTTCGTATACAAATATGTCGTTTGGATTATTCCATGAATAAACCAAACGATGGAGCCAAAAGTAGTTGGACCTTTTTAAGGGACAACAAACTATTTTGGACCATTTACGGAACATCGATCCAACTAGGCGGCGGAAAGATATATTGATATTGAAAGCATACTAGTATCAATTATTGCATCCCAATTATGGAAGAAACAATGTTTCCTTATTTTAATGTGTACACATTCGAATTATGTATAACAGACAAGTAAATTCGAAAATTTCAATATCCATGTTGTAATTTTAAAATGAATTTCAAATTTGTAATTGAATTTTTAGCATAGTTGGAATTATTTTACTTTATTTTTTTTAGAACTACTACTCTATCAAAAAAAAATCAAACCCTCCGTCCAAAAAAAAAAAGACAAACCGTAGATTTCCGTGCCAACGTTTGACTGTCCGTATTATATGAAATTTTTTTATAATTAGTATTTTCATTGTTGTTAGATGATAAAACATAATTAATACTTTATGCGTGACTTATCTTTTTAATTGTTTTATAATTTTTTTAAATAAGACGGACAGTCAAACGTTGGACATAGAAACCATGGTTTGTTTTTTTTTTTTGACAGAGGGAGTAGGTTATATCAATAGTAGTAGTGTATTTTTCACCGGGCATTTCTTCGATATAATAGTGATGATAGGATTCTACTAAGACCAGAAAAGTGCTCACGAATTTTAACTATATCAAGTACTAGCTGTTTTGATACTGAAAATGCTTTTTTTTGTTTCAGAGATGGCTGCTGTCGAAGCTGGCAGAGACCTACTTCAAGATGCAGATCCCGATGGAGAAGCACGGGATGGTGCCGGAGGAGAGCTTCGCGGGATCAATGTCGGGCTGCCGGCTCGGAGTCCTCCCCGACAAGTTCTACGACAGGGTGGAGGAAGGCAGCATCCTGATCAAGAGGGCAAGATCTTTCAGCTTCTGCACGGACGGCTTGGTGCTCGACGACGACGACACCGGCGAGCGCGTCGACGCCGACGTCGTCGTGCTCGCCACCGGCTTCCGTGGCGACCAGAAGCTCACGGACATGTTCGTCTCGGCGACGTTCAAGCAGCAGATAGTAGCAGCTCCTCTGTACAGGTGATACTCCGCACATCGCCGTCAACGATCCGTTCGCCGGCGAGCCGGCCAGCGTCTCGCCGCCGATGAGCATTCATTCGTTCGTGCAGGCAGTGCGTGCACCCGCGGATCCCGCAGATGGCGGTGATCGGGTACACCGAGAACCTGACGAGCATCTACACCTTCGAGATGATGGCCAAGTGGGTGGCGCACCTCCTCGCCGGCGCGTTCCGGCTGCCGAGCGTCGTGCGGATGGAGGCGAGCGCGGCGGAGTGGGACGAACACCTGGCGATGAGGAGGCACGGCGAGGGCGGCGGCGGCAAGCCGTGCCTCGGCGGCGTTAGCACGTGGTACAACGACGAGATGTGCCGGGACATGGGGTACGAGCCGAGGAGGAAGAAAGGGATTCTTGCAGCTACGCTGGTATCCTCTGAAGTCTGAACTCAAGTGAAACTGATCAGTGATCGATCGATCACTGATGTGTTGATCACGAGTATACGATAAAAAAGAACATGAACTTTGGAATTGTTGGGCTTTCAGAAAGGGGAAAATAAGTTGGGCTGCGATATGAAGAGGAAAATAAGTCGAGGAAATAAGCGTTGTTCCAAAACTTTGTTGCATCGCCCATCGTTCTTCTGCAAAACATTGTTCGTGTATATCTATTTCCGTCTGGCTAAAATCTAACAGAGAGCACGATACCTTTTCGAGATATACATGTGTGATGTGTCTGAAAAAAACAAGAGTATATGGCCTCATTTGATTTAAAGGAAATTCATAAAAATTTTAGAGAATTTCATTCCTATAGAAAATTTTCCTATAGTGCTTTGAATTAAAGAAATAAATCTTATGAAATCCTATGATTTCCTATGTAATGCCTAATGGCATGTAAATTTTGTTGGAAATCTAACATGAGGTAGAATCTCATGGAAACTTTCCTTTGAGTTTTTTATTTCTCATCTAATTCCTGCATTTTTTCTTACGGTCCGATGAAACGGTCATTTCTATGTTTTGCAATCTTCTGTTTTACACTCACATTCATATTAAAATCCTATGTTTTTCATATTTTTATGTTTTCTTAATCCTACTATTCAAATGAGCCCAAAATGGTGAGTCAACAGTGCTGAATATCCGTACGTGAATGACTGCAGAAACAACCGGAAGAAGATCGTTGATTCTTCGCCTCTTCGGATCAAAACCACCCTATTGCTCAACTTGTCGCAGCTTGTGCTGACTGCCGACATATGCATTGGAATTGAATCCATGAAGAGAGACTGTAATTTGCATCAGCTCTTTGCTATCCGATTGAAAATGCACAGTCAAGAAACACAACTGGTACTTATACTTTTTCCTTTTTTTGGGGGAAACTGGTGTCATCTTTGTGCTTTATAAAATGTGTAATGTATCACATGGAATCTAGACAACAGATGGTGCAGCTCAAGAACGGCCATCCAAAGTGTCTGAAAGTTTTACATTTAGATCATTCCACTATAACTATAGTATACTCCCAAATCAACTCCTGCTACAGCCAAATCGACTCTCACCACGTCGGTGGGAGAGAAGGAAAAGAGACGATGATTAAGAGGACCAAAGTTGGTCCCCGTGTCAAGAGAGATGGCGTGGTAGGGAGAAGATCATGGGTGGACCTAGGGGGTGTGCCTGGTTGGCACCGGTATACCCAATTTTTTTGGAAAAATACTAGGATGTAGTACGTAATCAGAGGACATAAAAATAGAATTCTCTCATAAAATAGAATATAACAATGATCATGGTTTGCCTGGAGATCTTTTAATCATCAAAAAATCAAATCAGGAGAAGAGGAAAGGACTTGATGAAAAGAAACAGTGGAGGAAAAAAAGAAAAATATCTAGATAGATTAGGATATGGGATTGATTGTTCTGAGTCTTACAGATATTTACTGAATGGGAGAATAGCTAATACGGTCCCTAAAGTTTCGCTTCGGGCTCAATTTAGTCCTTGAGGTTTCAAAACGTCCAAATAAGTCCTCGAAATTAATCATTTGGGTTAATATAGTCCTTGGACCCACAAAAAATGCCACATGAGCATGCCAAGTCATTCTTGCATGCAACAATACAAATGAAATGACCATTATAGCCTTACCATATAAAAAGAAAGAAAAGAAAAAAATAAAGGAAAAGAAAAGGAAACAACAGGAAGGAACGAACAAAAAGACCGGCCCATTACTCTATCTGTTTGTTTTCTCCATCTAAACCCTGATTATAATGTGTGAACCATTTATATTATGTCATGCACAATTATGTCATGCATGTTGGCTATAACTTTTATATTGCAATTTGAGTTGATTGGGTAAAATATAGTTGCTACTTTTACCTACTTACACGGTTTTGTTATTTCTAGGATTTTGATAATTCCGTGCAGTACAGAGTTGAATTGTTCTATATCTGTTTGCGTGCACGTTTAACTACTCACAATAAATAAATAATATATATTATTAGATACAATACATGCAAAAGAAGATAAATGGTTCACACATTATAATCAGGGTTTAGATGGAGAAAACAAACAGATAGAGTAATGGGCCGGCCTTTTTGTTCGTTCCTTCCTATTGTCCTTTTTTTTCCTTTATTTTTTCTTTTCTTTCTTTTTTATATGATAAGGGTAGAATGGTCATTTCATTTGTATTGTTGCATGCAAGAATGACTTGGCATGCTTATGTGGCATTTTTTTGGGTCCAAGGACTATGTTAACCCAAATGACTAATTTGGAGGATTTGTTTGGACGTTTTGAAACCTCAGGGACTAAACTGAGCCCGAAACAAAACTTCAGGGACCGTATTAGCTATTCTCCCTTCATGAATTATGGACGACATTTGAATAGAATTTTCAAAAATCCGACCAAAATTTGCCATCGGAATTGGGTTTTTTTTTTAAAAAAAAATGGTGGAGTGATCGCTAGAATGGGCACACCAAGTGTAATTTTTTTTGGGTCCGCCACGAGAGAAGATGATCCATGCATCCGGTGCAATGTTATTGTCACCGTGATCCACGCACAATCCGAGATCCACCGTCCATCTTCAAGATCACAATCACGCCACACAAAACTTGCGAGATCACTCTCTCCCTATCGCATCTTCTATCTCGGCTCTAAGAAACTCCTATCCCCAACGATTGTTGCTATCTAATCGTCAGCTCTTCGCCTCATTTTTCACGGGCACAGTGGAAGTGGCGGCAGTCGAATTAGGGGCATAAAGTAGCAAAGTGGCCTAAGTGCAAAACTTTCATCATGCCATGCTGGATAGCCACGTCAACTCCTGATCCATCTCATTTGTATTTTGAACTTCGGATGATATATTAAACTATGATTAAATAAGCATATGTGTATTTACGCTTTTATATATCTTTCTTTTATAAAATAGGATAAACCCGGCCTCTACAACGCCTTTACGTATCTAGATGACACATAGTCTAAGTTTAATCGTCCGAATATTTCAGTTGGTTTAGCGCACCAGATTGTACTGTTCACAGGATTTATTTATTGTTCTCCTTGCATCCACAGTGTTTGTCCGCGGTACGATGGAACATGATCCGGATCCATGCGTGTTATCCTATATTTCTAGTCGTCCAATTACTACTCCATATCCTACCAGAAAACTGTGACACATCATTATTCAACCGTTGCACAGAACGCTGCTCGCAAAGCCGAAACTTGTAAAATGGGGGCCAGAAAGAAGCAGTGCCAGAGGAAGAAAAAGTCTGTGCCCCAAATGTGGAGCATATGGCCTATATCGCACCGAAGTAGTACCATGTAAAGTTACATATGAAGTCAACTATTGCAACAACCCAACCCACCTGTCCTACGTTAAATTCAGCACACCTGAAGTCCCCAACTTTACGTTATCCCCTCTGTAATAGCAATACACGTTGTCTTTGCTCAGAAAGAAAAAAAAAACCCACCACAGTATGATAAAACACGGTCAAAACAGCACAGAAAACGTGCCAATTTGAAAGATTAGTCAGCCCTGGCCAGAGTCCGGACACGAACCGCGATCTCGGTCAAGGCCGTCAAGCGAGGCCCCGGCTCGCGCAGGCGCAGGCCGCGCGGCTGACGGAGGAGGAGTCGCGGCTAGTCCCTCCGCTCTCGGCACGTGAGTCGTGACGCGAGAAGGCTCGCGGCGCGGAGCGAAGGAGAGATCCATGTCTGTTTAGCGTCGGTTAGATAGAGCTCCAATTATAAATTTAGCTTCAGGATTTGGATCTGAAATAAAGTTGTGGAGCTTCATCTCATTTTGTAAGAGAGCTCTACCAAGCTTCGCTCTTATTTTAGGTGGAGCTGTTTGGCTGAGCTCTAGCTCCACTATGCCAAACAGACCTTTAGTAGAGCTTTAACTCTTAAATTTAACTTTAAAAGTTGAATTTGAAGTGGGGTTGTGGAGCTGCCTAAACCCAGTTTCATATTTCTAGTTTTATTTTATAAAAGAGTTTTACCTAACTCAACTCTTATTTGAGATTAAGTTAAAACTGTTTGGCTGACCTCTAATTTGATGAGAACTAGAGCTAGAGCTAGTCCTGTGTCAAACAGCTCGGACAACGCATCGCGAGAGTCGCGCGCGTCGCTTGCGCCCGTTTTGTCGTGTGGCGCCGCGGCACGGCTCCTGCCTGCGTGGCTGCGCGCGCGCCTGGATCGATCGGGTTGAGCACGTGTGCGTCGGCTGCGTTGCGTGCGGCGGGGACTCTGCTTTATTCGATGGGTTTGGCGCGAGCGCCGAGCGAGCGAGCGATCGCGACGGCGGGACGCCGACGCGCGTGTGCCGGGCGACGGCGTTTTTTCGTTGTGAAGTGTGAACACGGTGCTGGTGCTACGTTTTCACCGGTTCACCACGATTTCGGTGTGGAAACTGCGAGCGGTGCAACGTTTTCACCACGTGCGATCGATCACTTCGCTTTCCAGGTTTCGCTGCCCCTGAATATGTGAATTCATGAACCAAATTCTATTGAGAACGAAGGGTTTCCTAACGTGCCTCAAAGACAACATGTAACTCCCAATTCGTCTCAGCCTGGTCTAAATTTGTTAAAATTTGAATCAAACTTCGTTCGAAACTTTTCAAACTCATATATTTTGGCGGGTTCTTATTATTTTTTTCCTTTTTCCTTTTGCAATCGGATCCCAGAACCCTAGCCACACGGTCAGCACACTGACAGTGGTTCAATTTTTTTTTTCATTTTACAATCGTTCAATTTTATCTGCTTAAAGGAAAAAGAAAGCTCGATTGGTGGTTTACCAATCCATTAAACTGTGAAGCTCTCCTTGAATTGTCAAGCAATTTTGCTAAAAATATGCAATCACATTTTCAATATTATTTTCTTGCCTTTTCCTAATGTGATTGTTCTTGTACGATTGTCTGGTTTAATCTAATTTAGGTGGGGATTTCCCCCGTGTTCCTTAAAAAAAATGTGATTGCTATATCTCACCTATATCCTCTTATATCTCAGCTATTTTTGGTGGGTCCGACGTTTTTAGGTGTGAATTGTGAACAGTGCTCTCGTTTTCACCACGATTTTCTGTGTGAGTGTGAGCAGTGCTTCGTTTTCACCACGTGCTCTGAAAATTTGAATACTCCACTTCACTTTGCAAGTTTCGCTGCTCTGAAAATTTGAATTAATGAATCAAATTCTTTTGAAAAGGACCGAAAGGGTTTTCCTAACATGCCTCAAAAGTTTTATCTATTGGTGCACAAGTCACAAACGCGGTCAGGCAGACAGTCGTTCAAGATTTACGAACGTTCAAAGATTTTGTGCTACCTAAAAGGGACAAAGAAAACTCCATTAGCCTACGATTGTACAGATTGAGCTCTCCTTGTCGTTCAGTTATACTAAACACTTTACCACCGGCATAAATTGCCAAGACATGCAACGGTCATATAGCTTTTCGTCAATTTCGGTTGGAGATTCATATATGGGATTCAATAATTAAGGGGTCTTTATTTTGTGTGAGCGATTATTAGCTTGCGTTTGCTTCAATTATTTGGGTGTGTTTTTTTAGACTTGATGATGTGCGCTGGTTTTGCACGAATTTATGTAATAATTGGTTGTAGCTCGTTGAGTAAAGATTGGAGTTCTATTCTACTCCCTCTATTCCATAATATAAGGCATGGTCAAATTTGACACGGTTTTCAAAACTAATGTTTATCTTATAATTTCTTATATATTATAAGGTTTGTAGTAGCAAAATTATAATCATATGAAAGGAAATTCAAATGTCAATCCAATGATATAATTTTTAGCAAGTAAAATTAAATTTATATTGTACTAAATGTTGGTCAAAATGTTTTGAAGGTGGAATCTTGAAATACGTGAACGCATTATATTTGGGATGGAGAGAGTATTATCTTAAGAAAAATGCCAAGACATGAGGACCAAGCAAAAGAATATGACATTCCCACTTACTTCCTTCGTTTCACAATGTAAGTCATTCTAATATTTCTTATATTTATATTGGTGTTAATAAATCTAGATAGATATATATGTCTTGATACATTAACACCAATATAAATGTAGGATATGCTAGAGTAACTTACATTGTGAAATGAAGAGTGTACAACCTAACTATGCTATCAACATGTTTGATAACTTTACCAGTTGGCATATACTTGCTTGGCTACTTCGACGAAATACAAGGTGGCCTAAAAGTTGAAGTGCAGAAAGCACGATCGCCTCTGTTGTTCTTATTTGTGGGAAGCCACTTTCTACCCGTATATATATTTGCTAAAGAAATGTGAAAGTAAAACTCGTACGGAGACTGAACAGAGGCATGTGAGAAACACTCTGGAATGGAAAGTGTCAACGTGTTAACGGAGTGCATCAAGCTGTCGTGTAATCTGTACATTTCTGTCAGAAAAAAAAAACTTCACATTGTTTTTCAAAAGAATTATGATCTGTACATTCCTGTGATCCGTTTGACCCGGTCGTAAAAGAATCATGCATTTTTTTTCTCGACATGTGGGCATGAAGCATGCAGGTTATATTAGGTCATTCCCAACCCAAAACACTAGACATAGTTTCCATAAACTCCATATCATAAAAAAAAACTAGTACTAGACACTACTCTTTCAATGCAAACACCATTATTTCATACTTGAATTTAATGCTACTTATCTCATATGATATCTTATCTCATATGATATCTTGAATATTGTGTAGAAATCATGTCTCATGCAAGACATGGTTTCCTTCTCTTTCCTCATTTATTCACTTGCCGCATCATTTTTCATTCTAGATGGCAGCTTATTTAATGCTATGGACACTATCCTAATTATTGGGTTGAGAATAGCCTTACTACACCAGATGCAATAAACTACCGAGTCACATTTTAAATAGAACAGATAGAACAGTGAAAAAACCCCAAGATATACGAACCATAATTCTCTTACCCCACGACACTACGTGGTGCCTATTCCACTGCTCATCCAGCCACTCATGTGAAAGGATCATCGATGTTAGATTTGAGAACCGACATTGATGGCTTTCCACGAGTAAAAAAAAAAAGCACTGAGTCAGATCCATGAATCAAGTTAATATGATTGTATTAACTAAATTAATGGAACTGTTAAAAAACTAAATGAATGGAAGAATGACAAATCATTCACATAATATCCCAGAATATGTGCATGCTTCGAGCCAAAAGAAAACCTAAATCACACTATAAATTCAACATCATTGTCTAGAGCCAAGTGGAGGGGAACACAATGAGGTATCTATGGGTGAAGTGGAGACAACGTCGCTCATCCATCGAGCTAGAGTTGAGCTTGTAGATTTGCTCCTAGCCTCTGTCACCCCGCCGCCCACACCCTATGCGTCTCCCTTCCCCAGCTATCAAAAAAGGTTATCACTTCTCTATCTTTGCTTCGTTGTTTCATCGAGCTATGTAGATGGTAGGATCTGGCCTCTTCGAGCGTAGCGAGGATGAAGGGGAGGCGATCAGGATGGATCTAGTCTTGTTGTCACTACCTCTCCCCATACCTTGACGATGACAAAGGCGGATCTGACCGCTCCCCAAGTTCGAGATAACTGGATTTGGTGGCCACCCGTCGAGGAGAGGTGGATTTGTTGGCCCCATTGCTCGTTGGCCAGGATTAGGTGGTTGGGAGAAAATGGAGAGAGTAGAGAGAGAGAGAGAGAGCAAGAGAGGAGGAGAGACGTATGCGCTCGGAGTCTCGAGTGGTTGCAAATGAAACTGATCGGTTTGATATATTTTTCTAGCTCACTAAAAACTAGGCACTATTTTTTTTGTTGTGTTTTAATAGAAAACCAACATATATAACTATTATCAGTGCCAAATTTTTTTACAGAATCAGCATTTATAATTATCATTCGTGTCACGGTGCCAGTTTTTATCAGTCAGGAAAACCCTTAGCGCCGGCTTTTTTTTTTCTTCTTCAACTAACCGGGGTACGTTTGGGCGTTTGGCTGCCTGGCTGGGTCATGGAACGGAACGGAACGTGTCAACGAGTTGGCATCAAGTTTTGTCATGTACTGTAATCTGTACTTTTCGGTCAGAAAAAAAACTGAACATTGTTTTTCATAAAGAATTGTGATCTGTACAGTACATTCCTGTGATCCATTTGACCCGGTCGTGGAAGAATCCGTGCGTTTTTTTTTTCGACTTGTGCGCATGAAGCATGCAGAACTGAACAAGTATGCAAGATGCAATAAACGGCGGCGTCACATTTTGAATAGAACTGTAAAAAAAAAACCCAACATATTGGAACAATAATTCCATTATGAATAAGATTTTATTTACACAGCTTCAGATCTAAAGTTTTTAAACTGGGTATTTCTAACCTTATAATTTCATAGATTTAGATCTATGATCACGTTAATAACATTTTGACAAATCATTTTGTTTCTATTTTGATGAAATTTAAAGTTTTAAAGCACTATAATTTAATATACAAACTTCAAATCAAACGTGAACCGAAGTCTATAATAACATGCCTAAACTTATTACAAGTATGAATGGAGTATTCAAAGTACCCTATGTTTACAGTTTGGGAGTTCAATGCGTTACTCCCCTGGGTAAAAAAAAAAAAGAAAAAAAATCATGTTTGAACCTTTTAACGGTTCTTTCAGTTGTGGTTTTGACCACAATATTTTTTATAAAATAAAGTTAAAGATTATCAAAGTACTTTTCAACACAAATTTACACAAGACATTTTTATGTTCGTTAAACTATGTATTTCAAACTTCATTGATAGTCCAAAGTTAAAAATTTGGTCAAATCTAATCTAAAACATCATATAACCAAAGGGAATATTTGAAAAGCCGAACATACTTTTTACCACCCATACTAGAATTTATTTGGGAAAAAAAATAGCCATGTTTAAAAAATAGTTGCCACTAATTTTTTTTCCTTTATTACAAAGACTTCAGTCCCGGAGGAAAAAAAAACAAAACGGAGTACGAAAAATTGGTGAGGCCTGTAACAATTCTAAACACCCAGCCAGCCAATCATGTTCGTCTCCTGTTGGAACTTGTAACATCAGTAGATCACCTAATATGATCTTATTATCCATGTATATTAAGTTGAAGGGCCAGGATCACTCACCTAAAACACAGCAATCAACTCCCCTAAAAATTGATAAGAACAAACCACTCCTCTTGTTCCTTTCCACCAAGGAAGTTTCAGTGGGTGTTAGTGTGTCACCATCCATGGCAAGCCATCCATCCATGGATGCAACTCACATACATCACCCATCACCAAAGCCATTGGTCCCATATTATGCTTTCCAAGTAGCTTTCACCCACTAACTAACTGGGAGGAAAATTCAAGTACAGCATCGCCAATGATTCAATGATAAACACGGTTAAAAAAATGAAAGCATAGTCGATTAATTAATTGTAAGCCCATCGAATTACACCACCTGCTGGAATTAACTTTGAGTAATCAGGTCAAATGAAGAGGACATCCCATCTCTTTCCTGACGAGTTATTATTAACCCACCCACCCGGAAGCCACTGATTCACGCAGCCACAAGCTGATTAGAGTAGCATCTGATCCAATCCAAAGCCACCCACTTCTTCTTTATATACCTCCCGCGCCATCTCTCCTTCTCCCAGCTCGAATCGGAGGACCAGCTCCGCCGCCGACGATTCTTGACTTGCCTTCTTCTCCGGCGGCGACGATTCTTGGCTTCTTTGGTTGATTGGTCGGGCGGAGCAGCGGTCGAACAGCTTGCGGGCATCAACAGGCGAGGCATGGCGAGGGGGCTGTTTGCGTGCTTTGGGAGGGGAGGGGAGGAGGCGGAGGAGGAAGCAGGGAAGAGGCCGGCGCTGCGGCGGCGGAGGACGGTGAACCTCAGGTCGCTGTCGCTGGAGGACCTGTCGCGGACGCTGGCGAAGACGAACCTGCACGCCTTCACCCTGGACGAGCTCAAGGCGGCGACCAAGAACTTCTCCACCAGCAACTTCCTCGGCGAGGGCGGGTTCGGGCCGGTGTACAAGGGCTTCGTCGACGGCGAGCTCCGCCCCGGCGCCCTCGAGTCGCAGCACGTCGCCGTCAAGTACCTCGACAGCGACGGCGTCCAGGGCCACCGCGAGTGGCTGGTGAGTTTGCCGCTGTCTCTTCTGCTGCCGAATCATACATCCAGCTCGTCTGATGTGATGATGAACTGATAATAATGATTTTCTCGTTAATTTTTGTGATCAGGCTGAGGTGGTGTATCTGGGGATGCTGAGCCATCCTCATCTGGTGAAGCTGGTAGGATTCTGCAACCAAGATGATCACAGGATGCTGGTCTACGAGTACATGCCAAGAGGCAGCCTCGAGAACCACCTGTTCAAGAGTAAGTAGTTACTAATTACCACATGATTTGGGGTTAATTACCGTGTGTTAGCTGTTGCAGCTTTTGCTAATCGAGTGTGTGATTCATTGGGTGTGCAGATCTTCTTGCTTCGTTGCCATGGTCGACGCGGCTGAAGATCGCCGTCGGCGCGGCGAAGGGGCTCGCCTTCCTGCACGAGGCCGAGACGCCGGTGATCTACCGCGACTTCAAGGCCTCCAACATTCTTCTCGACAAGGTAAATCACACAGCAAGCTTAATTTACAGCAAAATTCGTTGGTGTTGACCACATGATTTGTGTTGCAATTTGGGGGGATTACAATTTGAGAGCACAGTTTAAAAATTGAATCATTGTTAAGCTGCAGAGTGTAGGGCAAGTAGGATGAATTGAGAATGTAGTAGTGGTTGTTTATTTTGTATACGCGACACGCCCAATCAGGCGAATGGATCGCACGTTGTCAACTGTTTCCAGCCGGGTCAAAAATCGTAGCTTCCAACAGTAGGATTAATTAAAATAATGCGACAAATAATGCGACAAATTAGCAGCAAAACCTTTGATTGTTTATTACACAAGCCGGTCGTTGGGCGTAGAACTGATTGGCTTTGTCTGGTTCGTTAGGAACCCACGGTTTTTTTAAGTTCAACGATCCAAACTGCCATACTGGCTTTGTCGTGTCAGTACGGTACATGCCAACCACTACCACAACGCCACAGCAACATCAATGAAATCAAAATGCACAACAAAATCACAAGTTCTTTTTAGTTTTGAACGAAGTTGCAAGAATATTTATGATCTTAGGTCCCATTTGGCATAACTACAGCTTTCAACTCTAACTTACGTAGAGTTAGAGCTGTCAAACGGTACAGATTCTTCAATTTTAGAGCGGAGTTAGCGGAGCTGCTCCATAAATTTATACTATAGAGGTGTAGCTGGGTTTTTGTCGCTCCACAACTCCACTCCATCTTAATAGACCCATTAAAATAGGCACACTTTGATGCCAAATTTGCTGACTTGTCAAATGGGAAAAATTTGCAGGATTACACGGCGAAGCTGTCGGACTTTGGGCTGGCGAAGGAGGGGCCGCAGGGGGACGCGACGCACGTGACGACGCGGGTGATGGGCACGCACGGGTACGCGGCGCCGGAGTACATCCTGACGGGCCACCTGACGGCGAGGAGCGACGTGTACAGCTTCGGCGTCGTTCTGCTGGAGCTGCTCACCGGCCGCCGCTCCGTCGACAAGCGGCGGCGCGGCCGGGAGCAGAACCTCGTGGACTGGGCGCGCCCCTACCTCCGCCGCGCCGACCGGCTGCACCGCATCATGGACCCCAGCCTCGAGCTGCAGTACTCGGCGCGCGCCGCGCACGCCGCCGCGAAGGTGGCGCACCAGTGCCTGCAGAGCGTGCCCAAGTCGCGCCCCTGCATGCGCGACGTCGTCGACGCGCTCGAGCCGCTGCTCGCCGTCGACGACGACGTGCCCATGGGCCCGTTCGTGTTCACGGTCGGCGGCGAGGAGGCGGCGGCGGCGGCGGCCGGGAGTAGCGCCGCCGGCGACGCCGGCGACGACGAGCCGGCGAGGGGGAGCCGGCGGGGAAAGAAGCACGTCACGTCGGCCGTGCACGCGGAGAGCCCGCTGCGCGACGGCCGGTACGCGAGCAGGGTGAAACGACCGGAGAGCCCACCGAGTGTGATCTGATGAGTACATAGAACAAACAAACTGAATTTGTACATAGCAAAACTACATGGTCCTTGATTCATTTGTATTATACTACCTTTGTTCGTGATGTTTTTTGTCTAAAGAATTTGCTAAGGGAAACGTTGATTAATAGAGTTGTTTAACTCCCTTTGTAACTTGTAAGAAAGAAAAGGGGAGTATTTTTCTAGATTTTAGGCGCATATGCAATGTGCAACTTTTGTTCATTTTAACTACGATTTATCTAACTTTAAAGACTTTTAATGTTTATGCCTGTAATTTTGTAAATGTTATGAACGGTAAGTTTATTACATGTAATTAGTTTTTTTTGCTACAATAATTTAATGCTCAACTTTTTTTATCTACAAAAACTTTGTTTAAATAAGTAACAAGGGACTTTCCTAAAAGAAATCCACATATATCTAGCAATTCTTTGGGAACTTACTAGTATTTTATATTTGAAAAACTCTAACCCTTGGTTTCAATCCAAAGGGCCAAATGTTCCTATCAGGTTTACATCGTACAGAATTCCTCCCCAAGTTTTTTTTTAAAAAAAGCTGAATGCTCGTTCTTTGTTGCGGATAAAATATATATTATAATTTTAATAGGTACCAGAAATAACATGTGTTTTGCCATAAAATGTGTTACCTATCATTTTTCAATAGATCAAATCTATTGATAGATTTGATTGATTTTTAGTAAATAGAAGTTTACGGGGGTAATTTACAAAACTACAATGAGAGCAGATGGTGGTGTCAGCCAGACAACCACCACCGCTACTTCTTTTAAAGTACTTCCTTCATTTCATATTACAAGTCGTTTGACTTTTTTCTTAGTCAAGCTTATTTAGGTTTGACTAACTTTATAGAAAAATATAGGAACATTTTTAATACAAAACAAATATATTATCAAAATATATTCAATGGTAACTCCCCGTCAAGATGGCGACAATGACGTCGAGCGCGGCAGCAACGGCGGAGGGACGATGAGCCATCTTCTGGAGACCCGATTAGAGCACCGCCCGCCGCCACCGCCGCCGCCACCACCACCGATTCCCCAGTATGGCATAGTCACGGTACAGAGTGCACAGGATGTCGACGCAGCCATACCTTCAACCCTTGTTGGTGAGGTTGTTCGGATTTGGGTGCCGTTCGATATGCCCAGCTTCAACCCTTGTTGGTGAGGTTGTTCGGATTCGGGTGCCGTTCAATATATCATTGGGCACAGTGTTGGATATAGGTGAAATTCTCAAGGACAATGTTCTTGGGCAGTCCCTGGTGGAGGACCCAGCTCTGCTGGCTGCGAAGCTAAGCCAAGCGAATTGGCTTAGCAATGAGCTCCGTTTAGTGCGATTTCGTGTCGAGCAGCTGCAGCATGCAGATACTGCATCTGTCTGCCTGACTCCCTCCTCATCAGGGAATCTGAAACTTTGGATAGTTTACCTTTTTTTGTTGTTCCTGTAAAGAGGAGAGCTTCATATGTCTGGCCCCCATTTTGCTGTGTGGCCCCCATTTTCCTATTGGGAGGAGTAGTTCATTTCTATATAGATAGTTGAAGAGAAATATCAATGTCTCCCTTAGTTAAGGATTTGGCAAATATACTCATTTTAAATTGAATTTCCATTCCTTTTAGCTCCAGATACTAGTATCCCTCTTATTCATCTCACCTCTGTTTTGGAATAAAGGAGGTACAATCGATGTAATAATTAGCTAAAGCCTACCTCTTATTCATCTCACCTCTGTTTTGAAATAAAGGAGGTATAATCGATGTAATAATTAGCTAAAGCCTAAGGCAACAAAGGTTCAGGTTGTCAACATGTTCATATTCACACCGGCATTATGAAGTTATCATTAAATCGATGACTTTTACAATGGGACCTTTAATATAGATAGACTGAACCATATGGTAATAACTCAAGTGCAAAGATGCCATTCAGATACATAAATTTATACTTATTTGTTTTTTAAATGTCACTCATCTCCTTTATGGGGTAGCGATGCTTTATAAGGTTCTGAATTATCTATATTTTAGAAAGAGAAAATGAATTCTTTTTAAAGTAGATTTTAAAAAAGCATCTGACAAAATTAAATTGCCTTTCATCTATCAGATGATGGAATCAAAAAGATTTCCTAACAAAAACTAGTGATCCGATATTTCCCTTGCTATCTAGCTATAGAAAAAAGAGTTATAGAAAGGAGATACGGAAGATAGGGTAGCTATTATGCAATATGCATATGCCTCTGAGGAGTCAGCAAAAAACATAAAATTCATACTTTGCCTCTTTTGAAAATATGTCTGGCTTAAAAATCAACTTTGATAAGAATGAGCTGATTATTGTTGGACTTGAAAAAGAAAAGGAACTAAATTCTGTTCTATATTGACTTGTAAAATGTAGTGCCCCGTTCAATCTCCCGTTTGGGAGGGTGGATTTTTGTTGCATGCAAAACGAGAAACATCATTAGCACATAATCAATTAAGTATTAATTATTATAAATTTGAAAAATGGATTTATTTGCTTTTTTAAACAACTTCTATATTTTTTTAAAAAAATACACCATTTAACCGTTTGAAAAGCATGCTAAAGGAAAACGAGTAAGTTGAAGTTTGCAGTGGAAGTTGAAGTTTGGAGTTGAATATATAGGGCTAAGTAGTATACCTCTATACATGTTGTCTTTTTATAGACTACCAAAAGGTGTATACCTCTATACATTATAGAACTAGATTTTTATGGTAGAAATATCAAGGCATAAGGAAATATCACTTAGTCCAGTGGCCAATGATTTGTAGGCCAAAAGATCAGGGTGGCCTGGGGATTCTTGATTTATTTAGATACTATGAAAGTAGCATTATTGGGGAAGTGGCTTTGAAAGCTGGAGAATGATGAGGGTCTTCGGCAGAGTATGTTGTATGACAAGTACTTGAAGAACAAAACTTTGTGTTTAGATAAACACAAAACAGGAGACTCACAATTTTGGTCTGGGCTACTTGAGAGATGAGATACAAGATTTTTTTTTTCTGAAATATTGTAGAAAGGAAGTAAGGAATGGCACTATGACTTTGATTTGCGAAGACATATGGATAGGAGACAGGACTTTGGCTGAACAATTCCGAGAGTTATTTAAGGAGGGGACTACGCATCGGTCACCCGATCCGGAGTGGCCAAAATCGGCCGCTGACGTCAGCATGATCCGATTGCATCATTAAATTCGTTACAATTAAATCTTCAAAACAAGACCACACATGGATATATTCTGACGAACATTTTTTTAGCTTATTATTGAATTATTTTTAAATATTGCACGATGTTCCACCAAGTATATCGGAATTGTTTCACTGAGTAGATCGAAAATGTTTCAATCGTTTAAATCGGGCGTTGTTTCACCTTATATAAAAAAATATTTTAGCAAATAGAGAAAGAATATTTCAGTTCACTGCAACATTAGATCTATACATAGTGAAACATTGTAAGTACACTAGGTGAAACATTTTTGGTGGAACAAAAAATAAAACGAATTCCCTCGAATTCCCTTAATAGAGGGTTTGCAAAATATGTGGGTGATTTGTTGCAAAAGAATGTTTCGTTCACTGCAACATTAGATCTATCAATAGTGAAACATTATGAGTACACTAGGTGAAACATATTTGGTGGAACAAAAAATGAAACGAATTCCCTTAATAGAGGGTTTCCAAAATATATGGGTGATTTATTGCAAAAGAATGTTTCGTTCACTACAACATTAGATTTATACATAGTGAAACATTGTAAGTACACTAGGTGAAACATTTTTTGTGGAACAAAAAATGAAACGAATTTCCTTAATAGAGGGTTTCCAAAATACTATGTGGGTGATTTGTTGCAATGGAGTATATAGTGGAGACACATGACAGGTGGGGGCAGAAAACATGGTGGGGCCCAGGCGCCTGCATGCACCCGTGTGGGGGACGGGGCGCGCGGGGGGAGCGCCCGATCTGCTCCACCCCCGTCGGGCGCCCGGCCTGCAGCATTTTCGGTTATATAATATAACTTTCACTAAAATAGTAACAATAGCAAAGGTCTTTGAGATGGGTTGGGATGCCTTTGAATTCAGAAGGACACTAGGTGGGGATATGGCTGTGAAATGAGAACATTAATAAAAGCTTTGTAATGGGAAAATTTTGCAAAATGGGAAAGACAAGCTCATTTGGACACTTACAAAAAGTGGGGTTTTTACTGTCAAATCTTTTTACTATGCAATGAAGGGACACAGGTCGTGCAATACTGCAGGCTGACATGTGGGCCCTGTCAGCCTACAGTACTGCACATGCAGTACTGCAGGGGATCTCAATTGGCAATGAAGTTGCAAGATAGTGGTTATCCCTTTAAGAAAATCTGGAGATTCAAGATTCCTATTAAAATTAAAGTGCTCATTTGGTTAGCTCTAAAAAATAGTATTTTGACAAAAGACAATCTTATAAAAAGAGGATGGAGGAAGGGTACTGCAAAATGTCAGTTCTGCAACAAACATGAAAGCATAAATCACTTGTTTTTTTTAGTGCAGTTTAGCACGTTTTGTGTGGCATACCATGCATTGTGTTTTTGCATGTTCTATACCTGGGGGGTTAAAAGAAGTAATGGGTGGATGGTTAAGCAAGTTCTCTAAAAAGAATAGGAGCCTGCTTTCAATAGGAATAGCTGCTATTTTGTGGAGTATCTGGAAAATCAGAAACAGGGCTTGCTTGGATAATATAATTCCAAATGATCTGTGGAAGTGATTTTTCAGATTGCACATAATATATCAAATCGGGCTATTTTGGAGAACAAGGAGGAAGAGGCAAGAAGCTTGCTGGAGGGGGCCAGGGTGTTAAAGCAGGTAGCCGCTGAATTCTACAGTGCTCGGCATGGCTGGAGCTTCAGAGCTGGAAGGATCCAAGGATGACAGAAGGAAGACGACGTCTCTCAAGCATGGAGGGTTTGGAATATGAGCAAAAATGGCTGAGTTTTTTTGGGTGCTATTAGGAAAGTATGGACTGTTAAGTTCTTAGATGTAGAATGGCTGAAATGGCGTTTTGAATGTGTGTTGAGCAGGTTAAGGGACTATGTATAAGGGGATGGCACCTAGATTAGGTGGGAGGAGGTTGTGGTCGTCTCCTGTTATGCTCTTTTTTCGCTTTTGTAATGAAAAAAAAATCTTGCAGATTATGTTCAGTGGCATGTCTCGCGACACCAAGAATCGCAGTGGCTCGGTCGCTGGCTGGCGCCAAGGATGATGCCAATATCCTCCGGCCCGCTGATAGTCACAACTCTGAACGGCGGCGGCGGAGGCGGCAACAAGGCAGCGAGGACTTCAAGAATGGATTATGTGACCAACATGTTCTTTGCCGCCTGAACGCCATCTTCAACAGCAGTCGCGGCCGCACTCGTGGACTCGACGATCAGATCGCCATGGCAGGCGGGACCGCCCACTGCGACGCGTTCTTGCTCACCGCCAGCCTCCTCGGCGGATTCTTGCGGCTTGTCATGGAAGCCCCCGGTGCGCGCCCGGCATGTCGTTGACGCTCGCGTCCTGGCCCGCCATGTGCTGGACGCCCGCGTCCGCTTCCACGCCCACGGCGGCGACGCCTTCTTGCGAGTTGCCGGCACTTTCTTGCGGCGCCTGCGCCTGCGCCTGAAGACTCCATGGTTCTTGAGGAACGTCACGGAAGCCCGCGGCCATGCACAGCAGGTGTTCGACGCCTGCTCCCGCGGGCATGTCCCGGCCGGCCACGCCTTGTTGAGCCTGAGACACGTCGTCGAAGGCGCTCGCCTCATCTTGCATGTTGCCCCGTATGCCCGCGCCCTGTCGCGCCATCTTCCCTCCGCACAACATCTTGTTGTGGTCGCCTCCCACGTGGCCGACCCCGACGCCGACGGCGCTGCTGCTGGTCGCTGCCTCCGCTCCAAGAAAGGAAGCAACTCCCTCCGGAAACAATGGAACGGGGAGAGCCTCCAACGCCTTGGAGGCGAGAGGACCGTACGCCGCCCCCGACCTCGATCTTGTGAGTCTTGTCGTCCTCTGCTCCCCGGCGGCTGCCTCCACTGCTTTCTTGAAGACCCGAGGAATCCGCACCCGGGGCGTTCTGTTCTTAGGTGCGGGATCGAGGGGATTCTTTCGGAGAGGAGCCATTGAGGCGGGGAGGAAGGGGGCGGACCGGAGGCGGGGAGCCGGGGAACGGGGAAGGAGTGGAGGCGCCGGAGTTGGGGAAGAAGAGTTCAGGTGAGCGAAGCGGGTGGGGGAAGACGACGCCGAGAAGATTGAAAATCGACTCTTTCAGTGGTTTGGAAAGTGGTTCTCTGATGTTGGCAGGTTGATTGTGGTTGACCCGTTGAGGATCAGAAAAGATGCTGTACACACAGAAAAAAAGCATTTCCGCATAAGCGAGGTTTTTTTTCTATGGCAGGTATGACTTTTGGAGTCAAATGGCCGCTAATGAAAATAAAAACCGGGGTGAAGCTCGCCACCCGCTTGCAAAAATTAATTTTTCCACCTTTATTTTTGCAGCTCTCCTCCCTCTCCTCTCTCTCAGCTCTACTCTCCCTCCGCGGCCGGTCGCGATGACGCTGACGCCGACTGCGCCAACAATGCTGACGATGACACCGCCTGGATCTAGGAGGAGAGGGGAGGCGGCGGCGACGAGGAGCTGAGGCTGCGGTGCGGCCGGAGGGGGTGCGGCGGTGGTGGAGCGGCTCCCCTTCCTCTTCTCTCCCTCCGCGGCCAGCCGCGACGACGCCGACGCCGACGATGACGCTGCCTTGATCTAGGGAGGGGAGGGGAGCGGAGGCGGCGGTGTGGCCGAAGACGGCGTCGGCGGTAATGCGGCCGGAGGGGAGGTGTGGCTCCCCTCCCTCTCCTATCCCTCCGTGGCCGGCCACGACGACGCCGACGCCGACTGCAACAACAACACCGACGATGACACCACCTGGATCCGGGGAGGGGAGGGGAGGCGGCGGCGCGGCTGAAGGAGAGGTGCGGCTCCCCTCCCTCTGCTCTCTGGCAGCTCTACTCCTCCGCGCCCGGCAGTGACAACGACGACCACCGCGACTGCAACGACCGCCTGGATCCGGGGAGGGGAGGGTAGGCAGCCATCGGCTAGAGGGGGAGGCCGGCAGAGCCGCTGGCAGGTTGGGGGTGGTGGCGGCGGATTTTATTTTATTCGCTAAAAATATTTTCGCAAGCGGGTGGTTCTACCGTCTATGAAAATAGATGCCGCCTGGAAAAATGAGTTTCACAGGCGGACCGCTGAGCCGCCTGCAAAAATCATCTATTTTTCGTAGGCCTTTGCGTGCCGGTGGTCCTTTCCCCGTATGAAAAAGCTATTTTTGGCCGTCTGGAAAAACGATTTTTCTAGTAGTGACACATTTCGCCCAGGGTTTACGATTCCGACAAGCCCTTCCGTTTCGGGCGCTGGCGGAATTCGGAATTTCGCGAAATCCGGTGGAAAACTGTTAAATTCTGAACAAATTTAATAAATCAAAATTTGAATACAAATTCCCTGAATTTGCCGACAAGTTCTCGAAAACCGGTCGGTTTTGGTAAAATTCCGATCAAATTCATCGAAATTTCGACCAGTAAGTATTTTTCTTTTTTTCTTAATTCCGGTCGGTTTTGGCCCATGTAAGTGTTTCCTTTTTTTTTTGCCAGTAATAATAAAATCCCCACCGTCAATCGGGCAAGAAAAGAAATTACAGCCCGAGTCGTGCATGTTGAAAATGATCGCGAGTTAATTTTCTTTCGATGAAAAGATAAAAAAAAAAAAACAAGAAGGGAGCCCACCCAGCTACCCTGAGCGCTCCGTCCTCCGGCTCGTCGCGCCAAGTGAAGTACACACTGTACACTCTTCCGCCGCCACCTACGCCCCGCCGCCCCCCCCCGCCCCCCCCCCCCCCCCCCCCGCGCCGCCGGTTCATACCCCTGCCACCTTGGTCCGTCCGGAGATTCGCGCGTCATCAGCCTCCTTCTCAGGTACTATCTCTCGGCTCATTCTCCCTCTCAGTTATTTGCACCAGGGAAAGACCCGGAAGGAGAGGAACATCTCTGTGGTTGCTCTCGTTTTCGGGTGAAATTTTTTTGTCTTTCCGATTATACTGGGAGTAACGATGAGGATTCGATTATCTCTGTAGAATAGGATCCGATTCCGGCTAGGTTTCGGGGTGAACCAATCCTTGTTTCCGGACACTGCTTGCCTACTATATATGTTGGATTGCAGCAGATTGATTGCTTTATTTATCTGCAGAGTTCAGAGGAGTCCGGTTGCCAGCTCGGAGAGCAGCTAGAGGATCGCAGGTAATCTCTCTCTGCCAGCCACAATTATGCTCTGATTTCTCCCCCAAACCTATCTGCATATCAGTATATGGAACAATCTTTTTTTTTTTGTTGTTGTTTTGCTAGAAATTGTTTTATTTGATTAGGGGGAAATTGAAAAGAAAATGCTAAGGTTGAAACACATCAGTGAGTTATGATCTTTTTACAATAGTCAATAGGTACTAGGCAGGATATTAATGATTACAATAGGTACTAGGCAGGAAGTTTGAGTAGGATTTCTCTTAATCTTGATTTTTCTCTCTCCTCCCTTCCAGTCTGCGCCCTTACTAAATCTGGCCATCTATGTTGTTGCAGAACAGGAATGGAGAACAATCTGATTCGTAGAACAAAAAGGCTGAAGCGATGCCATCAGCAGCCCTTCAAACAAAGCAGGGCAAAAGTTCAGTTTGCAGATCTTCCTGAGGTGTGTTTAGAAACGAGAAACCTTCTTCAGGTTTCTGTTTTCAAAAAATAGCTTATCGAAAATAACTTCTACCATGTCCCTCTTGTGCAGGATTTGCTGTGCACAATTTTCTCAAAAATTGCCACTGAAGGATGTTGTGAGGACCAGTGTTTTGTCAAGAAATTGGAGGCACATGTGGACTTGTTGCACAAAACTAAGATTCGATGGTGTTATGGTATCCAGGGATAATATTAATGCAATCTTGCAGCAGCACTCTGGCAAGATTGTTGAAGAGTTTGAGGTGAAGTTTGAATTCGACAGCAAGCTAGTTGATCACCTCAATGGTTTGGTTGATTTTGTTGTATCATCACAGACAAAAAAAATGGCTTTTGATTTAGTGCCAACCAATCCTGTTGGTCTTCTTGATCGATACAGATTTCCCTTTGAGCGTTTCGACAATGGAAGCATCTCCCGTCTACAGCATATTCAGCTTAGCTTTGCATCTTTGGAACTACCTCCCCATTTCAGTGGTTTTCTAAACCTAAGGAATCTTGACCTTCACTTAATACGATCTACTCAGAAGGATCTTCAAGATTTGTTATCACAATGCTTTAATATTGAATGGTTGAGTTTAGTTAGATGCCATATTGGTGGTGAAATAAAGGTGACACATCCATTGCCGCGCCTTCTATACTTACGAGTCACATACTGTGATATAACCAAGTTATAACTTAATGCCATCAACCTCAAAGCTTTTATGTATGATGGGATGCGACATCCTATTGATCTTGGGCATGCTCTGGTACTGAAGGAAGCAAGCCTTCATTTTTTTGGCTCTGTACATCTTGAGGATGCTCTTACTACACTCCCAAGTATGCTTCCATGTGTTCAGTCCCTCAGTTTGGATGCCTATGTACCTCTGACTACTCTCCCAAGTGTGCCTCCTTGTGTTCAGCCGCTCTGTTTGGATGTCTATGTTCCTCTCGAGGTTTGTTGCTACACCTTTGAAGTCATATGCAATTCTTTGCTCAATTCTTTCTTACTATCACCTTTTCAGGTGTCCTCGCTGCTGAAGAACACGTGCAAGTTTTCTCATCTGAAATATTTACAACTAAAATTACGTCTATATTATCATGATTCGGGCAACATCCTCTCTTTGGCCTCTTTTCTCAGGGCCAGTCCTTGCATAGAGAAGTTAGAAATACATGTGAGTACTATATGTTTTCCTATTTGCAGGAAATGCGTTTATTCCATATTTCTTCTTTAATCATTCTGGCTGTTAGCAATGCAGTACTAAGATTTTGATGATCTGTCAATTAATTATCCATGCAATACAAGTCTTCTTATCAATTCCCATTTTCACTCATTGCAGTTCAATTCGTATGCTTTGTCACACTTGTATTATCAGCCTATCAGGAGGCTTCCACAAGGTGAATACGGCTATCTAAAGAACATGCATATTACTGGATTTGTTGCATCGACAGGCGAGCTTGAATCTCTGCTACATGTCGTGGAAAGTGCCTCTATACTTGAAGTTTTGACTATTGAGGCGGCTGGCATGTTAGGGAAAGATATAGATTATGAAGGAAGATTAAAAGTTGAGGAATTGACAAGAAGATACCTTGATGGGATAATGTTACGAAATACAAAGCTCTATATGGCATAAGTTATTGTAGTATAGAAGAGGTGTGCTTGAGATGTATTTGAGGATTCCTGTGTGCAAGGATCTGTTGTTAGCTGTGTGCATGTATTCCATGGATCATTAGTAATTTTCGCAGGCCATATCCTTGATAACTCTATCAGCTGATGGATCATTTTTGATAGCTAATTGTCTAATTGATTAGAAATATATAGCCATAATTGGAAATGATGCGATATTTGTTTTTTTTAATATTAAATGATGTGTTGTTTGTAAAATGCTATATTTTGACCTACTTAATTATGTTAATGGCGTAAGAAAATTAACTCAATGCATGAATTTGAAGGGATTGGTGAGAAGATCAATGAACATATTTGGAGGGATCGATGATTATAGATTTAAGATCCTTCAAAATTTACTTGGTGCAGTTCAAATCATTTGGCCTCAGTAATTTTGTTGACCCCATAGTTCGTTGATGTCTTGCTTATCACTTGTTCTGCTTCATCTTTTGCTTATAAGAAATGTCTTTGTGCCTGTCGGTGGATGGCGAGCGAAAAAAGAAGTTATGTTTTTCAACTGAGAAAAATCTTTGTGCATCTTTTGCTGTCCTTTTGGATTTAGGATCTGAGTTGTGCTAAACTCTAAAACCCAAGAAATCCATTTGATAAAGCTGGTTATTTTATCTTTCTGGAAACTGTCAAAGAACTGACTATCTTGTGCAGGTTACTTGCCTTTAGTTTGGTGAAGGATCGATACTTGCACTTTGGTTTAAAATGTTCTATATATTGTTGTCTCACTTGATTTATTGTGTAACCATAGCTGCTTTCAGTTTTTGTAAGTGCTAATCTGTAACCTTGCTTTGCAGTTCCTGAAGTTGTGAGTCATGGCTGCCAAGCTGGCTTGCCTCCATAGTCTCCATGAACGCCTTGGTACCACCTTCTCATCTCATCCTAATAAGTTGATTGCAGTCTTTTCTAGGTGAAGATCTCCTTTGAATCTGCTCCTGGAAATGGTTGAGTTCTTATTGATCTTTATCCGCATAATTGGTTAGTTCTTAGTAAATTGAGTAGTGAAATGAGAGCATGTTACTGACTCTTAGCTGACAAGGTGATCCATTCCTTTGGGTTTATATAGTTTTTCCTGAGATTGTTATGATGGTGTATGTAATGATCTTTGATGAGATGTAACATATTGATTATGAGTCATGGATCTTGGATGATGTTAAAAATATTGTTTTTAGCTAGAATCAGTAAGAATCTGGTCTATATGGTAATGCCATCAACACAGTTCAGCCACAGGAAGGATGTGAGATCGAAGCATTCGTTCTATTTCTCAAATATCACTCTATGCAGGTATGTTAACAAGGGAAAGGGAGTGCTGTAGCATCACCAGTTGCTTGCTGAGTTTGATGAATTGATGCCTTGATCGAAGCTGACAAAGAGAAATGTGCTTCATTTGAAGACGTTCTGCGTGCTGCCCAAGTATATTTGGCAATGTGCCTACTCCAGCATGGCGACGATAGTCAAATCGAAGTCATCTACCAGCTTTTCTAATTTAATTTCCTTGACTGCATGTAGGAAGCCATTGTGCTGCCCCCATGTGTTGCACTGGCCATCAGGCGGCCAAGGTCTGGTGTCTGGGACTACATTTGGGTGAATGTGAGTGAGTTGGCTGTGGAGGAGCTGAGTGTTCCTGAGTACTTGGAATTCATGGAACAGCTTGTTGATGGACAGTAAGTTCCAGAAAGACGATATGCACATTATAACTGAAGCAACATAACAGTCTGAATTCAACCTCTCCTTTTCTTAAACAGCACCAACAGTTGTTCTCGAGCTTGATTTTGAGCCCTTCAATGCCTCCTTCCCGTGCCTGTTCATGTCCAAGTCCATCGGAGATGGGTGCAGTTCCTTAACCGTCACTTGTCGTCCAAGTTGTTCCAGGACAAAGAGAGCCTCTACCCCTTGCTGAACTTCCTGGAAGACCATGACCACTGTGGGCACGGTCAGAACCTACCAAATGCTTTTCTACTGCATATTTTTTCTTGTTTGAATTGCCTGTTGTTAGTCCTTTAGAAAGCTGACATTCTCTGAAGTTGGCGCCGGACAAAGGTGGCGCCGGAGCCAGAGCGGCAGCGTTTCCCGCGTTGGCGCGGGTCTAGATGGTAGTGCAAAGGGAGCTGGCGGCGGTGGGTCGTCTTCCTCGTTGCCGGTCGGCACCCTCGCCCTTCCTGGAGCTCCTCCCCTTCTTTGTGGGGAGTTTCTAGGCTGGATTGAGGCGGCAACTTGTCAGCGGGGGAAGCCTAGGTTGCTGAAGCAATGCCACCCAGTCCCGGGTTCTCCTTCAGCTAGATTTGGCGAGGAGACTGGCGGGTGGTGGATCGGAGGGGTCCTGGGCCAGCTCTCAGGGATGGAGGTTCGTTGAAGTCAGCCGATGGCGGGGCGTCGGTGCGGTGTGGTGGTAGTCCTGTCGTTGGCAGGACTGGAAGCTGGCCGGCGGAGGGGCGTCGGTCGGGTGTGGCGGAAGCCATGTGCCGCCGATGTTTAGATGGTGGATTCGGATTGGGCGATGGACCACGGCGGTAGGGGATTCCGAGCGAAAGCTTAGCCCAATTTTTTTTGGGCCAACAGTGACTTCGCTTTCGGGCGTGGTAACCCTCCTGAGGGCACTGTTGAGGTACCCCTCCTCCCTCGGCAAGGAGCTCTGGGTGAAAACCTTGTCCAAGGATGACGACGGCGTCTTTCGGCGTCGCAACCCTCGTGAGGGCGTTGTTTTAGAGTCTTCGTGTCGTGGTGGTGTTGTTGGCCCGGTGGCGATCGGTCTCGCATAGCGATGGCCGGTTCGGTGCTTGGCTTCCCTCTCTGTAGCATGTGTTTGGGCGGTTGGCACATGGTTCGGGGCGTGTGCTCTGGTGCATATCCTTCCTCGACAGCCAGCTGTCGATGTAAAACTTTTCTTGTAACCTTTTCTTCCTATCTTAATTACATTGAATGACCTCCTTCGGTCATTCCGGCAAAAACATTCTCTGAAGTTCCACTAAACGATAGGATCTGAATTTCCTCAATCATAATATATTGTTTTCTGTTACAGACCATGATGCTGAATGACAGAATTCAGAGTGTACATATGAATTATAGAGTAATGTGCAGACATGATTTTACTTGATGCAGGTAACCAGGTTGTTGCCTGATGTTATTGGGACTACATGCAGCCAGTGGCTGGAGAAGGTTATTGGAACTGAGCACACTGACATTCTTCGTGTTCCATTCAGAATTCATCTTTCTTTTTTTCTTTCTTTTTTTGCTGCAGGATGTTGCAAACGAAATTATGAGGGAAATGCAGGCCAAATATACCATTTTTCGTGCCAATTAACTGCTGATCATGCCATGACACACAGACTTCACATCATGACCAGCACATTCCAAGAAATTGCTAGAAGGTAAAATTTTACTATTGAGCAGTAGAATATCGCTGCATTGTGGCAACAACTGAAGGAGTATATGATGTTTGATTCCTCTGTTTCTTCAGCAAGGACACTGTTCGGCAGTATGAATCACACATTGCATTCACCCTTCCTGCTCTTGCAATAAGACAGTCAGACTCGGACCATCGCATATTACGCTGGAAGTTCACAAGAGAATGCAAACAATCCGATGAAAATGGCTTTCATAAAGCATATCATATTTCAATTGGCATCAACTTGCAAACCCATTGTAGGCTTCCATCGGATGGCCTAATCAGCCAAAGAAAAAGCCAAATTTTGAATTTTCAAACTTAATTTTGAGATATTTTTAACGTAGTTTCTTTTACAACATTGGCTTTTAAGTCACCAAGAACACATTTATAAAAGTTTCACGTACAAATTCATTTTTATTTCCTAATAAGCCGTTTTGGCTTATTATGGGGACCGCAGTAACCATGTCTAGAGCATTTTGTAACACTAGAACAAATTTGATTGGTACTAGGATATGGTGAAGAACAATGGATCGAGTAGCTTCTGACCAATGACATTTTCTATGCAGTCTCAAAAAAATAAAAAAGGGTCTCTTCGGAGACATCCGATAAAAAAATGAAAAGGAAAAAAAAATGAAGGAATCGAAAACGACACTTGATTTTGGATTGATGATCTGGACTTAAATGGCAGCACCCATTTCAGTGGATCTGATCAACCAACTCTTCACAGACGCCTGGATTGATGACTGATTTCTCTCTTTCCAAATTTCTTAGACGATGAGTAGGATTAGGGTCAGCATAATGCCATTCAAGAATCATCCTAAGCCATTGTGTGAAGAGCGGAATTCATTGACAGCTTCATGTAGTTTGATCCACCTCAAATCATCTCTGCGAATGCACCAACTGAATTTGGCAGTGGGAAATCTAAAGAGAATATGTACTGCATCATCATGCGAAGCACATACAGCACAAAGATCTTACCCAATCCAATTCTCAACAACGTAGACTGAATTCTTTCTCTCCAACCTCTAACCACAAAAAATGCTTAATTTCCATAGGAATGAGTGCTTTCCAGACATCAGACGAGATATAAGATGAAAACGCTAATGCTCTGTACATTGATTTAGATGAAAAACATGTATTACTCTCTAAAGCCCCATAAGATCTGGTAACTATTCTTACAGAAAGAAACTGATGGAGTAAAAACGATCAAGTAATCAACCTAATAATTTCATTCTAATAGATCATGAGAGCCAAAAGATCTTCAGAAAGACAGATTCTCTGCTCGCCTTTCTAACATCTCAGAGTAAGAACATCAAATGTTCAAGATTCTGCAAACCTGAAGCATTACTGGTTGCCTCTCACATGGTAAGAACATCAAGCGGTCAAGATTCTGCAAACCTGAAGCATTATTTTTCCGTGGTGGCTAGTATGAAGAACCCAAGATTGGGGGAAAAAAGAGTCTAAACTGCTAGCAATGCACATGCTCATTTTCCTAAAGGCTACTCCCTCCGTTTCATAATATAAGTCATTTTAGCATTTCCCACATTCATATTAATGTTAATAAATCTAGACATATATATCTATCTAGATTCATTAACATCAATATGAATGTGGGAAATGCTAGAATGACTTACATTATAAAACGGAGGGAGTAACATTTTTTGTGGCCAACAGAGAAATTAGTGACATCAGACTGTCAAAGCACATCGTTTGGAGAAGTGAAACCAGTTTTCACGAAATGTTCAATGATCTCAGTCTGAGTCTCAGGTGATCAAACATTCAAACCTATATCTTAATCGTACGCAAGGGATAAATGGAATTACATACATAGGCACGTAGCTAAGCATCCTGAACTTACACCCATGGCACAAATCCTGAACTAACACATGCCATAAATCCTTATATATTGGCTGTGTTTAGATCCAAAGTTTGGTGTCAAACTTTAGTCCTTTTCCATCACATCAATCTGTCGTACACACACAATTTTTCAGTCACATCATCTCCAATTTCAACCAAAATCCAAACTTTACGCTGAACTAAACACAGCCATTGTTTCCTTCAGATTAAAAAAAAATGTAAGATGCCTGCATACATGGCTGCATCTACCATTTGGATAACATCTGAAAATAATATTTTTTTTAAAAAAAAGCAAATACATTCTACATAGAGGAGATGGATTTTCATGACCTATCTTCTTTCTATATAAAAAAAATATAACCATTTGGGTGGGCCAAATGCAAAAATAAAGGGATAGTGTGTTCTTAATTAAGGGATGAAAATACTTTCCCCTACATATAGAACACATTGTACACATCCATTGACCACAAATCTTAACTAGTACACACGAAAAGTACGAAAGAAAGATACCCACATCACCATCAAAAATTAAGCAAACGGAGCGACGAACCAGACACGATATAATGCTACTGCAACATAGTGTGCGCTATACCACAACACGAGTCCATCAAATCCACAAGCCATTAATAAGTATCGAAGAGTTGCAGCTGGTCACATACAAAATGACCAGAAAAGCACACTTGCAGCACATATAATCCGATCTTGTTACAGCACAGGATGAACACTAACTCTCGGACAAGTCTGAACATTGTCGATCCCATAACCAGCACAGATGACTCAAGAAAAATGGCTCAAATCGCTTACCAGCAGTAGGAAGAAACTCAGCTCGTCGATCAGTCGGCGTAGGAGGCAGCAAGGACGGTGGAAGTGAGGGTAAGAACGACCGTGACAAGCGCAGCGGCGAGGACCAGCTTGGCGAGGAGCTCCACGGTGGTCGTCGCGATCGGCACGTTCCCGGCGGCGGTGGCGGCGGCGCCGGCTCCCCCTTCACCGCGGCCAACAGCACGGACATGGGTGTAGATGAGCGTCATGGAGAGGAAGAACGTCGTCGCTGCAGCAGCTGGACGGAGCACGTGGACAACCGCGACGGCGAGGGGTAGCAAATCTTGGCCGCCGTCGATGGCGCCTGGCTGAGGAGCCAAGAAGACGTGAAGCACGCCGGAAGACAAGAACAGGATGAGGTAAACGACCTGCGGGCGGATCATCCTGTCCACGGCACCGCCGCCTCCGCCGCCGATACGGGCGTAGATGAGTGCGACGGATGTGTGGAAGGCAACCATCGCCGCCGCCGCCGCCAGCAGCATCGTGTGGACCGCGGCGTCAAGCGGCGGAGCTCGAACGAAGCAACTCTCGCCACCCGACTGCAGGTCGACGTAGGGGAAGAATCCGGTGGCGTACATGGACACCAGCAGCCCGAAGAAGGCGGTGACCGAGGGGGCGCTCGCCATGGGGGATGAGCACTTGAGCAGCTTGGGAGGATCAAGATTCTAGAGAGGTGCGGGGTTGCACGAGTGGAGAACGGTTTGGATCGGGGTAAGGTTCGCGGAGGAAGGAAGAAGAAATTTAAAGTGAAGGGTCTCCCACAAAAAGCACAAGAAGAAATCGCGAGCGGCAATAAGGCATCCGCGGCCTGGAGGCAAATATTGCGGCAAAAATCCTCTCTCAAGTTAAAGCCAGAGGAATTGAAAGGGACGGGTTGTTCCGTCGTTGGGTGGGGTGCCGTGCAACATTGCACTGCAGCCAGCAGGTCGGCTGCATTTTCAGGCAGTGGCTTTATTTTTCTAATTTTTTTATGGAATACTACTATTATTGCATGGCAACCATGATAAGGTTATGCTATCTTTGACCAACACTTTTGTAGTATCCATCCACTTATTAGATTTAAGCAAAATTTGACAGTAACAGTTAATTTTGGAGATTTAATTGAGTCTTTTTCTACTGTAGAACATAAGCTTATTACTCAGATGTACACCCTTCGTTAAAAAAAAAAAACAAATCCTGAGAGTACACAGAGGCAGAGTCCTAGAAGATGGAATGTGCTCTTTTTACACATATATATATATATAGGCACACCTGTTTTTTTTTTATATATATAGAGTATACAGGCTCTTTTTACTTTGGTTGTGGCTTGTTTTTTTCTCCACGTGTGGAAAAATCAATTGATGCTCCGAGAAATGACTCCACAGCAATACAACAGTACATAAAGTTGTTATTTCTTCCCAATACATTGACGCTCCCCTTTATATGTTGGGTAATTGGCCTCACTACATTTAGGGGTTCGTTTCGAGAAGCTTTTATCTTTCATCCATATTAACTGAGATAATACTACCCGTATGACCACTAGAGATGGGTGTAAATAACTAACTTAAAGTGATTGTGATCCACTAATATCAACTTGTCAATTTTGGCTTTGTTCTGACGGATTTTTACTCCATGAACCGGTCACTGTTCTTTCGCAGAAAGGCGCATGACACGGTACACCGTACACATCAATTGCATCTACATGATTCGCGTGAGAAAGGAGCGCCTGGATTGAGAGATTCTTCCATTTCACTGCCGCAGAAGACATACGGCAGCAACAAATTCCTCGTTTTAAATCAGGGCTATGCACCATGTACGAGTACTTGACGTTTTTATCAGAGCAATTGGCCGGATCTAAAAGGCAACTACTCTCCATTTCCCCAGCTGAATCGTGTCGCATGGCAGAAAGCCAGGAAGGCAAGGCAAATCTTAACACAGGTAGAACCGTAGAAGTACTAGAAAACGAGCAGGAGATGCAGAGCGAAAGGAGCACTGAAATCCAGAGACCAGAGAAAGGGCACTGCACTGACCTGAAATGTCTGCACACGTAACGGCTGCAGGGCACGCACGGTCAGCTCAGCTATAGCTCCGGCCATGGAAACCGGCTCCAAATCTGCAACCGAGCTCGCAGATTGGCGACCCCGGAACATGGAGAGGCGAGAGCTAGGGGAAAGCTCGATTGAGCAGCAGCCAGTGGTTGACCTGAAGAAGTGGTCTCTCCTCCTAGATTAAGGTATTTAGTAAAGCAAATGGTCAGGACGAGAGCGGCAGCCATCTTTCCCCACCACAAGCACACCCCACTGCACCATGGCACCACCTAGGACGCAGACAGCTCAGAAGACATATAGTATGACAAAGCATGTGTATTTTTTCAGAGATCCAAGTAGTAGCATCGTACTAGTTCACTTTAGCTTACAGACAGGCAGCTAAAGTTCGTTTGTTAAGTTTGGAACCTAGAACAAACTCATCTGGGTGAAACACACGGAGTTTCACTGGAGTTTTACAGGCAGACATGTCACATGTCATCGCACTAGGAGCAGTTCTTGGCAAGGGACAATCAAGCATCAGGGGGACGTTCAAACGGAAGAAGGTTTCGCCAAAAACTCATTTTGCTCTGCTCATCTCACTTTCTCACTTGACAAAAAACGGTGGTGGTGTCCAATCACCATGTGAGCATACGAACCCAAACGAAAAGGAGAATCTGCAACTTTTGAAGGGCCTACTCCGTACATCAATGGGGGGAAAAAGAACAAAACTAACACGAAAGAGGCGGCGTCGCGGCGATGGACGCTGTCAAAGTCGTCCTCACTCCTCAGCGCGAAGAGCTCTCTGACCGGATCAGGGCGGCGCGGCCGTGCAGTGGTCAATTTGCGACACGGTCTCCGCATCAAATCATCTTGTGAGTGAGGACTACTGTAACCAACCAGATGAACTTTAGGATTCCTTCGGGGGAAAAAATACAGAAATTTCAAAGGATTTAAAATCCTATAGAAAAAAATTCCTACAAGATAAAGAATTGAGTTCCTAAAATTCCTTTAAAAATTCCTATATATAGATTGGCATGTATCATGAAAATTTTGGAGAATTCTTAGCATGTGCTGTAACCTCTTGGGATTTTTTGTCTACCTCTCTTCCAAATTCCGTGATTTTCTTGTGCTTCACTCAAACTGTTTTCTATGTACGTAGTTCTCCTATGGTTTTCATTCTTTTAGAATCCAAGGACCATAATATTTTAAATCAGGTGTTTTATTTATTCTCGTGTTTTGAGAATTGAGAATCTTACGTTTTTCAAGAAGTTTGTAAAAGCTAGTACTCCTTCCGTGTTTATTTGTATGATGTTGTTTTTCTTTTAAGCAAAGGGGCAAAGCCCTCCATTTCTATTATAGAAATGGTGCAGCTATTACAGAGAGTCATCCCATTAAACACTAGTGAAGAAACCATATTTGGTGGGTCGACCAGATTTCACAAATAGTCCCGGTTGTATTAAAAACAGGGACTAAAAACACCTGGTTTAAAAGCTACAGGGTACTTTTCAAACTTTAGTACCGGTTGGTGTTACCAACCGGGACTAAAGATATATTTGTAGTCCCGGTTGATAACACCAATCGGAAAAAAAGATCGCCATACGCTCTACTCACCAACCGGGACTAAAGATCTATTTATAGTCCCGGTTGGTAATACCAACCGGGAAAAAGATCGACGCGGAGATCGGAGAGGCGTGCGCGATCGGATCGAGGTATCTCCTCCTCTCCTTTAACTCGTCTCTCGTCCTCTCCTCAACCTTATCTCCTCCTCTCCTTTTTAACTCCTCTCCTCAACCTTATCTATTATTCTCCTTATCTCTATTCCTCTCCTTCTCTCTACTGCCAGGCCGGCGTGAGGGTGGCGGGGCGCGGAGGGCCGGCCGGCGCGGGCAGCGGGGCGCGGTGGGCCGGCCGGCCGGCGCGCGGTGCGGCGGCGCGCTGCGAGGCAGCGGCTTTCTTTTTTTCTTTTTTCTTTTTTGAAGAATCTGAGATTGTTGTGTGATGTATTTGATTGGATATGAGATTGTTGTGTGATGTATTTGACTTATGTGTGATGTGAATATGTGATGAATTTTGTAGAAGTTGTGATGTAATTTTTTTTAAGATTTTGTGATGTACTTGAGTATTTGAGATGATCGATTTGTGGATTTGGAGGCAATTTGAGGATGTTTGATTTGGGATTTTGGGGACAGGATGGGGTGAAATCAATATATTTAAAAACAATGAAGAAAAGAAAAGAATAAAGAGCAACCGGATCTAGCCTCTTTAGTTCCGATTGATAACACTAACCGGGACTAAAAATGCTTTATCTTTAGTCCAGGTTAGTGTTACCAACCGGGACTAAAAATGGATTTTTACTTTCGGTTTTTTCACCCGAGACTAAAGATAACGATCTTTAGTTTCTGGATTCGTAGTCCCGGTTAGAAAATCGGAACTAAGGGGAATTACGAACGGGGGACCCTAATGGGCGATCGCTCGCCTGGAGATGGGGGTAGCGATCAATTCGCCCCCCTCCCTCTCCCTTCCTCCCTCTACCTGATTTCCTTTTTTGTCACCGCATTACTTTCCTATTTTAGTAAATTTATGCACCTAAAATTTATACACCTCAAGTTTACACATCTAAAGTTTAGAGACCCAAAGTTTAGAAGTTAAAAGTTTATATATCCGATTCAAATTTGAATTTGAATTCAAATATTTTTCATATATAGTATTTCTATACATATAAAGTTTATACACCTAAAGTTTATATACCTAAAGTTTATAAGTCAAAAGTTTACAGACATAAAGTTTATAAGTCAAAAGTTTATAAACCTAAAGTTTATATACCCGTTTCAAATTTGAATTTGAATTATATGTGATTCAAATTGAATTCAAATATTTTCTATATATAGTATTTCTATACACCCAAAGTTTATAGACGTAAAGTTTATAAGTCAAAAGTTTACGTACCCGATTCAAATTTGAATTTGAATTCAAATATTTTTTATATATAGTATTTCTATACATAAATATTTCTAACTTTTTGTTTTTTTAATTTTTTTTTGTGATGTACTATAATAGGAAGAGAAGAAGAGGAGGAGAAAGGGGAAGAAGAGAGAGGAGCATAGGGGGAGGCGTGGGGTGATCGCTAGGGCAGCGCGGGGGCGATCACCCGCGCGTTAGGATTTCTGATTACGAACCGGAAGTAAAAACCCTTTCTCTACTAGTCCTTTCTCCACTAGTGAAAGGTTCAAATATAATTGTTGGTTAGTTAAAAATGTATTAACCAACGTCATATATTTCGAGAAGGAGCTGTATTACTAAATTTATGGGACAAAGGATGACCAGCTGTACATCTTCCACCGGTCGAAAATGATATCCGTGTTACCGAGTATGATGTAACAACCCAAGAGATGGCAAAAACTAATATTGTTTTGTCATGTATTAGAGCCAGGCTATTTTTTTCCAGAGAAGGTTTTTTTTACCTGGTCTTTATATCCAACCGGATATATGTGACCTTTTTAAATTTAGAACTTAGCCCTCAAATAATAAATTTGTTCCTATGAAGATTTAAATTCACAACCTTAGGATACTATTTTGGTCACTGCAATCTCTAGGCTATATTCTCTTTTGCACTGGAGCCCGTCCATATCGCTGCTTACCGTCTATATAGTACTGTCCCTTATTTGCCTACTTGTGTTCACTTGATGTACTACTGTTTACGCTTGGACCGGCCGGATGTGTGTAATCTGCCGACAACATCTCATTTTCACAAGAATTTCTTAGCAGCGATTAGGGACTCACAAGTCACAATGCGACGCCTTAGCTGAGACACCCGCATCATATCATACTCTCTCTATCTCATAATATAAGAGATTTTAAGCTTTTACTTACACTGTTTGACCACTCGTCTTATTCAAAAAATATTTGGAATTATTATTTTATTTTTGTGTGACTTACTTTATTATCCAAAGTACTTTAAGCACAACTTTTTATTTTTTATATTTACATAAATTTTTTAAATAAGACGAGTGATCAAACAATAAAAAAACTCAAAATCCCTTATATTATGAGATAGAGGGAGTAGTTGTTAGTAACCCCGGCGGGATCAGCTTTGTTGAATCGTGTTCTCGACTTCTGGTGATCAGAAGACTGAATTTAATCCACATGGTGCAGACAAGAGTGTCCCCGGCCTTACATATATACGGAGTATTTGAGTCTCTATATATTTTCCTCCATTTGTATTACGAAACGGGGGAGTAGCATACACCGTACTCCCTCCGTCCAAAAAAAGACAAACACTGAGTTTCCATGTCCAACGTTTGACTGTCTGTCTTATATGAAATTTTTTTATAATTACTATTTTTATTGTTGTTAGATGATAAAATATAATTAATATTTTATACGTGACTTGTCTTTTTAAATTTTTTTTTATAATTTTTTAAATAAGACGGACGGTTGGAAACTCAAGATTTGTCTTTTTTTTTTTAAGGATGGATGGAGTATTTAATTTGTGAAATCGACAAGATGAATGTGAAGGGAGCTGGCCGTCATCCTGTATCCGGTTCGTGCTCGTCACATCATCAGATGAGGTCTCCATTGGCTGCCTAGGATCTGCGCTAATGATTCCATGATTGAAAAGAGGGGGCAAAAAAAAGAAAAAACTTCGACCCCATTATGCTGTCACACGTCACTGCTGCAGTGACAGATGACTCAATATCATCCGCGTCACTCAAACGTCAATACTACAATTACAAAGGGTTCGCAAACCAAACATTTTCAACTTATCCCATCGAATATTTGAACATATGTATAGAGTATTAAATGTAAAAAAAATAATTACACATATTACGTGTAAATTATGAGGCGAATCTTTTAAGTCTAATTACGCCATGATTTGACAATATGGTGCTACAGTAAGCATTTGCTAACGATGAATTAATTAGGCTTAATAAATTTGTCTCACAGTTTTCTGGTGGAATCTGTAATTTGTTTTGTTATTAGGCTACGTTTAATACTTCAAATGTATATCCGTATATCCGATGTGACAACCAAATTTAAAAAATTTTCCCAACTAAACAAGGCCAAAATATAACAACATGTTGCTCTCTCTCTCTATCCTAAAATAATATCATTTTGCATCCAACCCACACATATCAATACAAAATAAAAATACTATATTATCCTCACTTTTATCAAATGCTAATATAATTATTGCTTACTTTATCTACTCCCAGTTACAATTATTTTCTAATTTCACAAAATCTGATATAATAATTACTAAAAATAAAGTTATTTGAGGACAAACCGTAAGAGCCAAAAATAAATTTATTTTGAAACGGATAGAGTATTTAATTAGACACAATATAGTAAAACAAATCTACACATTGAGTATTTTTTGTTAGGTTGCTATATTTTGGAATGGTTCATCTTAAAATATTCTCTTCATGTCAAAATAACTTTATTTTTCATTATCATATTTGGTCCAAAATAATTTAATATTTTGAGTAATCATTTCATGGAAGTTTTTGGAAACGAGGGACACAGACATTGAGGTTTGTAAAAATGGGGCCAATTATACTGAGGCTTGTTGAAGTGATGGACATTGTAGTCTTTTTCTATATCCTTGTATTTGTATTCGTTTAATGTGGAACTGATGAAAAATGAAGTTACTTTTTGATGGAGGAAGTAGAAAATAGAGAGATAGATGGTGACGTTCAAATTTGTTTCTAAAGTATACTCATTCACATACTTTTTTTATGAGATATAAACCAATCATAATCATATCTACTTAATTTCTCCGTATTCTTTAATCTTAACCAATTATAACTATCTCCTTTTAGTTTCACATTTATCCTTAATCCTCATGAACAACTACTCTCTCCATTCACAAATATACACATTTCTAGAATTTGATATTTATTCACAAGTATAAGTATTTTAGGAGTATTATTTTTCATAAATGTTCACTAGTTGCATCAATACTCGGGACCTTTTCTAATTAAGTAAACTCTCGTAAGCATCAAAGTAATTGTAACTCATCCTTAAATTTTGTTAAAAACTCTAACAATACTTATATTTATGAACGGGGGAAGTAACAAACCAGCTATCTTCCATACCAGTATACCACCGTTACTTGTCAGGGCTAGCGGTGCAGATTGTAGAAAAATTTCCGTGCCATCTTTAACTAGTGCTATTTTTGTTGTTTTCCTCTCTTGGTGCAGTCACAAACTAACAACACATTGATTAAGATGGAGTGCTTGATGAACAATTAACACCTACACCGTTCATGTATTTTGGGATTGAGATGCAGTACATTTGCTACTATGGCTACAGAATAAGTTACTGTACACAATTTGAGCCCTCTATTTTATTGATCTAATGGTTCAAATTGTTTGCTACAGTAAATTGCTATAATATTTTACTAATGTACCTAAGTCATCTATTTTGAATCCAGTGATACTCGTGTTATTGCTTACCTTGTAGGCACACTAGCCACTGCATCTTAACCAGATCCATGTATTTGATAATACAGCGTACTAAGTGTGTTTATAATACTACTTGTTAATATTGCTGATAATTTAGTTTTATGAATGCGCTGCAAATATATAACGATTGGCAAAAAGTCGAGTGAATTTTCCCTTCTGGTGATAATATCATGTGTCCCGTCCCGTGCCTTCTGGGCGAAGGTAGCAAAGGCAGATGTGGACGGCGTGTTTTTCAGCACGGGGTGGAAGGAACAGATCAACAGATTCTATAGAGTGCTGATTGACTCTGGCTGGCAAGCAGAATTCCTCTCCCCACTCTCCCGCGGTACAATGCACGAAGTACATGTGCAGCGTTGTCGACCCCGATTTTAGAAATCGAAAATTTTTAATGTTTATCAGTACCAATCCCATCAGTAGTCGGTACATATATATAGCCGAATCACAAATATCACGAATAAATTCAGGCTAAGAGAAACATATCACGAATGAATTCAGGCTAAGAGAGTTAAATGCTTACATTAGAGCCAGGCAGGCCAACAACTATCAGAGGACAACAGCAGAAGACAAAATAATACAAGGGCCCGGTTGACATGCCACAAGCAGTCGACTGGGGAACGAGACCTAGATTAGAACCGCACTCCGATCATCTTGTTAGGTACGCAAGCGTACAAACAAGGGCTTCTCTTCAACACTCTACTAAAAGATATATATAGAGTAACAATGAGTACAAAAGTACTCAGCAAGCCACCACACAAAATGCAGTAATGTACAGGACAATACAAGGAGTGGCTATGGTTACTTTGCATAAAGCTGAGTTTTCAAATATCATTTCACAAACCTAAGACCTAACATAAACCGATCAAGTTTTATCTCCATTATTCATTAAACAGCGACGGTTCTGTCCACCATCCATTGTGTTCCCAAGGATAGCTTCCCGCCACTGGTCGTCATGGTTTTCTGGGGTCTACCCCTTCTCGCCTCTCGAGAAAAGTTGATTCACCAATACAAAATCATCATGCATATCCCATCCCAATCAGATTAAGAAATTAGAGTCTAGCCAAGTGTAATACATATCTCGGTGCTCAATATCCGCGAGCACGGCTATTCGAATAGATTGGTTTACTCATACTGTAGTGGATGTACACTTTACCCATACTCCGCGACTTGCCCAACACATAAGCCTACGTCCCAACGAATGAGACTTGCCACGACAAAGCCTTTCAATAACCTCACTTTGGCAGTACCCGCTCCATGAACTTTAGTCCTCATGCACTCTAGGCGTCCAAGGTTTCTAGCAGTGAGAGGAGTTCTGGCGCTCCTGAGGGGGAAAGACTCACACATTCATTAAGTTATAGTTAAGTTTAGGTTTGCACATGGCAATCCTACCAATGGCGACACCACTGTAGGCACCCGCCCCTCGCGGTCCTACCAATGGCTGCCCCACCGTAGGCCCTGCCTCACACACAACAAGAAAACCACTACGGCTTGGGTACCGCCTCCGCTCGGCTATTTACTCCGCTAGGTCTATACCCACACGAGAAGTACGGTTGTACGGGGGTCGTTTCATGCTTAACTTCATGGCTCGGTCCTTAACTGACTAGGGACGCCACTAGCCTTTTCCGGACACCACCCAAGTCCTCCAGCCGCCCCAGTCGAAAACATTTGTTTAGTTTTAATTTTCTTTCACAAATCATCTCATCAATGTCATGGCAATGTGGCGCTCATGTCTCCACATGCAGTACCTCAACTACCTTCCCCAAGGTAGTTGCCCAAGCATAAAGCATTTGATAAATATGAGAATGCATGAATCTAAATTAGCATTACTAAGCATTTGTCATAAGTGACTAGGGACTCATACGTAATTATGGGTACACGGGAATAATGAGATAAGCAATAATCAAAGGCATGGCATAATAACAAGTAGGATATTCATCACTGCATGCAATTTTATTTGTAAACAAAACAATTTCACGATTGGGATCAACATGCTCAAGGGATGGGGTGATGACTTGCCTGCTCAGGGTAGTTCTTATTCTTGATATAATCTTGATCAACCTTCACCTCCTGGAAGCTGTATACGCTCCCTCACGACTAACCGATATACAGTTTCTATAATACATGAGAAAAACCAATATTCAACAACAAGCAAATATGCACAAGCAAAATATAATTGTTGAGGTCGAACCTAGGGCTGCTTATACTACTCGTGTTTGCTAATGGATTCTAATCAAGCTAAGAGCCAAGGTTTCTTAGTATTTTATATTGTCCCGATGGCTCTATTGGTACTAACTAGCACAATACATACACATTTTGCTAATCTGTGGTTTAGTCTAGCTATTGGCTTATGGAAGAGATCTGTTATGAAGGTAAAATGGTCAGGTCCCTAAGGTTATAGCATGGCTATGTCGATGGGGAGATTAAGGATAAACCATATCATCACCATGATTCACCTACATTATTATTTTATCAATGAAGCTATTATTCGAATTATCCACATGATGTATATATATGGATTTTATCCGTTTTCATAAAAGGTTGACAATTATGCGCTCTGTACTTTAGATTTATGGTTTAATAATATTATAGTTACTGATTATGTTATTGTATAACTTTATAAATTAATAATGAACAATCCTCAGGTGTGGTTGAACTAAAATTAAAATTATGTGTGGTCAAGATTTATAACTAGCACTAGTATTTAGCTAATATACTGGTTCTTCATTTATTACCTAGTTTAATATATGCAACTAGTAGGTTATCTAAAAGGTTATGTGTATGCAACAGTATATTAATATTGAACCATTTACTGAATATAGGCAACCGACAACATAACTAGTCACACTAGCTCTGTTATATTCCTCCTAATCAAGCTAAAGATATTCATCCATATGTGTTTATATTTTAGTTACAAAATGTGAGGCTAAACTTTTATGTAAATAATTTATAAGTCATGGATTTAATTGAACATTAAATAGTGTAAATAGTGCTAGTGTCTTGCTATACATCCGTTCATTTGAGACATCACTGTACTTAATTTACATGGTTGCTACTGTGACAAAACATGCTAGAAACAAATATTATTACATCTACTCTACTGTATAATACCAATTTTATTTATTAGCATAATTTTAAGTTGACCATAATCTAATCATTTGATATTAATTATTTAATAATTATAAATATATTTTATTAAATAGTGAGTTATATACCATTGGAAAGCTTATGAATTTAGATGAAATTAGGTTCAAGTTTCACTCAAATCCGAGTTAAAATGAGCAAGTTATACTAGTTTAAAGATTCAATTTCGAATTAATCCGAGAAATTGTGAAAAGCTACTGTTCATAATTCATTTATTTTTAATCTAAAATATATCCTTATCCCTAACCGCTGCTGACATGTGGGGTCAAAGCTTTGATTTTCTTTTTCACAGGATTAAGTTTCTAAAGGAAATAGGAGGAGTGGGGGACAGCTTGTCAGTGGCTCGGCTGAAGGTCGTCTTTAACCTTCGTCTTCTTCCTCTCGACCGAGCGGGAGCAGCAGGGGAACACGGCGCGCACGGAAGGCCGGCCGAGGGCGACCCGGCGGCGGCCAGGGGAGGTGCGGAGAAGCTCCGGCGACCACCCACCGGCTGCGGCGGCGCTTGGAGGGACGGGGCGCATGGCCGCCATGGCTGCGCCATAGCCGAGCTCGGCTACAAGTGGCTAGGACGACAGGAAGGGTTTCCGACCAAATTGATGAGTGCGTGAGCATATACGGCGTACGGGCGTTCTATTTCTCCAGAAAGATGGGAGGAAGAGCACCGGGGATGGCCTGTCCACGGTGAGCTCGTCGGCGGCGGAACGGCGGCTGGGGCAGCACAGCCATAGGCATTAATCCTACAAACTGGAGCCGACGCTAGATATTAGAGGTGTAGAGGATGCTATAGGCTCGAGGTTTTACCCCGGGATGGAGAGACGGCGAAGGGCGGTGACGCGTGGTGCGGTGCGGACGAAGCAGAGGCGGCTAGCTGTTGGTGACGCCCGAAAGTGTTCGACGCGTGGTTCCCGGTGTCCAGCGGTCCTCTGCTCCCCCAATGGCGATGGCGGCAGCACGGAACCTCCCCCACTCCCTCCAACCTCCAGCTCTGGCCGGGGAGCCTCACAATGGTGATCTCTAGCGGTGGTGAGAGAGTGATAGCAAGGTGTTCGATGAAATGCATGACTAGAGAAAGGCAGAGGGGGATGGGGTTTTGATGGCCTGGCTTGGCTTAGGATGTAAGAAAACTATGGAGGATAAGGATGCCAACACACAATAGCTGAGCTAGAGCCCTAATGGCAATCGGATAAGGGCATTGAGGTTTTGTGGCTCCATCATCACCCTATATCCTATAGTCTGCGAGTTTTAGCCCTAGCTGGGGAAGGGGACTTCGTTTTACCCACCGGATACAAAGAAGGGCGCCGGGACATCATTGGTGACGGACGTGGCCATGGCGATGCGCGCACATGGGAGCTGTGGCAGAGTGGCGGCTTGGTGAGGGCGGTTCTCCTGTCCAAAGGTAGTTGGCTAGGGCTAGGGGTGACGCGGGATGGCGCAGTGGCCGTTATCCATCTGCTCCGAGGCGACGCGCGATGGCGACGGCGATGACGCGCGCGCGTGGAGCCGCAGCTTTTGCGCGGGATTTCGGCGGCTCGGTCGGCGGCGGGCCCGCGCGGCGTGGCGTGACGCGATGCGGCGCACGGGCACGCATAATGTGGCGCACGAATAGGGAAGGCAGGCACGCGGCATAGCAGCGACCGGAGGGGCGGCGCGGCGCACGGGAGAGAGGCGCGAGGTTGGGCCGAGATCGAACGGTTGGCGGACAATGAATAGTGCGCCAAAAGAAAGAAAAGGGGAATAGAGGGAGAGGGTGGGGCTAAACTGTAAAAGTGAATGTGATTGGGTTTGAATTGAAATGTCATCTATACATTTTGGGTTTTGAGAATTCAAATGTTTTATTTAAATATTTATTTGGTTATTCATTAGTTCCCAAATGAATTTGCTTTCCATTAAATTATCCAATATAACATATAGGCTTTGATATTTCTTAAAAAAACTAATTAAATATTCTAATGTGACCTTTAATAATACAATAGCACATTGGTCAAGTTTATTTGTATAACAATGTATTTTACATGGACATGTTTAATCTATTATTCCATAAAATTAAATTGAGACTTGGTGCAATATTAATCTAGAACGCATTTTATATATAAAGCTCAATTTATTTGCATGACAAATTATTTTACATGAGTGAATCCATCCCATGAGAGACTTGATGAACATATAAATATTAATTTAATTATTCTAGTGAAACACTCCTTTATATATAGGGTCGTTGTAGTGGCGACTATTTTCCTAGTTACTTAGATGTCATGACACTTGTCAACATGGTTCAAGTATTTAACATTCAATTTGTAATCTACATTATAGAAACTAATAATTGGCTTGTGCTTTATTTGGCTTTGCGTTCTTGTGCATAAATACTTATAGGGTTAACAATATATTGTCGTAAACTTTAGTTATTACTTAGATGTGCATCTTTTAATTTGATTTTTCTATTGAGACGATTTACAGTTTGGCAAGCAATAACAACCATAACATCCAGTATGATGTAAAAGTTTTAAAAAGTTTAAAATTTTAGTGATTTTTATTATCGGGAATTTTTAGGGTGTTACACGCGTGCACTGCACCGATCTTGTGTATGCAGTGTGTACGGTGGCCGATAGCTAGGGTGTGCCAAGAAGTCAAGAATATGATGTGCCGTTCGTTAATTCGAGAGCAGATCAATAAAGAAAACAAATACTTCCACCTTCTTTAAACAAGAAGACTATTCCTAACATTCTAACGATGAAATTAGTGGAGCATAAAAAAAATTCAAATAAAACGGATGATTAAAGTTGGAAATGAAAACTCATGGTTGTGCTTAAAATGGGATGGAGGGAGTAAGTTTTTTACTCATGTTGAGTTCGTTAGGACTAGTTAGGAACTAATATCTTGTGTATGGAAACCGGAGCAATTCATTAGCGCGTGATTAATTAAGTACTAGTATTTTTTTCAAAAATGGATCAATATTAAGCAGTTTTCACATAGAAACGTTTTAAAAAAATACACTATTTAGCAGTTTGAAAAGCATGCATGTGAAACATGAGAGAGAGGATTTGGGAAAACTGGCTGCCGAACACAGTCTTAGCATATACTCCCCCCGTTTCTAAATATTTGACGCCGTTGACTTTTTTAAATATGTTTGATCGTTCGTCTTATTCAAAAAATTTGAGTAATTATTAATTCTTTTCCTATCATTTGATTCAATGTTAAATATACTTGTATGTATACATATAGTTTTACATATCTCACAAAAGTTTTTGAACAAGACGAACGGTCAAACATGTGCTAAAAAGTTAACGGTGTCAAATATTTAGAAACGGAGGGAGTACTACTGGTAAAAGAGCAATTGCATCTTCGGTTGGTCCACATGTTGCTACGTCGAATGTTAAACGTGTCATGATTTGTTAGATTAGCAAAAAAAAAATGATATGGAGGGAGCGGCGGGGTTCCAATTTCTCCAAATTCTAGCGGCACGTAGACGATATCATGAATAGTAGTGTCATTTATCTAAATGTCATATTTGTATTGGTATAGATCCAATTAACCCAATAATAAATAATTGGGTCTCTAGAATTCATATGGAATTGGGTCTCTAAAATGGCATATTTCATGGAAATCTTGAGCTCTAATCATTTCGATTTGTTGTGTGTACCTCTAAATCGCGTGTATTTTCTTGTACTCCATTTCACTTTTCATTCACAAGATCTTTGGCACCTATCTTTCACTTTTTCATCCATAAAATCTTGCATTAAGATTCGTGTTATTGTATATCCAACTTGTAGTTATATTGCACTTATATTCAATTACAGGGACCACACTTAGCTAAATAACTCTAAACGGCAAAAGGACCCCAATGACAACAGTCACAAGCTCTAAACACAACCAGTAGAACTCCTACAGCAACTATAAACAGGGAAAGCAAACATCACAACTATCCCACTCCTGCTCTTGGAGGTCTTAATCTTGTCATCATTTGCTTCATCTGTTCCACCTTTTGTTTTCAGCTTGCTCTCCTCTTCCGGCCGAAAAAGCTTCCTCCACTGCATAAAATTTGAAACATTTTGGAAAGGTAATGTTAGTGGAGAGTACACCAATTTACTTCTGAAAACCATGCATATTATTCCTAGTAAACCAAAGATTCCAACAAACTCAAGCTAATTCTAGTTTCTGTTGAGTTGTTGTTATTGTTAGACAACAGAAAAAACTCTTCGAAACTCCTAGGTGTAGCCCCTCAATCTAAAGTATCCCTACAAAGGATCTTCCCGGCCAGCTGCTTCCTCGATCAAGTTGGCCAGCTCGTCGTCGTCGCCGCGCTACAGCGAAGCAAGAAACCGATAAAAGGGCACCACATTGCCTAATTACCGAGACCATCGCGTCCCAACTCCCAACCATCCCCCAAAACATGCAGTGCAATCGTCAAGCTGAGACAACCGGCCGTGCTGCTAAAGCTCTCTCATCAAATCCACAACCATTAAGCAGCACTCACAGTCACAGCATGCATAGCCTGATCATCTTGTTACAGCACAAGGCGAGCACCATCTTACATTTACCAATGCATAACCGGCACCTGTCTCACGAAATTAAATTAAAATGCTCAAATTCCTTACCAGTAGACCGTGTCTATGTCGTCGTCGATGGATGCGTATGCTGATGCTGATCAGTCGGCGTAGGAGGCAAGGGCGGTCGCGGTGAGGGTAAGAACGACAGTGACAAGTGCAGCAGCGAGTACCAGCTTGGTGAGGAGCTTCACGGTGGTCGTCGGGATCGCCATCATGTCCCCAACGGCGCCGCCGCCGGCACCGACATGCGCGTAGATGAGCATCATGGAGAGGAAGAACGTCGCCGCCGCAGCAGTTGGAAGAAGCACATGTGCAACGGCGACGGCGAGAGGAGGCAGAAGTTCTTGAGCGCCATCGACGATGACGCCTGGCTCTAGCTGAGGAACCAAGAAGACATGTAGCACGCCGGAAGACGCAAACAGGACGAGGTAAACGCCCCGTGTAATCCTCCCGTTCACGCCGCCGCCGCCGGCGTTGTACAGGCGGGCGTAGATGAGCGCGACGGCGGTGTTGAAGGCACCCATCGCCGCCGCCGCCACAAGCAGCCGCAGGAGCATCAGCTGGACAGCGGCGTCTCGCGACGGAGGAGCTCCAACCAAGGTGTTTTCACCGAACCGGTCGACGTGGGTGAGGAATCCGGCAGCGGCAGCGGCGGCGACAGCCGCCGCTAGCCCGAGGGAGGCAGCGGCCGAAGGGCGGCTTGCCATGGTACCACTGAGAGATTTGGTTTCTTGGGATAGGAAAGAGGCGTGTGGGGAAACTGGAGGGGTGCGGTTGAGCGAGTGGAGAGTTTGGGGACTTTTATCGGTGGTCGGTGGTAGGGTTTGGAAATTGGAGGAAGAGGAAGGAGGAGGAGGAGGAGGGCGCTTCTGCAGGATCATTTAACGGGAGTTTCCACGCACTTTGCTTTGCTGTTTTATCGCGGAGAAATAATAAGATTTTTTTATGCAAGCAAATCCATATCCATATTAAATTCTCCAAGTTCATATTGTTGGTATGTTCTCTGTTGGATGGGGGCAGTTGGCTGGATCCGGACTGGGATAGTAGCGCCCATTCCTAACCAGTTCTGAAAAGGTTCGCATGTGCTTGGACCAACAGCTTCAGGATATTAATTAGTTAATTGAAGGCTTAATACTCCGTCAGTCTCAAAATATAAAAAACTAGAACCGGGTTAGATATTTTCTAATACTACGAATATTGACAGATAGTATGTCCAAATTTATAGTAATATAAAATCTCCCATCCCATATTAGGTTTTTATACTATGGGTCATATACTACTATTGGAGTACTATAAAGGAGAATTCATCACTCGAAGGAATATCCCCTCATTTCGTGCATGTCACCTAAATAGTTATAAAAATAATCCACATCCTACTATTATAGAGATCTGCTAAAGATGTTTTCGAGTAATCATTGGCATGCAAGGGCGTGGCTTGGCGTGGCTTGTGAGGAAGTTTGTACCGTGCCCAGAACATGTCAAATCCCCATATTTATCCTCTTTGACCTACTTCCTCCGTCAAAAAAAGACAAACTCTGATTTTCGTGCCCAACGTTTGACCGTCCGTCTTATTTAAAAAAATTATAAAAAAAATTAAAAAGACAAGTCACGCATAAAATATTAATCATGTTTTATCATCTAACAACAATAAAAATACGAATTATAAAAAAAAATCATATAAGACGAATAGTCAAAGTTGGACACGGAAACCTAGAGTTTGTCTTTTTTTTTTTGACGGAGGGAGTATTCGTTTTTAAAGTAACAGGGCTGCATGTTTTACTCAAATAAATATTCCCTCTGTCCAAATAAGTTAAATTTCTACTCTTAAAATTTGACCAGGTTTATTTAAAAATGTAGCAACTTCTATATATAACACAAGATTAGTTTTATTAAATCACCATTGTAATTTATTTTTCTTATTATGATATATTTGCTTTATGTCGAAAATGTTATTATTATTATTTAGTTGAACTAAATAATGTTAGAATCGTAAGAAAATTTAGTAGAGTAAAAAAAAGACCGAAGTACCTTTCATTCATAGTAGAATAGTGTTGTTAGGTGGTAAATAAGGGGTATTAAAAAGATAAACTTCTTGAGTTATGAAATAATGATAGATACGGCTAGAAATCAATACATTTTGTGACAAATTTAGTACTTCAGAAATCAGTATAACAGAATTGAGGGAGTACATGGGTTGAGCTGTGCATTTTTTTTCTTGTACATGTGGGAAAACTAATGAGTTCAGAAATTATCCTCCAACAAGACAACTGGACAAGCAGCTAGGGTAAATTTATTTTATCGTCCCCGCTATATTTTTCTTAGGAAAAAGTCATTTCAGGAATGGAAACTCTCAACCTTGCGTATTGCTTTAAGAGAACAGTCCGAATTACACCCCTTAAGTATTAGGTGAGTACGAATTACTCCCTCGGATCCAAAAACCAGACATCCTTCACCCCTCAACTATTAATACCGGCTAAATTAATTAACCTCCCTCCTCTCGACTTAAACCGGAGTGGTTTTGGTTCTACGTGGCAGTCAAATCAGCAATTCTTCTTCTTTTTTTAATCATCAGGCCCCACCTGTCAGTCTCATCTCTCCATCTCCTTCCCTCACCTCTCTCTCTCTACTCAATCCTCTTCTCTCTTCTCCCTCACATCATCTTCATTTCTCTCCATCATCGAGCAGCCGGCGGAGGGGTAGCCGAGGACGGTGGAGTGGGTGACGGCGGGCGAGGACAGCAGAGGGGGAGCCGAGGATGGTAACAACGGGCAGGGACGAGGGAGGCAGCAGGTGGGGACAGCGGTGGCGGCAACTCAGAATAGCGGAGGGGGAGTTGAGGACATGGCGCGTGAATCAACAAAAAAACATGCAGAATTGGCCCCTTCCATCTTTCACTAGAACGGATGGGTAACTTTACTATCTTTGAGAAAGAATTAGAAGATTTTATATTTTCTATTGTAAAAATTAATACTTCCTATTACTACTTATCTTGAGTAACATTTTGATATTTATAGGTATTTTCTCAAGTACCACAAAATCCCTCGTGCTAAATAGATAGGGTGGCAAAAAAGAAGACAACGAACAAGGGATCAAGGGTTTGCATCGTCAAGATAATGACATGTATATAAAAGTTTTATCCATGTATTATATTTTATTTGCTACTCCCTCTGTTTTTTAATAGATGACGCCGTTGACTTTTTCTCACATGTTTGACCATTCGTCTTATTCAAAAATTTTATGCAATTGTATAAGATATAAATCACACTTAAAACACTTAAAGTACTATGAGTGATAAAACAACTCATAACAAAATAAATTATAATTACGTAAATTTTTTGAATAAGACGAATAGTCAAACATGTGAGAAAAAGTTAACGGCGTCATCTATTAAAAAATGGAGATAGTATTAAATTGTGCAGATAATCATAAGCGAAACGGTGAGGCTGATGATCACGTTAAAAATGAACACACTTGCTCATCAACGGCGTTAAAATCCAGCTGGCGTTATTATTCACTGGTAGGTGCTTGTGTACTGTTTTTTTTCAGACCACACGATCGATCCCCTGCTTCCATTTTTCGGTTGCTAATTAGAGGCAAACCAAACTGCTATAACAAAAACATTCTGCCGCGAGCAGTATATATCTACGTGAGTGCGCGTCAAAAATGAAAATATTCAAACGCAACGGCATAACAAAGGTCAAAGCCCCAGACAAAAAGTGACGAATGAGCAACCAGACCTCGAGGTTAAGCACTAGCGACACAACTCCACAATCCACACCAGAAGCTGCGAACCAGACAAGGACATGTGTCGGCGACGGTGGGCCGCTAATCCTCCACCGAAACTGGACGGAGCTGATGCTTCTTCCGGCAAGCTCGCCGCAGCCGCCGCCGCCGCCGGCTGCCGTGCCCCCCGTCGTGCGTCCGTGCCCACCTATTTCGTGGCTAAGAACATAGGCCATCGCCTCGACGTACGGCCCAACCAACCCCAAAATCAGCCTCAGGCCGTCACCCGGCAGGCCCCACATGGACGGAAACCAGTGGATGCCGCCGCCGGCCGCCGAGCGACATCGCGGGCGCCGCCGCGAGCTAGACCACCTCTCCAACCGCGACAGCCGCCGTAGGCGCCGGCACTGGCATGGCACGGCCACCTTAATCCCGCCTCGACAGGCGGGCGCTCAAAACCTCGGCTGCTGCACTGCATGCACCAAAGTGACCAAACCGTCGCGCCATCTCCAAGACTCCAACCGGATGAGTTGAGTTCCCGTAATAGATCATGTTTTTGCGTCAAATCCACAATCAGATTATGCGTAAAAGAGTAGTACTCGGATGCATACGATTGACAGCGAAATATGTTCTTATTACACCACAAAGCATGAACACACACTCGAGACATTAAAGTCGCTTACCCGAACGAACTGCAGCGGTATAGGATTGGATCGATGGTTGGTTCGACAAGCTTTGGGCAAATTTACTCGGAGTAGAAGACAACGATGGCAGCGACGACGAGGCTAAGAACAATCGTGACAAGCGCAGCCGAGTTGGTCACCTTGGTGAGGAGCTTCACGGAGGTACCGGTGCCGGCGCCGGCGCCGCCGCTACGGAGATACGCGTAGATGAGGATGATGGAGGCGAAGAACGTCACCGCCGCAGAAGCTGGAAGGAGGGCGCGGACGACGGCGGCGGCGAGAGGTAGCAGATCTTGATCAGCGCCGTCCATGGCGCCCGGCTGGAGGAAGAAGATGAGGTGGAGGAGGACGCTGGCCGACGCCCACACGGCGAAGCACGCACCATCCAGCATCCGCCTGTTCGCAGCTGCGGCGCGGCCGTTGTAGACACGGAAGTAGATGGACGCCATGGCGGTGTTGAGGGAGCCGATCGCCGCCACCGCCATCACCACCTCCACAGCAACGTCGAGCGGCGGCAGAGCTCGAGCGGAGCTCATCAGGGCACCCAAGAACTGGTCGAGGTAGGAGACCAATCCGATGGCCCACATCGCCACCAGCAACCCGAAGCAGGCGGCGGCCGTAGGGGCGCTCGCCATGGATGGTTTCGGTCGGATTCGATCGATTTGGTTTCTCGAGAGAGGAGGAGACGAAGGAGGGTGGTTTCGGCTTCAGTTTGGTTTGGTTTGGTTTCTTGGGACGAAGCTACTACAGGCTACAGCAAAAGAGGAGAGGAAGGGAGGGTGGAATCCGGGGAGGGTGAAGGGTCGGCACGAGGCCGAAGCAAGAGTTGCACGAAAGAAACCAAACCTACTGCTGAATTATCTGAAAAATGGAGGGGAATGGTGATTGGTGCAAAAAGAATGGCTGAACTTTTTGTGCCGTAGGTCAGAGTTTCTACGAAAGTTTTCGCATACAAATTTAACGGAAGTTTCTCATTGGTGTTTTTTTTGGTAGATTTGTGTAGTATATTTCTTATAGGATTGTAGTCCAAATTTTGGGCTTGCACATATAGGCAGGCCGGATTTGGGGCCCATCTAAACTTTGGATTGGTTCCATTCAAGCAGTTGTTTCTCTAGGCATGTTCAGATGTGCAGGACTAGCAGTTGAGAGAGCGTGTGCTGTTCAGAGTTCAGATACGGTGTGGCAGATTTTTTTTGCCGTGTCCAGGAGACCAGGACACGCCCAAATTCGGATGTCTCGTATCAGAAGAAAGTTTCATGTATCCCTTCTTGGGTTGCCCATGAACAGAACACTACTGTTGCAGAAACACACTGTTTTTGTATTATGGAAGAAGCACCGGAAGACAACACAAGCTGCCCTTTTATCAGGAAAAGAAGGACATGGGTAAGAAAATTTGTTCCTCCCAAATCAGGCTATGGGCCGCGTCGACAGCACATCTTTGTCAAAGCAAATGGCCAGATCTAGTAAGGCAAACAGTTTTTCCGTTGCCTAAGCTGACTCGTTTGTTCAGAAAAGGCAGGGCAAATCGGTCTCAAAACAAAAAGGAGCAGGAGATGCAGAGGAAAAGAGAGAACTGAAATTCAGAACCAAGAGAAATTGACAGTGGATTGACTAACCTGGCTGACATGGCTGCACACGTACGGCAGCAGCGCACGCACGCTCAGCTCAGTTCCGGCCATGGAAGCCGGCTGCTTCGGCTGCTCCCCTGCAAATCTGAAATGGACGAAGGGGAAGCTCACTTGAGGCGACAGGGGGTTGACCTGAAAGAAGTGAAGTCTCCTCCTCCCAAATTTAGATTTTAGTAAAGCAAATGGACACAGAGAGAGACAGCCAATCACTCCCCAGTCCCCACCACACACACACCTGTTGTACCATGGAATTAAATTTAAAAATATACTATTCATTCAATTTTTTCTTAGAAATATTCGGGATGCAAAACTTTTTACAGAAATATACCGTCGATCTCGCACAACCATTACACGAAAATGACATAGGCGTGACGTTGCGGACGGTATCGCGCGGGGAAAGCGCGAGACCGCGCGGTCTCGCGGAACAGAAGAGCGAGACCGTTCGGAATCAAATAGCGACACGGTCCAAAGGCTCAATTTGATTAGTGATTAAATACTTAATTAACAATTAACTAATAATAATTTAGTAATTAATTATCCTAATTGGTGATTAATTATTTATTAATTAATCATTAATGAGGATAATTAACCGCTAATTAAATTGTCATTGAACGGTATCGCTCATGCAATGAGCGACAGCGCTCGGTCTCCTTTTTCAATCCGTGAGACCACGCGGTCTCGCCCTTCCCACACGCGATATCGTCCGCGACGTCATTGTCACGTCACTTTCGCGTAACGTTTGTGCGAGACCGATGGTATATTTATGTAAAAAATTTTACATCCGAAATATTTCTGAGAAAAAATTGAATGAATAGTATATTTTCAAATTTAATTCTTGTACCATGGCACCACCACAAAACATGACAACGCATGTGTTACGAAGTATAGTAAGTTTGGAACCTTAATCCGCCCTCAATTGGGTGAAACATGTCACTGGATTTCTACAGGCAAACATGTCGTGCTAGGATGCTAGCTAGGAGCAGCAGAAATTGGCTTTGGGCACGGTAAAAACATGGTCAATGGAGACGGTTACCCACAACTCCACAAGAGCTATTTTTCCTTTTCGGTTTCAAAAGAGAACTATATTTATTTGCTCGTCTCACGCGACAGTCACGCAGTGACACAGTGGTGAATTGGTGATCCTTGCTGATCTGATCAGCATGTTGTTCAGTTGTTCCAAATCCTCACACACGATCCCAAAAGGAGGAAATCTGTCAGTTGTAATGACTAATGACAGGGGAAAGAAAACAAGTACTCCCTCCGTCTTAAAATAAGTGCAGTTTTAGCACTGTTCATGTTCAACGTTTGACCGTTCGTTCTATTTGAAAAAATATTATGATTAGTATTTTTATTGTTATTAGATGATAAAACATGAATAGTACTTTATGTGTGACTAATTTTTTTAATATTTTTTATAAATTTTACAAATAAGACGGATGGTCAAAATGCTAAACACGAATATCTATGGCTACACTTATTTTGGGACGGAGGTAGTAACAAAAAGCATTCGAAAGGAAGCACCTTTCACGAGTTGCAAACGTGGTCAGGAAACGCCTTTCTGAATTCCGTCGGCAGATCACCGCCGAGTTGCAACCAGGGCGGCATCTCATCTCCAGAACCTCGCCGATGTATTACGGACATGCTGGTGCTGGTGGAAGAGTAAAATCTCAGGCCAACATGCAGCAACAACAGGCACGAATAACACTTGTTCAGAATGCCACTACGACAGATTCTACTCCAACTTCAGTAGGTACTTATTTTCGTCGGCAATAGACCTTCAGAAAGAGCGGCACGAGGACATGGCCTGACTAGCCTTGTTCATCACCAGCCATCATCAATAATAACATGGGATACAAAAAAATTATGGAGAAAATATTCACTTCACTTGTGCCTGTCGCTTTTCGGCTGCACCATCAATCATCTGTGCACTGTGCTACATGCATACTCCTACTACATGAAACAAAATGTTGCAATCAGGGTTTACAAAACTGGTAGAAACCATCCAGTTTTGTGAAATCTGGAGGTTCTAAGATCACAATCCACTCGGTAAATTTACATTTCAAAAAAGAAAAAAACAATAGAGCACATTTTAAACTGGTTAAGTTAGAAAAAAATCAAACTGAATATTTAAATTTTGACATAACTTGGTTACATTTGAACAGTTTTTTTTTCTGAAAAAGGATTGTCATCTGTTTCGTCAACCCTAACTACACGCTTACACTCATATGTAGAGGTTGTTTAGATCCAGGGGGTGTAAAGTTTTGGCGTGTCATATCGGATATACGGACACACATTTGAAGTGTTAAACATAGACTAATAACAAAACAAATTACAGATTCCGCCTATAAATTGCGAGATGAATTTATTATGCCTAATTAATCCGTCATTAACACATATTTATTGGAGCACCATTGTTAAATCATGGTCTAATTAGGCTTAAAAAATGAGTCTCGTAATTTACATGCAAACTGTGTAATTAGTTTTTTTTTGTCTATGTTTAATACTCCATACATGTGTCTAAACGTTCAATGTGACAGGGTGTAAAATGTTTGCATGGAACTAAACACCGGACATGTTGTTCTGAGCCTGTGCTGGCTGCCACTTTCCAACAATCACCACAATTTTGGCAAGCTGAACTGTGATAGACGTTAAACCACAATGAAGCTAGTGATCCAAACTCCCAGAGCCTTCAAATGTAAGACACAAATTTAGTCCTTTGATGAGATATCTAGCAAAGAACAATGGACAAAACGAGTGCCCAAAGAAAAGGCTCGTGGCCTTTCCAGTTTCCAACTTTCCATCACAGGGGGAAGGTTCGAAAGGAACCGCACAGAGCAGAAGTAGACGAAAGACTCACACCACTCCACTGGGCACTAGCAGTAGTAGCGCAATGATAGCAAAGTACGAAGATTTCCCAAAGAAAAGGTTCCCATTCCTTCAACGAGAAGATGACCAGTTCAGCCCACTGACCGAGACACTGCTCCAAAGAGAGATGCGAACACGAACCCAAATCACATTTCACATATCGGGTTGTGTTTAGTTCAGCGCAAAGTTTATATTTTGATTAAAATTGGAGATGATATGACTGAAAAATTATGTGTGTATGACAGGTTGATGTGATAGAAAAGAACTGAAGTTTGGATCCAAACTTTGAATCTAAACACAACCTCGGTTCTCCCAGCACACGATTAAAAATGCAAAGGATGAAACGCACACCACTTCACAACTCAGTTACTACGCCCTCAAAGAGAACAGAAAAAAAAAAAAGGAAAAGAAAGTACTCCGTAGCACTAGTGTCACCAGTGGGCAGTGGTCTGCACACGATGCACTGCAGCAGGTGGTACCGGGTACACGGGACACAGGGCCCCGGGCATGGTATGTGAGGTCCCGTTCATTTCTCCACCAAGAGTTGGATGAAGATAAAAAATTTTGTGGTACGTTTTTTAAACTGTTAAATGGTGTTTTGTGCGAAAACTTTCTATATGAAATTTGCTCTAAATATCATATTAATTTTAATTTTTTTAAGGTTATAATAATTAAAACTCAATCAATCATACGTTAATATCACCTCGTTTTACGTAAAAAACTTAATCTCCATCTTCAGGAGAAAAGAACGCCACCGAATCTTCATAGTCAACAGGCGCAGGCGAAGGCACAACGCAGACACATCAGGCAGCGGGGGGTGGGACGACGAGGAAGAAAGCAAACCGCCGAGGACGCAAGGGCCTGTTTAGTTCGCGAACGAAAATTTTTAGCGTGTCTCATCGGACATATGGACACACATTTAAATGTTAAACATAGACTAATAACAAAACAAATTACATATTCCGCCTGGAAACTGCGAGACGAATTTATTAAGCCTAATTAATTTGTCATTAGCAAATGTCTACTGTAGCACCACATTGTTAAATCATGGTACAATTAGGCTTAAAAGATTCGTCTCACAATTTACACGTAATATGTGTAGTTTTTTTTATCTATATTTAATACTCCATACACGTGTCTAAACATTAGATGTGACAGGTTGAAAAAATTTTGTTCGGGAACAACACACAGGCTCAATAATCACAACCATCCTGTGGAAGCGGTCCGTGGCCGCCCTCGGCAGCGTCCGGCCGGTGCCGCGCCCTGCGGAAGAAAAGGCGAGAAGCGTGGTGCCGACCACCGTGGCGGCGGCGGCGACATCCGGTACGTACGTGCTCATCATATCATCACAAGAGGTCTCCATTGGCTGCCGCAGCTAGGATCTGCGCCTGCGCTAACGACTCCATGATTGAAAAGAGGGAGGAAAGAAAAACCTTCAACCCGTTTGGCTACCACACGTCACTGCTGCACTGGCCGATGACGCAATACAAACTGCGTCACTCCAAACGTCACTACTGCACTACTCCCTCTGTTTGAGGAATTTTTTATAGGGACACGATTATTAAGAAATTGGATAAAATTAAATAGGGAAAATTTATGATTGGACAAAAAGTGAAGGTGGGTGAAAAAATTAAATGGTGGAGAATTGTGATTGGGAAAAGAACATTGGTGAAAAATTTGTCATATTACTTGTTGGAGCAGGTTGCAGATTGTAGAAAAATTATGTGCCCTCTTAAGTCTTATTTTTGTTGTTGTCCTCTGTTTAGTGAAGTCACAAACTTGCAAATCACAATATAGTAAGATCTCTACTTAAAAAATAATTTTACTGTACGGGAACTTCAAAATCGACCTTCATTTTTGCATGTAGCTACTTAAGAGATCCGCATGCAAAAATTTATTTTTACTGTCGAGTCTCTTAAGGGGCCACATGCAAAAATAAGTATATTTTCACATGCAGGCCTCTTACTTAGTCCGCATGTGAAAGTATCCTGCTCTTCTTCATAGTTTTTTCCCCTCCTCTCTCTTTCCCTCACCACTTCAATTTTTTTCCACCTCGCATCCTCTCTCTCCCCCTCCGTCTACTGATGTCTCTCTCTCTCCTCTCCTCTCCTCCGAGTGGGAGCGGGCGGCAGTGGGCAGCGGCTGGGCAGCTCGGCGGCCTCAGGTGGCGCCGTCCCGCGTGGATCCGACGGCGGGGTGGCCCATCCCAGCGTGGTTCTAGTGCCGGCGACGATGACGGGCGGTTGGGATGGAGAATGCGA